TTCATGTTTTTCTGCATTGAGCGATAACTTTTTTTATCTTGCTGCCAATTGTCAAGATAAAAGCTTGGCAATACTCAAAACCTCTTGCAGGTGATCTGAAGTTAAAATATTGACGTTGAACTTAATTTTAAAACTGTAAATTAAGCTCCAAAAACTCTTGTCCCTAATTTACCCCAACTGACCCTATGTAATATTTTCATTGAGAAAAAAAACTATTATTAGGAAATAAATAATTAAAATTTTTAATTGTTAAATAAAATTTAATTATTAAATTAAAATTATAATTTAATTTAATTTATTAAAATAATGTTCAAAACGCATTTGTAAATTTTTCTTCCTAAGCAGAATATTTTGTTACCTATATTTTTAAAACTTTTCTTTACGATAATTTTAATAATTTATAATTTGCATCGTCAAATAATAACAGGGTCTAGTTAAAAAAAAAAAAATTTTTCTCCTCGCAAAGCTTGTAAGGACAACGTATAAGAAAAAAGAAAATAATAATAATAATAAATATTACTAGTTATCAAGAGAAATGTACTAAAAAAAAGTTCATGGAACCTGAGATACTTACGCTTATGTATTTTTTTTTTTTTAGAATTTACCTTTATACTGAATTTCACACTTAGCTAATGCATTTACAAAAATCACACTCTTGAGATAAATTTTAAGGTTATAAAACACGAAAAAATTCATGAAAATTGTTGACTTCGTTTCTTATACAAAAGAAAACTTAGAAACTTTTAATCGCATATAAGATAAAGTAAAACATAACCTATAATTTTTTGTTTCTTACAATTATTATAGTTCAAAGCGCGAAACAATTATTTCCATTATATTCCACTAAATTTTATTATAAATTAAAAAATAGAAAATAAACACGAACATATATATAGTTTTGAAATAAAAAATCAACAAATGATCGAGAAACAAATTTTTTTAAATTTTCCAAAAGAAAAAGAATTTGCTATATTTCCAAATACCGAAAGAATTAATTTGATATCCTATAAAGAATCGTGATCTATTGTTAAAAAAAAAAAAAAGTTGGTTTATATAAAAAAAAAGAAAAAAAAACAATGAAAGAATGAATGATAAAGTAAACTCACCGGGTCTTTGATCTCTTTGTTGGTACTGAGCTTGCGATGAAAGCTGCGGGCCGGTTCCGTTTCCGCATCGCTATCCGAGCTTTCGGCATTTTCTTCTTTATTACATTCTTCTACTTTCAATAATTCGCCCGCATCATTCCCATTCTTTATCTCGTCGGGTGATTCGTTTTTTTGATTCTTTGTCCATTCGGCTTTCTTTTTTCGGACACCAATAATTTCAGAGTGTTCCATTTCCTCTCCTCACTTATTATTACTATTATTATTATTATTATTACTATAAGAGAGGGTTAAAGGGAGAGGAAAAAATGCTCCCTGCGCTATCTTTTTCCTTGATGTGTGAGTTTTCTCATTCTTTTTTTTTTTCTTCTTTGTTCCCTTATATTTCAAAAATAAAAAATAGGAACATATTTACTTTAAGCTTCTTAGAAAAAAAAAAAATGCTCAACTCATCTTTGCGAAATAGCCGGAAGTTTTGAATGGATTTCTAAGTCGGTCAAGTGTTTTGTAAGCTTCTTTAATGGACTTCACGATCTTTTAACTCCAACCTTCCAGGATATCTGGGGAGAAAAATTGTTAATTTAAAAAAAATGTTCTTTTTTGCATTTTATTATCTTTTTTTTGTTTTCAAAATTATTTTTTTTTTTATATAAATTTTGCTTTTCTTTATTTTTTATTATTTTTTTCTATGATTTTTAAAATTAATTTAATTTCAATATAAATAAAAATTAATTAATAAAAAAATTTTAATTAATTTATAAAAACGATTTTTTATAAAAATTTATTTTCTTTATTCTGTTTTTTTTTTGTTTTAATTATTTTTTTCTAAAATTTTTTTAAATTCATTAAATTTCAAATTATTAATGTTAATTTTTAATTAATTAAAATTAATTTTTTATGAAAGAAAAAAAATTTTAATTTCTTAATTATTATAAAAATTCAGCTTTTTCGTCAATTACTTAATTCTTTTCTTTTTTAAACTTACTTTATTATTTTGATGTCATTAAATTGATCGAATTCATCGAATATTGAGTAAATAATTCTTTTGTCTTTCGCACTAGGTTGGATTTCCAAACTCCTTTCTTCGAAAACACAGTTTTTCAATTTTACAAAAACCATTGCTCTGAAAAAAAAATTTTTTCAACTCTTATTTTCAATTAATTGAAATAGATTTGAAAATTAAAATCCTTAATATACTATACTTAAAAAAAATTAAACAAAAATTTAAATATACAAAATTTTAGAATGTACAAAAACAAAATAATGAAATAAAAAATTATTGTGATTATAGAAAAAAAATTGTACAATACAATAAATAATTTTATTTAATAAAAAAAAATAATAAATTGAAGTAAAATAAATAAAAAAAAAAATAATAATGGAGTAAAGAATTAAAAAAATGAAAAATAAATTAGCGAATTAGAAAATAAATAAAATAAATTTAAACATTTAGATTCAATGAATTTATAAATAAAATATGTAAATAAATAAATCAATAAAAATAGTCAACAATAAAATAATACAAATATTAATGCACAATAAAATATTACAAAAATAAAATACGTAAAAAAAATTGTGACCATTTTTTTTTTTTTTATCTAAATTGAAGAAGACTTGAAAATTAAGTAAAATAAATAAAAATAATAATAAAAAATTAATGAATAAAGAATTAAATAAATGAAAAATAAATTATTGAATTATTAAATAAATAAAATAAATTCAAACATTTAAATCTAATAAATTGGTAAATTCCAACATTTAAATTCAATTATTTAATAAATTTAGACATGTAAATTTTGATAAATAAAAATATTTAAATAAATAAAATAATTACAAAATGTAAATCAATAAAAATTGTTAACAATAAAATAATACAAAAAATTGGTACAATAAAATATTACAAAAATAAAATACGTAAAAAAAATCCTACCTGACTATTTTTTTTTTTATCTAAACTGAAGGGAGACTTAAATTTTTTTTCTCAAGAGAAATTAAAAAAAAAAAATTAATAATTTAATAATATAAAAAAAGAAATTCTAAATTCATCTCATCTAAAGATTTTCATCACGAGCACTATAGTCACCGCTTTGCTCTTATAGAGGAAAAAAAAAACGGAAGAAATAATCGTTTAAAAAAACTTTCTTTTACAAATATTCCCCTGTGATATGAAATGAAATTTTTTAAAATTGCTTTCTATAAAATTAATATAGTCTAGTGTTTTTTCTATCTTGGGAATAATAACTACAGAGCTCGCTATGTTTTTCAGATATATAAAAATGCAACTCTGGGATATGGCCGTCAAATTCGAGTGTGCGCATATTTCCCTCTGAATATACACACTCTCAAACAAAGCTCGCACTTGCGCAAGATTTAAAAATAATGGAAAAATAATGAAATACAAATTTATCGCTTCAACATATTATAATCGGAGCAGGTAAACACCTTTTTTTTACCCAGAAAAATTCCATAAATAGAAAGAAAGATTATTAATGCGCAGTTGTAAATATGGGGGAGAGAAAAAAAAGAAGATCGTGCCAAAAAAAAAAAAGAATCTCTCTTTTCAGGAAGTATCGATTTAAGGAGATAAAAAATAATTTAAAATAATATTACGACTAAAAACTTCAAAAAAAATAAAATTTTTTTCGAAAAATAACACTTTCAGATTTTAAACTAGAAAATATCAAAGAAATTATTTGATAATTTATAACAGCATTTTATTTTATTTCCTATATATGGCATCGAAGCAACAAGTTTAACAAAATATTATCTATTATGCACATAAATTTCGCAAGGCAGTGCAAAATCTATTGAATGATTTTTCTTTTTACATCGACAATGAGAAGAAAAAAAACTTTCATTTGATAAAGTTTTTTTTTTTTTTTTTTTTTTTTTTTTTTTTAATAGACGAAAAAGTACTATTTTGAAAAATGTTACATTTAAAAATTGAATTAGAATATTAACGAGAATATTATTTACAATGAGAATTTAAATATTTTGTCGCGTAATTAATAAAGCATCTAAAAATAATTAAAACTATTCGAATAATATAAATAAATGACAATGTGGATGGAATTAACGTTGTTAAAGTGGAATTTAGAAAGTATGAAACTTAAAATAATGTTTGTCGGAATTAAAACGAAATTTAAAATTTTCTCAAAAATTTGCCTAACTATTTTTTTCCTCTTTTTTGATTTTAAATTACTCAAAAATACCTTAAATTATAGAAACGAAATTCACAAGAAAATTTAAAGTATCAAAAATCTTTTGTTCAATTTTGTTCCGACAAAATTTGATAAAATTACTTTGTACTTGGCAAAAAAAAAGAAAAAAACGCTAAATTTTGCCAATTTTAAAGAAAATTTATCCAAGACAGCAAAAAATAATTCTCCGTCTTTTTCTTTGTTTCTCGGTATTAATAATTCTTTGTGTATCGTCACAAAAATATTTATCCACATTACAATTATCACTAGCAAAAGACGAGGTATTTTCATTTAAATATTCAAATTTTGTCAACGACGATACAGAACTCGATAATAATTTTTGTCTCTCATGAATATTTGATTCAATAATATTTTCATGATTTTCCAAATTTTCTACAATAATATTAGAAAAATGATTTTCACAAAAATCTAATTTTCCTTCAATATCAATAATTTTTCCAACATTTGACAATTCTTCAGATACCTTTATTTCATTGAAAGGTAAATAATGCAAACGTGATATTCGAAACCAAGAAACATTTGAATTTTCACGAAATAATGAATTTTCATTATTATCATCATCATTAATAGCTGAATATTTTGTTTCATTAATTGAAACATTTTTCATTCTCAATAAAAGAGACGATAGAATTTCTTGATAAATACTTAAACTCTCGGACCAAGTATTATTAATTGATTTGTTAAAATTAATTTTATTTGAAATTGAATTATTTTTAAAAATAATTTTATGAAATTTTAACGACTGTCACTTGCAAGAGAGAAATGATTGATCGCTTTGCCGTCGATGTTGATACGTTAAAGGAGCAACTAAACGACTGTCTTTGCTTTTGTAATATTCATTGAAATCCAATCGAACGCTTAAAAGTTGAAGGGAAACATTTTCTGCTGACGCCAACATTAGGAGAAACTTTTTCACACGATCCTGCAAAAATTTAAAAATTATTATTTAATCAAAAAAAAAAAAAAATTAATTAAAATTAAAAACTAATTTTTTGAATTTAGTTTCACTGAAGTTTAAATTTAAAAAAATAATTTAATTTACTTCGACTTGAAATTAAAAATGTTTTAAATTACATTTCGCGATGTAATCAATATAAAAAAGTTAAATTGATTTTATAGATGAAGAGAGAGAGAGAGAGAGAGAGATAAATGAAAATTATTGGAAAGTGTAAAAAATGATGTAATTTTGTTACAAAATTTTTAGTGTACTCAATAAAAATAAATGAACACTTACTTGATAAGTTGCAGAGAGAACTTTTAATTGACGTGAAAGCGTTGAAAGATATTTATTAAATGCATTTTGTCGTTCTATATTTTCTGCATCTGTATTAAGCGATCGTCCCCATTTATTAAGTTGTTCATGTGTATTGACAATATTTTTTTCCGATTTCAATCTTGCTTCATATTCTTGCATTGCACGTGTTAAAAAAGTATCTTCCAAATTTTGTAAATCAAGAATTGGACTGTACACTGATCGTAAATGATCTCTTAATTCCTTAAATTCAAAAGTACTTTTGTCTTTATTTATTTTCATTTAATTTCATTCTTTAAATTAATTTTAATTAATTTAATTTAATAATTAAAAAAAAAAATGGAAAATATTCGAAAAAATCGTACTAAAATAAAAAATAGTTAAAAAAATAGTTTTAAAATTAAAAAATTCGTTCAATATTCTTGTTTGAAAGAATATTTTTATTATAAAAAAAAAAAAATAAATAAACTTACCCGTGAATTTTCATCTAAAAGTGTTCCCCTTCTCACTGAATCGACAAAATGATTATGAGCTGCAATTATTTCATCAAGAGACGATGCTTGTCCTAATTGTGTTGTAAAAACATCCCATGAACATTCAATGACTTCAAAAAGAAAATAATATTGCATCTGATGAACCAAATGCACCATACTACTTGTTATAAGATGAATATGATTTTGAATTGGCAATACTTCGGGCATTTTTCTAAATATTTTCGCAGATGTTATTTGCTGTTTCCAAATTGCCGATAAAATTGTCTCCATTCGTTTTGCACGCCAAAGTAAAAAAAATACTGTTTGATACGTTTGTCGGCATGGTTCCAAAATCTAAAAATTCAATTAATTCACAAAAAAAAAAATTAAAATACCATCAACCGATGCTATTATTGTACAACTAAGTTTTTATTTTTGTAAAATATTCATTTTTACCGTTCCAATCGGTTCATCGAAATTGTAATCAAGTGCAAAGACATCCCAACCGGTTTCATTTTCCGACGATGTCAATAATCGAACATCAAGTCGTCTTTGTACATCAGCGTCCTCTAATTTTGTACTTGTTGCACGAAGAGCTGTTTCCAAAATTGATGATAAATTGTGTGGATAAAGAGAATTTGCTGGTTTCGCCAATTCAGGTCTAAGGAAAAATATTCATTTTTTTTTTTAAATTTAATTTTTCAATTGTTTTTTTTTTCATTTATTATTTTTTCTAAAGAAATTGATTTCAAATATATTTCTATAGTTAAAAATTTTTTGCATAAAAAAAATAGTCTACTTACTCTATCAAATGCATCAAGTGCTGAACAAAATGTCCTTGACCAAGTAACAAATAGCCTTTTATACCCTGTAAATGATCCATAAGATGATATTGTTTTGTCAATATCTCAACAACTCTCGTGGAAGTTTCTTTGTATGCTGCATCCATCATTGTTTGTAACTGTCCATCGGGATCCATATCGAAAAAAGCTTCAACTAAAATCATTGAATTTTCAATAAATAAATAAATAAAAATAGTGAAATTGAGTCTAAGAGTAATGATAATTAATAATTAATATTATTTATCACTGGCGACATGAATTTTTTTTTTTAAATTAAATTAAAATAATTCAAATAATTAATTTAGCGAAAAATTTTAGATTCAAATTTTGGAAAAAGTCGAATTTAGAAGATATTTATATTAAAATTTTTCAGAAATAATTAAAATTTCAAAAAATATTACTTAATTCAACAAAGAATTAAAGTTAAAAATTTGAAAAATAATTGAATTTCAGGAGATTTTTAATTAAACTTTCAAATTAGAATTTTGCAAGATTTTTTAATAAGCTTTAGACAATAACTGAATTTTAGAAAAGGTTGAATTGAAAAATATTTTAAATAAGGAAATTTTCAGAAAATTTTGATGAAAGATATTAGAAATAATTAATTCATCGAAGAAAATTTTAAAAGAGTTTAAGGTAGAATTTTTTAAATAATAATTGATTTTCAAGGTATTTTAAATAGAAATTTTCATAAATTTGAAATAATAAAATGCTTTTACAAACTTCAGACAATAATTGAATTTTAGAGAATTTTTAATTAAAACATATTTTAAATAAATGTAATTTTCCAAGAATTTGATTTAAATGATTGAAAATAATTAATTTTGTAAATAATAATTGTTAATACGTTTTTAAATAATTCAATTTTAAAAGAAGTTTTATACTAAAAAAGTAGTATTTTTTTCAAAATTTTTTATTTAAAAAAAAAATCAAAAATATTTTGTAGTTTAAACGTTTTTTCAAAAATTAAACACAAATTTGTGAGTATAAAATTAAAAAAAAAAAAATACCATATTTTTCGTTTTCCTCACTGAATGCTTCCATATCTCTTCCCTTGAGTGGAGTAAAATCTTTGCAAACTTCTCTCAAAAAATTGATACTCTTTCCAGTGCCAAGAATTTTTTTTGCCTGCGATTTAGTGATAAACGTTGGCACCATTGCATTTCTCACTTGATATTTTTCATGCCACATTCTATCGCCGGCAACATCTGCTCTTGCTTCAATGAAAAATTCTTGATATGGATCATCCAATTCACCATCAGTAATCCATCGCATCAACATATTATAAAGTGGATGACAAACACTTTCTAATATTCTCTTTACAAGAGTCTTAACACCAGTGTCACCATGATGATTAAATTCATAAACTGCCGAAGCTAAAGCACCACCTTTTTGACTTTGACAAACATTCACAATGCTCGCGAGACGTTTTAGAGTTTGTAGAGGATCAAATGCCCAAAGATGAAGATGTGACAGTGTTACACCTTCGAGACCCAAAGAACTGTGCCCTCTAAACAAAAAAAAATATATTGATTTTTAATCATTATTTACTTTAATTAATTTTTATTTTACATTGTAAAAAAGTATTATTTTTTTTTAGATTTGTATTTAAAATTTTTAAATAAAATAAAAAATTTTTTTTTTTTTTTAATAGTTCTTTCAAAAAATTTCAAGCTTTTACAAAATTAAAATCATAAAATTTTTATTTATCCAAATTTACGTTAATTGAAAATCGTCAATTTTTCTCTAAGATTATTTAGGATCTAAAATTATTCTATATTTTATTTTTATTTATTTATTTATTTATTCATAGTCCACACCTTTCGGTTTCGGACGAACTTCCGGTTTACATCTTTCTACTATTACATCAAAATAATTGCACAAAACGTAAAGTTAAAACTTAAATTAAATAAAATTATTCTAACTAACTTTGAAAACGTTAAATTTACATAAAACTAAAAACTAAATTTTTACAATTTATACGCAGATATTGAAAATAAATATCTGAATTAAAAAAAAGATGTAACATTAAAAAACATAAATTTTATGAAAATAAAGTTTAATTTAAACTATCATTATTGCCTTTTTTTGAATATTATAAAAACTATTTTTTCTTAATTTCTTTTCAGATCATTACACAAAATATGTATGTATCCCTATACATAAATATTTTGTGTAATGATAGGAAAAATTGAGACTCGTATGAGTTTTAAGCACTCGCTTTGTTCGTGTGTTAAACTCACATGAGTCTCGATTTCCCTATTTGCATAACTATTAAATTTTTCATAAATTTTTTTTTCAAGGCTCATTATTAAGTTTTCAAATTCCACAGAAATAAAAATATAAATGTAAATTCAGTCATTGTCATGAAAAACAAAATTTTAACAATTATATTTATAAATATCTTGTACCTCATTTGTTGAAATAGACAATGTCAATATTAAATTGTTTAATTTTCACAAATACATATATATTGAAAAAAAAAAAATTTCATTTTTTAATACGATATTTCACAATATATTATATATATTGGCTCATATATTTGCTCAGCAAGAATAAAAAATAGGGACAGTTCGATTATAAAAAGAAATCTAAATATTAATTTTGTTATAGTTGAACTGCAAAGTATCTACAATTATGTTGAACATTATTTTTATAATCGCAACTTTTTCTGCTGGGCTTCTGAGTAAGTTAATTTATTATTATTTTTTTTTCTATATTATTATTATTATTATTATTATAAGTAAAAAAAAACATTTTCATAGGAAAGAATAATTTTTCTCGCCTACTAAAATCTATTTTCAGGCCTCGGATCGAAATTAAAGCACAAAAAAAATCGATTTTTTTTTATTTTAACAAAATTTAATTGGTTAATAAATATTTTACTTTAAATAACTTATGTTATTAGATATTAAATTCATTTTATTAATTTTGTAATGAGAATAATTCTATAAGAATATTAACAAGAAAATTTATTTCGAATATTTCTGTTTTATTTTCAAATAAATTTTTTTTTAAATAATAATAATTTTGGAAGAGTTATAGTTTGAAATTTTTAGAAATAATTGAATTTCAAAAAAATTTTGTTAATTTTCAGACAATAATTAAATTTTACAGAACTAAAAATAATTTTTCAAATAATTTTAGATATAATTTTTTAAAAGTAATTGAATTTTCAAAGATTTAAAATTTTGATTTTTGAAATTAATTGAACTGCAAGTGATTTTTAATTAAAATTTTTTTATTATTTCACTAAAAAATTTTTTAGAAATTGCAGACAAAAATACAATAATTTGAAAACTTTTTAAGTGAAAAATGGTTTCAGATAGTTGAATTTTCGAAGAATATTTTAAAAATCATTAAAAATAATTGAATTTCAGGAGAGTTATAATAGAAATTATTAAATTTCAAAAAATTTTAAATGGAAAATTTTAGAAATAATTAAATTTTAGAAGCTTTTCAATTGAAATTTTTAAAAATAATTGATTTTCAAAAGATTGCGTTAAATTTCAGACAATAATATTATAATAAGAGAAATTTTTAGTGATTTCTGTTGCTAAAGATTTTATTAGAAATCATTTTTAGTAATTTTATTTGCTAATTTTTTAAAAAATTATAAACAATTATTAAATTTTATAAGAATTGTAATTGAAAAATAGTTTGAGATAATTGAATTTGTGAAGAATTTCATTAAAATTATTAAAAATAATTAATTTAGTAAATAATTTTAGTTAAAAATTTGTTAAATAATTGAAATAAAAAAGATTTGAAGAAGATCTGCATTGTATACTAAAAAAAACGTATTTCGTTTAAAAATTAAAAAAAAAAATGTAAAAAAAAGTCGCATTTTATTAAAATAAGTCGAAAAAAGTCGTATTTTTAAATAAAAAGCCAGAAAAAGTCGTAGAAACCGTGGCTTGTATTTAAAAAAAAAATAAAAGATTTACAAATAATTATTATAATTAATGTACTTATTATGAAATTTTCTATAAAATTTTTATAATTTATTATATTTTTATTTATTACTATAAAATTAAAAAAAAAAAACTTGTATTTAATTTCTTGTAATTAATGGAAATAAAATTTTTACAGTTTGTATATCAAATACAGATGCTCAATTAGATAGTTATTATAATTTAACATCAAATGATATAAATAAAAAATGTGAAAATAATGCCGAAAATTTAAATGTAATAGACGAAATTTATAAGGACGTATATAATTATTTAACTGGAGAAATTAAACATGAATTATCAATTGAGGATGCTTTAAATAAGACTGACGACAATTGTATGGGAGATTTAAATCTCACGAATATAATTCAAAGTGGATTAAATGTTATACAAAATTGTCTTAAGGATGATATTTCCCTAACAGACGACGATATTAAAGTTTTAATTCGTCAAATTTTAAACAAATTATGTGCTGTAACTCGACTATGTAAGTTTTATTTATTAATATTTATAAATTAATTATTTATCATTATGTAATTATTAAATTATGAAATTCTCTCATTTTTTTGTAGCATTGTACGAAAATAGTATTAGCAATTGTCTGGATAAGGATTTCCAAGTAAGGTGTCAAGAACAGATATTTAAATCAGAAAATGTTACATCTGATAGTTTTGAAAATGTAGGAGTATTTTCTAATATAGGATTGAAATATTCTCCGAAAGCACGAGAGTAAGTTTTTAAAAAAAAAAATTCATTTTTTTTTCTCATAAACCAGAAAAATTTTCATTTTTTGATGGGGGTTTATAATAAATTATTTTCTACTGATACTATACTATAATAATAAAAAAACAAGTTGTTTATTTCATAACCATTTAGCTTCCTCATCATGATAAACAACACTTATATTATTAGTTTTAAAAAAATTCAAAATTTCAATTTTTTGTTAAAAATAAAAATAGCAATCAAGTTTATAAATATTGGTAAAATGTAAACTTTACATACATCAATCGATTTGTTTTAATGCCAAAAAATACAATTTTGACAAGAATTAATTAAAATTTCTATAAAGGAAAAAGTTATTTTAAAAAATACAAAACACGATTTTTTTCAAAAATTCAAAAAAATTCTAATTCTCAAATTCTATACATTTCAGTAGAATATGAACTTAATATAGGTTAATCGATTCGTTTTAATGCAAAAAATAAGTTTTTGTAAAAAATGTTTTAATTTTTATAAAATATTTTCTCTCTTTTTTTAAAGGTTATTTCTTGGGTTGTTCAATTGTTCATCAACTAGAAAGTGTAATGCTGAACAGAAACTTGCGCATTTCGAATTGAGACAAAGATTGATGGCTACAATATTAATCAAAAATTAAATTTTTGAAATGTACAACAAAATTTACATTAACAAATGTATATAATAAATAAATTTTAATTTAAAAAATGAATTTCAGACATAATTTGAAAAATTTTTAAACAAAATGATAAACTTTTTTAAAAACGTTATGTTTTTAATTTTCAACTGTTGAAAAAAAAAATACAAAATAACTTGTATTCTACTGAAACACTTTTTAAGTAATCGAAGTTTAATTAAATTTTTGAAAAGTGTTATTTGGTAAAATTATTTAACACAACTTTTGTTTTTTTCAAAATTAAATTAAATTTTTGAAAAGTGTTATTTGGTAAAATTATTTAACACAACTTTTGATTTTTCAAAATTGTAACTGAAAAATTTTTAAGGTTGCAAATTTGTTTCAGTTAAAATATTATCAATTATTTTGAAAAATATTAATATTTGAGAAAAATATTATTGCGGACATTTTTTTTAATCGCTCTTTCATATCCAGAACAACTTTCAATTTGGTGAATATATAAAAAAAAAATTATATTAAAAAAAAATTACTTCAAAAATTTGGTTGTACTATAAAAGATGAATTTTGAATCTTAGAATATATATATAAAATTAAATGTAAAAAAAATATATTAAAAATAATTTAAATGAAAAAAAATGTTAAAAAACTTTTAATACAAACGACTCTTTGTTTTAAATCATAATTTTAAATCAAGTTAAATTCAAACATTAATTTTGAAATAAACAAATATAATTACTCACCTATTAACTTCCTCTTGTATTATGGCAATAAATCTATAATATTCTGACAATTCTTTATGAATTGTAGCAACAAAACTATCAACAACTCGTCCACTTCCACTTTTGGTCATTCGTTCCAATCCTCGTCTCACAACATTATGTAAATAACCAAGTTCACTTAATCTCAAGAGTGCTTGTTTTTGTGATCTATTAACTTTTGCAAGTGGATCAATTTGAAAACCAAAATTTGAATCGAGTTTCAATACTTTTCCCTCAATACCTTGGAATGAATAAATCAAATCTTGAACTAAAATATCTTCAGAAATACAATCCTCATTGAAAATTCGACTTATATTTGACGTTAGACATCGAAAATTTGTATCTGCACTTCCCAATGGAACAATTAATCCTTGAGAACAAGAAGATTGCGAAGAATGTGCTGAAAAAAAATTATTTTTTTTTAATACAATTATTCGATTTTTTTTTTTATTGTATTATAATATTTGTAATTTATATTTGAATTTTAATATTTTATTAATTAAAATTAACAATTGTAAAAATAATTTTTACCACTTGTCGATGCAATTGGCAAGTTTAGACCCAATCTCATTTCGGGAAAGGAGAAAACTTTTTCTTTCATTTGCTCTCCTGATTGGCATAAATTAAGAAGAAAAATCAACACGTTCAGTCGATTTTTCAATGGCTGTTAAAATTTTTAAATTATTTTTTAGAGTACATAAATAAAAAATAAATAACACACCCTGAGCAGGCCTTGGATCGAATTTAAGGCGCAAAAAAAAGTCGTTTTATTCGATTTACATTCCAAAAAAAGTCGATTTTTTTATTTTAATTCAATTTAGTTAATAAGTTAATTAGTTAATAAGTATTTTACTTTAAATAACTAATGTTATTAGATATTAAATCAATTTTATTAATTCCTCAATTTTAATTAAGTAGAACAAATTTATAAAAAAAAAAAATTCTGAAAACAATTCAATTTTAGAGTTTTTATTTGAAACTTTTTTAAATAATTGAATTTTTAAAGAAATATTAAAATTATTAAAAATAATTAAACTTTAGAAGAGTTATAGTTTTGAAATTTTTAGAAATAATTAAATTTTAAACAAGTTTTGTTAAATTTTACAAAATTGAAAATAATTTATCAAATGATTTTAGAGATAACATTTTTTAAAAATAATTGAATCTTCAGAGATATACAATTCAGATTTTTAAAATTAATTCAACTTCAAGTGTTTTTTAATTGAAATTTTTGGTGATTTTTGTTGATAAAGAATTAATTAGAAATTGTAGATAAAAATTGAATTTAAAAATTTTTCAATTAAAAAATGCTTTCATACAATTAAATTTTCGAAGAATATTATAAAAATAATTTAAAATAATTATATTTCGGAAGAGTTATAGTTGAAATTATTGAATTTCAGAAAGTTTTAGATGGAAAATTTTAGAAATAATTAAAATTTAGAAGGTTTTAAATAGAAACTTTTGAAATTAATTGATCTCAAATGATTTTGAATTGGAATTTTTTTTTGGTGATTTCTGTTGCTGAATAATTTTTTAAAAATTAAAGACAAAAATTAAACTTTAAAATTTTCTAATTAAAAAATTGCTTTGAGATAATTGTATTTTCAAAGAATATTATAAAAAAAAACATTACAAATTATTGAATTTCGGAAGTGTTTTAATTGAAATTATTAAATTTCAGAAAGTTTTTGATAGAAAATTTTATTTATTTATTTATATACAGGACTTTAAAATAATGTACCCTTTAAATACAATTTGTTTAATATAATTTTAAAAATAATTAAATTTTTTAAAAGTTTTAAATTCAAATTTTTACCTCCATGAAATTGGCATCGACGCTCAGCGTCGAAAATTATTTTTCACAGGACCAAAAATATCTAATCATTTTTAAAAAGTTTTTGGTTCCACATAATAACTTGAAAAGTATTTCTCAAGGCATTATTTGAACAAAAAATTAAAAAAAAAAATATTTCACCTTTTTGGTTCTGTGAAAAACAATTTTCGGCGCTGAGCTTCGACGCCAACTTCATGGGGGTAAATTTTTGGTATGTAATTTTATTTGCTAATTTTTTTTTTAAATTGTAAACTTAATTAATTAAACATAAAATTAAAAAATAGATTAAGATAATTTAATTTGTGAAGAATTTCATTGAATTTATAAAGAATAATTTAGAAAAAAATTTTAGTTAAAAATTTATTAAATAATTGAAATAAAGAAAATTTTAAGTAGATCTGCATTGTATACGAAAAAAGACGTATTTTTTAAAAAAATTTTATAAAAAAATGTAAAAAAAAGTCAAAAAAGTCGCATTTTATTAAAATAAGTCGAAAAAAGTCGTATTTTCGAAAAAAAAAGTCAGAAAAAGTCGTATAATCCGAGGCCTGCCTGAAAAATATTTTATTTGCGTTTTTTTTGTCACAAATAAAATTTATTTGAATTAAATAAAAATATATTTATCTCAGAGTCTAAAATAACTTTTTATTTGTTTTGAATAAAAAAAAAAATTCAGCACAAGTAAAAAATTAATTAACCAAAAAAAAAATTTATTATCAGAAATAAAATTTTATTAAAAACAAATAAAATTTTTTATAGCGCAAATACAGTTTATTAGAAAAAAATAAATATTTATTTGCCCTCCGAGATAAATATAATTTTTCACTGAGTGCATAAAAAAAAATTTTGTGTATATATAAATATTGTAATGACAATTTTTACCCCATCTTTTAAATCATTGTGCAATTTATCAAATTGTACAGCATCTTTTGCAGATAATTTCCCTCTTATTTGAGAAGCAATTGTTATTTCATCCTCACGTACTGTTTCCACTCCTTGTGTTGATGAAAGTACGCCCAATGAGAATCTCAAAAATCTTCTTACAACATCTTTAATAGAATTTATTTATTTACAAAATTATAAAAAACATCGAAATCCAATTTTAGCAAAATCTTACAAATCTTACAAAAAAACTAACAAAAAATGTACGATTTAAAATATTTATTTAAACGATAGATTCGATAAATAATTGACAAATTAAATATATAATAAACATAAGTGGAAAAAAAGAAATTATTATTTATAGTCTTCTTGAAATGTACACAAAAAAAATAATGTCAAATATTTGATTAAAAAAAAAAAAAAAAACAGTTATTTTCATATTAAATACTTTATTCAAATTATTCAAAATTTTGAACAAAAATTCTCAATCAAATTCATTGTAATTTTGCATTAAAATCATTGATATTTTTATGTATATAAAACAAAAACATAACCTTACCTGGTTTTTGCTCTCCACAAAGGGATATAACCATTTTTTGCACCAAATCACTAATTGTCTCTGATTCCATTGCATTTATTTTTATTATTCTAATACACTGTTGAAAATGTAAACACTATATGTCACTAAACCACCTGCAATGGAAAACAAAATAAAAAAAAAAAGATTTTTTTGCATTAGACAATTTTCCATGAATTTGGAATTTTGGAGCTTTCTTCAAACAATACAGTGACCAACTGTCAAATAAAAAAGTATGTCGTCAACAATCGGTCATCATCGTTTTACTCGGAGAAAATATCAATCTCATTGGTGAAAATATGGCGCGTTTATTTAAATATATTGAAAAAATACACAATTCAAATATACGCGCACTTTATTTCGACCAATTGAAAAATATTGACCAAATTGACACATGCGCAGAATATAATCTGTTTAAAAATTTAAAAGGCGGGTATTTTGCCGTCATCGTGCAAACATAACCTTTAAAAGCTTCAGTCCGGTAATTACGTATTTTGATATATTTGTATTAATTAATTGTTTATAGTTTTTTTTTTGAAAATATTGTGAATAAATTAGTTAGGATTTCAGTTAAATAGTGAAAATGGATCGCAAAAGTATTGGAGGTTTAATTGGTAAAAGTTTTAATTCGCCAAGGAAACGAGTGCCAATGGTACAATCTTTAAAAAGGAATAGTTCGTAAGTTAAAAAAAAAACGAATTTATTATTTAAAAACAAAGAATAGAGATTTGTTAGAATAATGGAACTTATTGTTTTAAACAATTTCAATCGCTATAGTATATATGGATTCTTTATTGTTATTAAATTTTAGGTTATGTTATCGAATGCGGAAATTTTGTGATTGTTTTTGTATAACTGTTAAGTTATTCTAATATTGTATTTTTAGAACTTTGAGTGTATCAGGACGTTCAAATCAATCGACACAAATTATTTGTCGAACGGCTGGTCATATAGTGGAAAATTTTGGATCATCTTTGCCGGTTTTGGTGACTGAGGCATTGACATTTGTTGATCGAAATGCCGCTGTCAGTGTTGGAATTTCAGTTGACGGATGGGTTTGGCTTGTTTGTGGACGACGTTTACTTGTATGGCAATGTAAAACAACAATTCACGATGTCAAACAAAGGCGAACATTCAAAAGTCAATGTCGCGAACTTCTTTTGCCACAAAGTGATCTTGCTCACAAAGCAGAATGTATTGCAGTTTGGCTACCACAAGGACATCAGGTTTGAATTATTCTTTTTATTTAGAATTAATAATTGGGCATATTTCTAGAACCTTTAACTTTAATGTCCCTCGCATATATTTTGGTAATTTTAATAAATTTTTCGTTGGTTTTTGTTGGAAATATTAATGCTTGATACAATCAATCATTTCCAAAAGATTCCACTTTAATTTATTAAATACATAAATAATTATTTCAATTTTAATACGCGATTTTTAACAATGTCTACTTGTCCTTAACCATACTTTCTGATGCTTTAAACGATATAGTTTTAGATTTAATAAAAATTACTAATTCTGAAATATTGTTTTTCAATGTTAATTAATCGGTGAACACATTTTCGCAGGGAAATTAATATTTTATTAATTGTGAAAAAATTTATAAGCTTTTAAAAGTTGTCCCTCACTTTTAACCTTTTCAACCGTAATCATCGTATTAATGATTTTTCTTTTATAAGACAAGCGGCACGTTAAAATAACTTATGGGAAATCAAAGATCAAGTTACTATAATTATTTTGAGACATTATAAATTAAAGTGCTTCATGTCTTCAAAAAACTATTATAAGTTAAATAAACGAAAACACGCGAGGACAAAATTTGAAAACAACCGTAATACGAGTGATACTTCATGAAAATCATATAAAAGTATTCGAAAAGTACTTGTATATATTTTCACATGTGCCATTTAACATCCCGTGAATGTGCTTCGAGAAAAAATACTTTATTGCAAAGATAATGTAAAAATATTCATCAATTACGGTCGACCGTAATCGACCGAAATTTTTTAGAAAGAAATTGTTATGTACGAAGTTGCCGATTATAATTTTTTTTATAGAAACTGTCATTAATTATTAAAACCTGAAGGTTAAGTTTTAATGTTTATTTCGAGACACAAAAATGGATCCAAAAAAATTCATTCTGAAAAAAGATAAGATGCGAGAGAAAAGAAAAATAGAAAAGGAAAAAAGAGAAAAGAAATTGGAAAGTTTACGAATATTAAATTTAAATAGAAAAAAGTCTATGAAAATCGTATGGTAAATTTTAAAAATTACAATTTTACATTTTTAAAACAATTCACTATAATAAAAATCTATTTTAAAATGTAATGTAAATATTCAAATAAAAAATTTATATATCTAGTTAATTTTTGACACATGCTTTTATACCCAGTGCATTATTTCAGTATTTTATTATTCATATAAATATTGAAAATATTAAACGAATTTTATTGCTTTTTAAAATTATAACCCCTTAGAAAATTCCCTTCAACTGTTTTTTATCCTAAAAAGCAAACACCTGTTGAATATTTTTTTGTTACAGGTTAAAAATAATTCTCAATTTTAAATATTTATAACTTTTTGAAGACAACTTGTTTTATCTGTCCACTTGTATAATTGGAAAGCTTAGTTCTTGAAGTTTATGTAGACAGAGTTTCAATACTGTGCTCAAAAAAAAAAAAATTTTTTTCTTATTGAAAAGTTAAAGGTTTCAAAGATATGCCCAATTATAAAAATTATTTAAAAAAAAAAATCCGAATAATTTTTTTACCGTTTTGTGCTAATTTTTACTGTAAAAATTTGTTGAAAAAAATAATAATTAGGACTGAAATTTCAAAAAAAGCATTTTTAAGCTGAGAAATTTATTCAAACTACCTAATTCAAATTTAAATTCAAAAATCTATTTTTTACTCCAAAAACATTCGAAAATTATTATTTTTAAAAACAAATTTCATGCTTAATTATGCTTGTAGAATTTAGCACAAAATTTCTTTTTTGATAAATAATAATTTCTGAATATTTTTGGAAAAAAAAAATGTTTTATTGAATTTAAAAATTGAATTAATTTTAATAATTATTTTTATTATATATTTTTATTTTTTTTTTATTATATATTATAATTAATTAATAAGTATTGTACGAATTTTTTTTTGTTCTGGTCTTTCACAATTGTTTATTTTTAATGACATATATAAGTGTCATTTGTCTGCTTCAAAATGTGTGTTTTTTTTTCAATTTTGAGTTCCAAGTATTATTTTTTCAAAAAAGTTTTTGCAGCACAAGTTAAAACTAGCATAAATTAGAAAAGAAATTATAATTTTGAAAAGAAATGGCGTAGCTAAATTTTTTCTCGTAAATTATTTGTTTTTTTTTTTTTAATAAATATTTAAACGATAAATTTAATAATAAAAAACATAATATTATTATCAAATTTTTCAATTAAAAACTAAGTCCAAGAATTTATGCTTTTCAAGAATTCACAAATTCGCAAAATATAAAATGATTAAAAATTATATTTTTATAAAAACTTTATTCTTTCTAATTTTCATTAAATCAAAACTATTATACAACATAATTATTGTTATTATCAAAAATTTCTGCATAAAATAATTCTTTTTTAAATGAGTTTTATTTTCTTAAAAACCAAAATTTACTGTAAAATTTAATTATATACTTTCTGTATGCGTAAAAAGTTATCACAATTTTTGCTTCTAGTGAAAACACTGAAAAAAGTAGAAAAACACGTTTTTCTAACTTTAAATTCATTCCTTGGATTATACGACTTTTTTTTAACTTATGTTAATAAAATGCGACTTTTTCGACTTTTTTTTTAAATTTCTTTAAAAAAAAACGTTTAAACAAAATACGTTTTCTAGTATACACTGTAGGTCTTCTTCAGATCTTCTTTTATTTAACAAATTTTTAACTAAAATTCCTCACATACATTATCACAAATTCAATTATCTTAAACTATTTTTTAATTAAAATTTTTATAAAATTTAATAATTGTTTATAATTTAAAAAAAATTAGAAAATAAAATTACCAAAAATGTTTAATTCACAATCATTTCAAATTTAATTATTATTGCGAAAATTTCAATTATTTTTAATGATTTTTATAATATACTTCAAAAATTCAATTGTCTGAAAGTATTTTTCAATTAAAAACTTTTGGAATTCAATTTTTTTATGTGATTTCTAATAAATCATCATCAACCGAAATCATTAAAAATTTCTCTTATTATAATTATTGTCTGAAATTTAACACAATCTTTTGAAATTCAATTATTTTCAAAAATTTTAATTTAAAAGCTACTAAAATTTAATAATATTAATTAATAAAATTTTCCATCTAAAATTTTTGGAAATTTAATAATTTCAATTATAACTCTCCTGAAATTCAATTATTTTTAATGATTTTTATAATATTCTTCGAAAATTCAACTATCTAAAACCATTTAAACTTAAAAAGTTTTCAAATTATTGTATTTTTGTCTGCAAATTTCTAATAAATTTTTTAGTGAAATCATCAAAAATTTAAAATTAAAAATAACTTAAAGTTGAATCAATTTCAAAAATCAAACTTATTTGATAAATTAATTTTAGTTCTGTAAATTTAATTATTATCTGAAAATTAACAAAATATTTTGAAATTCAATTATTTCTAAAAAATTTCTACTTTAACTCTTCCAAAATTATTATTATTAAAAAAAAAAATTTTATTTAAATATCTGTAAAACTTAATTAAGTATTAATTGCTGGAATTTTTTTTTTGACCACCAAAATTAAAAACTATGGCAAAAAATTTTAATTCGAGTAAATTGCTTAAAAGCAGATTTTAAAACATTATAAAAAAATTAAATTCTTCAAAAATTTTTAATTAAAAATCTAAATTGTAAATCTTTAAAAATTCTATTATTTTTAAAAAATGTTATCTAAAATTATTTGATAAATTATTTTTAGTTCTGTAAAATTTAATTATTGTCTGAAAATTAACAAAAATCTTTTTGAAATTCAATTATTTCCAAAAATTTCAACTTTAACTCTTCCAAAATTATTATTTAAAAAAATTTTATTTAAAAATCTGTAAAACTTGATTTTTAATTCGAATAAATTGCTTAAATAAGTCTTTATAAAATTATAAAAATGGAATTTTAATAATTTTTTTTTTAGAAATTTGTCTTACAATTAGCTCTGCAATTAGTTTGATTCTAAAATATTCGTAATAAATTTCCATGATAATATTTTTATAGAATTATTCTCATTACAGAATTAATAAAATAAATTTAATATCTAATAACATTAGTTATTTAAAGTAAAATATTCATTAACCAATTAAATTTTGTTGAAATAACAAAAATTTACTTTCTCGAAATTTTTTTTGGAATATTAATCGACTTTTTTTTGTGCCTTAAAGTCGATCCAAGGCTTGCAAATTTTTAAATTTCGATTATAATTCATTAAAAATAAAAAAAAAAAAAAAATGTTTATGTCAGGGAAATAAAAAAATTTTTTCTCGTGGCAACCTTTGATTTTAGAAAGAAATTTTTTTTAATAAATATATTTTGTTTAGGTTCCGAGTTGTATGGCAGTTTCTCCAGAAGGAGTTGTCAGATTTTGGACAAGTGTATCTCACGAGGGTTCCTCAGTGGAAACAAGTGCTGAACTTGCTGGTCAAGAAGTCGATTGTTTGACACATGTTCCAGGTCATGGCTGTATTCTTGCAACGACAACTTGCACTGTTGCTCTTCTTCAGCCACAATTTGTTAATGGAAAAAATACAATTTCATGTCGAGTTCTACGTACAAGTCAAGGATGGCTTGGTGGAATTGGCCGAAGAATGTCATCACTTATTTTCGGAGCAATTCCACAATCTCCAGTTACAGAAACGGTAATTTTTAATGAAAAATTTCTTATTTATCTTTTCTGGAAACTTGGATTGATATTAACGTTATTAATTTCTTCTGAATTTACTTTTATTATTATTAATTTTTCTGCTTTTTAATTTCAGAAATTAGTCAAGGTTGTTTGCACAAATTTTACTGACAAAGGTTCGAGGGTTTTAATCCTCGCCGGCACTTCTTTACAGTATTGGTCCTTTCCACAAGGTGAACAAGAAAAAATGGAATTTGAGGAGGATGTTGGTCAAATTGTATCACAAGCATTTCAACGAAGAATTTGGGTACGTTTTGAAGATTAAATTACAAATTAATTTTTAAATTAATTTTCATTTGGATTTATTGATTTTTGTGAAATTTTTAGGAATCAAGTGCTTGCAGTCCTCAGAATATGGATACGTGGCTAATTGATATGCAACCTTACGAAGAAGGAATTGTTTTATTTGTGGCTGCTCACAGTCCAGAAGTTTCTACAAAGGTTCATTTTGCTATCGGTAAAATAGTATTCAATTTTTTTTTTTAAATATATAAATAAACCTACATTAATTTTTATTGGATATTTTATCATAATAATTGACAATTCTACATATAAAATTTCTAAAATGGTTGAATATACTTTTTTTTTTATTTTGATAACGTAAAATATTTTTAAATTCTAAATAGTGAAATTAAAGTTAAATAAAAATTTATTTTTTAGGTTTTGTTCCTCTGAATGGAACAACATTGGGAAATGCATTCAAATGGTTTATGCCAGTGAAACTTGGTTATTTTATTTATAACGAGAATCCAGTTTGTTTGGATATTGTTTTGTCTTATCGTTTCATTCTCTCTGGATGGGAGGCGATAATTTATAATGAGCACAATGTTATTATAATAAACAGTGAGTTTTTAGTTGAAATTTATCCTTTAAATTTAAAATTAGTTTATTGAGAAATTTTTATATTTTTTGTTTTTTCAGCACTCGTTGAACATGAACAGGATAAAGTAGATATCGTGAGAGGTGGTGAAGATAGCATTCTCGGTGGTGCTTTATGTTCGGGAACTCCCGTTTTGTTCACTAGAAATCTTGGACTTGTTTCAATTATACCAAATGATTTTACAACTCAGGATTTCAATGCGTAAGTTAAATAATTCAATTTAATTTTAAAATAATTTTAATGAAATTTTTTTCCAAATTCAATTATTATTTTAAACTATTTTTCAAAAAAAATTTTATAAAATTCAATAATTGTTTAAAATTAAAAAAAAAATTCAGAAAATAAAATTACCTAAAAATTTCAATTCAAAATTCACTTGAAATTCAATTATTTTCAAAAATTTAAATTTTAAATCTTTAAAAATTTAATTATTTCTAAAATTTCCCATCTAAAACTTTTTGAAATTTAATAATTTCAACTATAATTCTTACGAAATTCAATTATTTTTAATAATTTTAATATTTTCTAAAAAAAAATTTAATTATTTAAAAAAATTTCAAGTAAAAACTCAAAAATACTTGATTTATTATTGATATATTATAATAATTATTATTATTGAATTTAATTAAGTTAATTTATTATTAGTAAATTTCCATTAAATTATCAAATATTTATATTTTTTATAGTCTTGAATTTATTGAATTAGTTTTTCATTTTTATAATTTTTTTAAAGTAGTATTTTGCTTATTTCATTTTGTTCAATTGTATTTTGTTTTTTCATTAGTTTTTTAAATACTTATTTATTTTCTTTTAGTCACTTAATTTAACAAATTTTTTTTTTTTTTTATTTTTGCTATGCATTTTACATAATTCTGTTTAATCGACATTTTTCCATTTTTCCTTTGTGCAGAAGTTATTCGGATGTTAGTGCAAGTGTTGATTACAGTTGTAACGCAAGTATGGCTGGTGAAAATTTTTATACGATAACAAGGAATGAGGAATTACAAGAAATGTTTTGTAGATCAGATCCTTGTGCACAATTACGAGCTGCATTTCTTCTTCGCTTACGTCAAAACAAGGTAACAAAACAGAAATAACAACTATAAAAGAAAATGAATGAATAAAAAAATGAATTTCAAACTATAACTCTTCAAAAATTCAATTATTTTTAATGATTTATTATTTTAATATTTCTTTAAAAATTCAATTATTTAAAAAAAAGTTTCAAATAAAAACTCTAAAACTGAATTGTTGTCAGAATTTTTATTAGAAATTTGTCCTACTTAATTAAAAAATTTTTAAATTTACGTTTTCGATTCTGAAATATTCGAAATAAATTTTCTTGATAATATTCCTATAGAATTATTCTTATTAAGGAATTAATAAAATGGATTTAATATCTAATAACATTAGTTATTTAAAGTAAAATACCTTATTAACTAATCAAAATAAAAAAAAATCGACTAAAACGACTTTTTTTGCGCCTTAAAGTCGATCCGAGGCCTGAAAATATTTTAATTTTATTTTTTGTTACTATTTTTGTATTGTTTAAATTTTCAATTAAATGAAATTAATTTTTTTTTAATATGTATTAATTTTCAAAATATGTACAATATTTTTAGGCACAATGCGAGGAAATTCTTTCTCAACTATTTCCATTACAAGAAGAACCAGTTATGGATATTGATGCGAATCTTGATACTCTTATTTTAAAAGTGGCAAAGGATTTAATTGACGATTATCCTGCAAATGATCCTCGATGGACCAATCATCGTGATTTATGTAAGTTATAATTTTGTTTTTTTTTTCTTCTAATTTATGGCAATTAGATTAAATTTTTTTCTCTTTAAACTTTTAAAAATTAAATTCATTAACTGTGAAATATAATTACATTTATTGTATAATTTATAGAATTATAATTAATTATTTGTAATTAAATTATATTAATTTGCAGCAATGACGTTAAATTCCGTTACATCAATGCACATACCTCATCAATTGGAAGCGAAACAAAAAGCTTTAGATCTATTTATAACATTTTTAAAAGAATACGGATTATGGGATAGAGTAAGTGATTAAAAAATACACTTTTTCTACAATATTGTAAACAGTTTTTTTTTTTTTCTTATTAAATTCGAAATAAACAATTATTATAAGAATCTAGTAAAAATAAACTTTTAAATAAATAATAATTCATGAGAATTTTTGAAAATATTCAAATAATTTGTTAAAATGTAAAATTTTACAGTTTTGAAATAAATAGAAATTGATAATTTTTTTTTTTTTTTGTTTTTAGTTCTGCGCTGTTTCATATAGAGGAATAATTATGTCGACATCATTCGTTTTAGCTGAGTACGCTGAGAAAATTGTCGCATCTCTATCAATTTATAATATTCAACAGAAGTGAGTAAAGAATTATTTCAAAATTTTTGAAAATTAATAAATTAAATTTAAAAAAAAAGAAATTAATTTAAAAAAAAAATCATTTAGATTCGCAGACATTGTCGATGCAATAATAGAAAAAACTTTAAAGCCAGAAGCATACGTTTCGGATGAACTTAGCTCGCATGATATTTTCTATCGAGAAGTGAGCACTGTTCATAGATTTTTGCCAAATTTGGTAGAAAGTGCAGTTGAAGTGACACAATCAGAAAGGCCAACACTTCAAATTGCTCAGTATATAATGCACATTAATTCCATTCTTTTGGTAAGAACTTGTTTTTATTTTAACTTCTTTTTTCTTTATTTTTGCTAACAAGTAATTGTCTCTTTAAAGAAATATTACGTTCATTTGAAATTAATTTCTTGAAATATATAATTATTTTCATTAGAGTATATTGCACGAAGTTGTAAAATATAGACAGTACAATGCAGAGAGATTTGCACCTTCACGATGTTCAAGTGGAATTGCCGAATATCTTCCATGGACGGCTGCTACAGGAAAACACAGTTTAAAAACTTGTCTCAACACAATGGTTCGTAAAACAAATGGATTATCATTTTTTAATGAATTAAATAATTGCATATATATATGGAACTTTCAACTTTTCAATGAAAAAAAAAAGGTTAATTTATTCTATTTCACACTAAAGTCGTTGCGGACTTTTTTTTTACAAAATTTTAAAAATTACGAATCTTATATTTCGTAATAATAATTTTTGATATACTAATCATTTTTGACAATTTTATTATTTAATAAAATTTTATATTTTTACCTTCATTGACCTTCATTTCAAAAAAAAAAATATATATAGATCAAATAATTAATTATTTTATGAAAAAGACCAAAGTATTAGATGAAAATTAATTTATTAAAATTATTTTTTTTTCAGCAATCATTAACACTAAAACACGGTGTTGTTGGAACCAATGATTCATCATTAAGAAATGTATTATATGAACAACTAGTCAGCCTCATTGATTTAATACTCGATGGACGAAAATGTCATTTAGAGAGTATTCGTGGAACTGAGAAATTTGAAATTTTACTTAAACAATACGAGACAGAGCGAACCAATTTAATTCAACCGCTTGGTAATTATTTTCTTTTTCATTTTGAAAATCAGTTTTAAAAAACGCAATGAAAATATAAAAATTTTTTTTTTTTTAATATTCTATTTAAAATTAATAAAAATAAACATAAGTTTTTAAAGATTAGAGAAATTTATTTTAATTCAATTTCTTTGCTTTATGGTACAAATTTATTATTATCCGAATTATTATTTAATTAAATTGTTATTTGACTGAATTTTTAATTAAACAAATTTGCATTAGACCAAATTTTAATTAAAAAATTTTCGTTTGTCTTAATTTTAATTTTTTTTTTTATTTAATTAATAAAATTGTTTAACAAAATTTGCTTTTCATCAAATTTTCCTTTGATTTTTAAATAAATTTTTATTTAACAAAGTTTGACAAAATTTTCTTTAAAAAAAAATTTTAATGTAACCAAATTTGTACATATTTAACAGAATTTGCAATTAACCTTACTTTTGATTGATTTTTCATTTAATTGAATTGTTATTTTGCAGAAAAAAAAATTGTAGAAATTCTGAAATAATTAAGAATAAACTTTTTAAAATAAAAAAAAATAACAGAAAAATTGATAAATATTTAATGATTATTATTAATAAATAATAAATACTTAATGTTTAAATAAATTTTTTAATTTTAAATAAAATATTTATCTTTTGCAGTTAAAGAAGAACAATATGAAAATGCGGCGATGCTTGCTGAAAAATATTACGATTTTGCAGCTTTGGTTCAAATTTGCGAACTAACGAATAATAAAACTCGTTTAGATAATTATATGGAGAGATTTGCTTCACATGATTTTGTGGGATTCCTCTTCTCTTGGTGAGTCTTTCAAAAATTTTAATGGTAATTTTTACTACTAATTTATTATTCGCCTATTCTCATCGTTAATATCTAAAAAATATCATTATTTTGAATTCAATTCCTTATTTTTTTTTTTAGAAACCTTTTTTTTTTATTTTGAAATTTTAATAAATTCTTGACAAAAATTGTATTTCTTACATCAAAAGAAATCGACTATCTTTATAAAGTATACATTTTTTATCAGAATTTATAAAATTATTCTTATTGCATAAAAAATAATTTATAAGTTAATTTTAAAATAATTAGTGCGATTCCAAGTGAGATTTTGACTTTTTCGGAGTAGGTTAACCGATTGCAATGAAACTTTGGAATTTTGTTATATATAGTAAGACTAATCTTTAACGTAAATTTCAGCCTAAAATATTTGTTAGTTTACGAGATTTGCAATAATAACAAAAAATTTAAAACTGCTATATCTTCCGTTCTAATAAACGGATTGAGGTCTACTTTTTTTTAAAATGTCAAGGAAAATGAGAGGAATAAATCTCTTTCAGAACATTTTTTTATAATTTTACAACTAAAAAAATTATTAAATAATAATTGAATAACTTTCGCGCGACTAACTAAAATTCAATCACTTAAACGCTAAAATGATCTTACCTGTGTTTTCTTTAATGTTCCAAAGGATTTTTATTGTAAATGTAAGTTTAACTTAAGAAATTTTATTAATTTATTAGTATAAACAATTGAGATTTCTGCTAGTTGACGTGCAGACGACATTGCGCACGCAGCATTCTCACATAGCCAATTTAGTCCACGAATCACGTCAGTTGGCTATGTGAGAATGCTGCGTGCGCAATGTCGTCTGCACGTCAACTAGCAGAAATCTCAATTGTTTATACTAATAAATTAATAAAATTTCTTAAGTTAAACTTACATTTACAATAAAAATCCTTTGGAACATTAAAGAAAACACAGGTAAGATCATTTTAGCGTTTAAGTGATTGAATTTTAGTTAGTCGCGCGAAAGTTATTCAATTATTATTTAATAATTTTTTTAGTTGTAAAATTATAAAAAAATGTTCTGAAAGAGATTTATTCCTCTCATTTTCCTTGACATTTTAAAAAAAAGTAGACCTCAATCCGTTTATTAGAACGGAAGATATAGCAGTTTTAAATTTTTTGTTATTATTGCAAATCTCGTAAACTAACAAATATTTTAGGCTGAAATTTACGTTAAAGATTAGTCTTACTATATATAACAAAATTCCAAAGTTTCATTGCAATCGGTTAACCTACTCCGAAAAAGTCAAAATCTCACTTGGAATCGCACATTAATAATATTATCATTATTAATGAAAAAATATTATAATAATACATAATAATTGATAACAATGAAAGCAGAATAAAATAATGGAAAATAAAATCCAAATTTAAAAAAAAAAAATGAAATGAACAATAATTATTTAGGTATGTAAAAGACGGACGACAAGGTCAATTAATTGAACGATGTAGACGAGGTGGGGCTCCTGAATTAACAGAAAGATTATCTGAACATCCCTCAATATCTTGGGTGCAAACAGCATTAACTGACGAATTACGTCTTGCTGCAAATACACTTCATTCATTAGCCACTCAAGAAAATGAACTTGTTACCAGGAAAAAAGTAATTCATACAAAAATATACTTAATCAACATTTTAATTTAGAGAACAAAAATTAATGATATCTAGTTTTAAATACGATTTTTTTTTTCTTTATTATGAATATTTAACCGATAAGTAAAAATTATTTAATAAAATCAAGCATAAAAAGATTTATGATAATAAAGAATTTAAATACTAAAATTTTCAAATAAAACAAATTTCGAGAAACTTATTAATTTAATATTAGTACTTGAACATTAAAAAAAAAATAAAATAAATTAGAATTTCTTTGGAAATTTTATAAAAATTTACTATTTCAGACGATGTTATCGCTTTCAAAACTTGCTTTATTGGCATCTAATGAACCTGAGAATGAAATAAAGGATTGTACCAATAGAATAAATAGAGAACTCTCTCTAATTGCTCATCAGGAAGATTTACCTGCTGAGGTGCTTGCTACCTATGGATACGATATTGATAAACTTCGAGTACTCACGCCAACTGAGCTTATTATTGTGAGTAATATTTTTTTTTTAAAAAAGTAATTTCATTATATTTCTATCAAAGTCGTTGATAAATTTTTTTTTAAATTACGATATTTTGCAAGAATTATTTTTTTTATGGGCATATCTTTGAAACCTTTAACTTTTCAATAAGAAAAAAATTTTTTTTTTTTTTGAGCACAGTATTGAAACTCTGTCTACATAAACTTCAAGAACTAAGCTTTCCAATTATACAAGTGGACAGATAAAACAAGTTGTCTTCAAAAAGTTATAAATATTTAAAATTGAGAATTATTTTTAACCTGTAACAAAAAAATATTCAACAGGTGTTTGCTTTTTAGAATAAAAAACAGTTGAAGGGAATTTTCTAAGGGGTTATAATTTTAAAAAGCAATAAAATTCGTTTAATATTTTTAATATTTATATGAATAATAAAATACTGAAATAATGCACTGGGTATAAAAGCATGTGTCAAAAATTAACTAGATATATAAATTTTTTATTTGAATATTTACATTACATTTTAAAATAGATTTTTATTATAGTGAATTGTTTTAAAAATGTAAAATTGTAATTTTTAAAATTTACCATACGATTTTCATAGACTTTTTTCTATTTAAATTTAATATTCGTAAACTTTCCAATTTCTTTTCTCTTTTTTCCTTTTCTATTTTTCTTTTCTCTCGCATCTTATCTTTTTTCAGAATGAATTTTTTTGGATCCATTTTTGTGTCTCGAAATAAACATTAAAACTTAACCTTCAGGTTTTAATAATTAATGACAGTTTCTATAAAAAATATTATAATCGGCAACTTCGTACATAACAATTTCTTTCTAAAAAATTTCGGTCGATTACGGTCGACCGTAATTGATGAATATTTTTACATTATCTTTGCAATAAAGTATTTTTTCTCGAAGCACATTCACGGGATGTTAAATGGCACATGTGAAAATATATACAAGTACTTTTCGAATACTTTTATATGATTTTCATGAAGTATCACTCGTATTACGGTTGTTTTCAAATTTTGTCCACGCGTGTTTTCGTTTATTTAACTTATAATAGTTTTTTGAAGACATGAAGCACATCAATTTATTATGTCTCAAAATAATTATAGTAACTTGATCTTTGATTTCCCATAAGTTATTTTAACGTGCCGCTTGTCTTATAAAAGAAAAATCATAAATACGATGATTACGGTCGAAAAGATTAAAAGTGAGGGACAACTTTTAAAAGCTTATAAATTTTTTCACAATTAATAAAATATTAATTTCCCTGCGAAAATGTGTTCACCGATTAATTAACATTGAAAAACAATATTTCAGAATTAGTAATTTTTATTAAATCTAAAACTATATCGTTTAAAGCATCAGAAAGTATGGTTAAGGACAAGTAGACATTGTTAAAAATCGCGTATTAAAATTGAAATAATTATTTATGTATTTAATAAATTAAAGTGGAATCTTTTGGAAATGATTGATTGTATCAAGCATTAATATTTCCAATAAAAACCAACGAAAAATTTATTAAAATTACCAAAATATATGCGAGGGACATTAAAGTTAAAGGTTCTAGAGATATGCCCTTATATGTTTCTATTGGGTGATCAAAAATTTTTTTTAAGAAAATCTAAAAGATTTTTTTTTTACAAGAAATTTATTTTTTTTATTTTTTATTTTTTATTCTTGAATTTTCAAAATTAGTATTTCAACGACTTTTACCAAAATTAAATGAAACGAATTTTTCGTTTATTTTTATTTTTTCAAAATAATAATTTTATGAAAAATCTCCATTTTTTTATTTTCTAGTTATATACTTGTGAGGAAAATGATGGCTCTAATGAGTATGATTTCAAGAAGGCACTAGATTTGTTAGATTTTGTCGAGCAGGAAGAAGAGAAAGCATCATTAAAATTGAGAATATGGGCACGAGTTGCACGACGAGATAAATGGGATATTGTCACAAAAAATCCAGAGCAACAAGTACAAGAGACATTGTTCTTTAAATTAATGGATCTCACTCATTTTATGGGTAAGAATTAAAGGAAATTAAATTTAATTACATTTTCTCATTATTATTTCCAATTTAACTGTCTTTAAATTTTTTTTTTTTAAATATGTAATTTAATTTTAATTTTTTTATTTATAATTTTATTTATATTTATTAACTTTATTTTTCAATTCTTGAAAAAATTAATTGATAATATGAATTTTATTTAAAGGTAATAAAATCGAAACTTTTCTTCCATCGGTCGATTTACTTCTTGCCGAACAAGAATTAGGAGATCTCGCAGCTTCCAGTAATTTTCAATATCTCATTAAGTTAGTTTATGAATACGCTTATCATAATTATTAATTTTTATTAAGACAAATATTGTATAATTCAAAGATTTCATAATAAATTTTCATTTTTACAAAAAAAAAAAAAATTCTTTATCAATGTAATATATTGAAAGTAATTACTGATTTTACTAAAAGATTTTTCTAAATTAAAAAATTTGTATTTTTAATTAAAATAAATAAATATATTGTTTACTTTATGAGTATTATCATTTTAAAAAATAATAAAAAAAAATTTCTTTGTAAAAACTAAATAGAAAACATTTTCGGTAAAAGGAATTTTTGTTTTATTCATTCCATATTTTTGTCGATAATCGCAAAAAAAAAATGATGATCAAATTTTTAAGTTTCAAATTATTTTTATTCTTAAAGATAAAATTGTGTTTGTACTAAATTTGAAAAAAAAACTTATAACAAAATATGAATGTAAATAACAAGTAAATGACGTCTTATTGTGCGATAAATATTAATTAGCGTTTTAAAATAACAATATTTAAAAAAAAATTCATTAAGTAGAAAATTGAATTAATATAATAAAAATCCAAAGTTTCCTATCCTTATTTTTTTTAAAAACAAACTCTAAACAAGTTAATATAAAATGGCAAATTTTAAATTTTCGTTGATTTTTCGATTTTAAAATAAATTTTGGCTCAATTAACACATTTTTTAGCTTCTCTATTAGTCTGTAACAATTTTTATCTCATCTATGAAATTATTTAACTTTTTCTTAAAAATTAATTAAAGTACTTTTTTGTATAACTAAAAATATATTTAAAATTGATTTCATCAAAAATTTGAAAGATCCAATTGTACAATTTTCAAAAAAAAAATTATTTTGAATTAAAATTTGTTTCTAAATAATAATTAATCAACATTTTGTGTTGTTTTTTTTTTTAAAGTTAGTGAACAATTCTAATTTTCATCCAATTTTTATAAACAATAATTGATAATTTTTCTCTTTAAAAGATTCTTTACAATTCTCATTTTGTGTTTTTGTTAAAATAATGTTTTGTTTAAAAAATATAAAAAATAAAATTTGTTTATCAACTTTTCAACAAAATATTATTACGTTAATAAAATTCAACGAACAGAATTGTAGAAAATATTTCAAAGAGCAAAATAAGTTATTTTTTTTTGTAAAAATTGGATAAAATTTACAATTATTCAGCAAATTTAAACAAAAAATAATTATTATTTAACTCAACAAATTTTTGCGCAAAATAATTTATTATGAAAATCATATTTTCAAAATTTGATAAATTTTTGGCGAAAAAAAAAATCTCTTTTTTTTTAAATTCTTATAAAATAACAATCGAGGTATTATGCATGTAAATTAATAGTACTGTCTTTGAAATTTGTATTTCAATACGAAAAACAAAAAATTAAGACTTATTTTTTTTATTAAACTAATATAATTAAGAATATCTTTTCTTTTTTTTTCTATTCACAAAATAAAATAATTTGCGACTTTTTAAAATTCATTCTCTTTCTTCTACTATATTTAAAAATCATAAGCCATTGTTATCCTGAGAAGAGAGATTTTATGATTCCACTAATTTCTCTTTATTATTTTTAAGTGTATTTGTTGATGTCCCTTCGATAACATTAGGTTTCCTCAAGCCTAATAGGAGATGCGACACATTTTCATAGACAACAAGAGTGACGACAGTTGCTGGGATTACTCTTATTAGATTCATACTCAAACCCTTGTAAAAGCCGCGCCAACCTTCAAACCTGCAAAAAAAACCACCAGCAATACGTTCATACTAATTTTTTTTTTTAGAAAAAAAATTATATATTTTTTTTTTATTTTTAATAAAAGCTAAATAAAATAAAAATCCAATTATTAAAAGGAAAAAAAAAATAGTAGAGACCTGCGTACGATTCTTGATACAAAGTACGCTCTTAAATTTCAAAAGTTAATTGAAAATAAAAATTAACAAAAAAAAAAATATATTTCTGTGTAATTTATCTTTACATCAGCAATAAATCTTGAAAATTCAAAAATCGTACTGCTGGTGGTTTCACCTTTACCAACGGGACACATTTATTATGAGAATAAATTTCTCAAGATGTAATTAAAGTAGAATAATTCATTTTTTTATAAATATTAATATTAATGACTGAAAAAAATTATTACGAATTTAATTAATTGATTAGAATAACAATTGATAAAAAATTTTAGAAATTAAAAAAAAATGTTTCTAAATAAATTGTTCCTGTAATAATAATTTATAACAAAAAATAATTATAATTATTATTAATAAAAATAATTAATTTATTAAAATTAAACTTAAAATTTCTAATCACAGAAAACAACTAATTTCTAATTAAAGAATTTTATTAATAACTAAGTCACACATTTTTTTTTGTGCCAGCGTTTTGAAATTAATTTTTTTCCCCATTTTTTTTTTTTTTTAACCAATTCATTATTTACAGTTGAAAGGATATAAATAAATTTCTCCTATTATTTACAAGTTGGCGTGACAAGAAACCTTAACACTACTTTTTTTTTTTTCTTTTTTCTTTCATATAACTATATTTTTAGAATGCTCATTGCATAAAACGCTTATCACGAATTTAATCGAAGACAATAATAATTATCAATGTAGACACAAAACATGAGTGTATAGTTTTGAAATTTATATTATATTTTATTATTTTTAATATTTATGAAAAATGTTAGTTTAAAAGACGAAAAGATCCAACTCGTATTTTTTTGAAAAATTTAATTGTATTATTTTGAATTGTTAATTTCAATATAATTAATTTTTTTTTCGGCTAATTTTTCTTTTTTGAATTTAAATAGCCATTTATTTGCAATTAATTAACTAATAATTTAACTAAATTTTTTATTTGTTAAATGTATCGTATCGAACGCCATTATTATTTTATATATATATTACAAATTAACTTTGAGCTACATTCCCACTCTTAAAAATCAATTCAGATTATGTAAAATCTTAGTTGACATTTTTTTAACTACATTTTTTTTTATTATTTTTCACAATATTTGCAAATTATAATAAAAATCTAATTTATTTCGGTTAAAAAAAAATCAAATAGATATAAAGTAAAAAAAAAAAACTTTAAAATAATACATTTTTTGTAAATTAAATATGTAATTCTTCAATTTATGAATGACAAGAAAAATGTTTCTATTTCATCAATTAATTGGTGATGCACAAATATTTTCCACATTAGATTATTCGAAATTTTTCAGTTTTATTCAAAATTATCGAAAAATTTCTATTTAACTAAATTCCGATTTTAATAGAATTTCTATTTCTATCGAATTTTGAAATAATACAATTTAAAAGTGTCCAGAAAAATTTTCATAAAAAAAATTTACTTTAAGCTGAATTTTTATTTTACATTACTTTCATTTGACCGAATAAATATTTGTTAGAAAAATTTTGTCCCTAATTTTGTAATTAACTAATCAAAAAATATTGACGAAATTATAATTGGTTAATTTTAAAATTAGCGACCAAATTTTTCTGCCTACTATTTATTCGGACAAATGAAAGTTCGGTAAAATAAAAATTCGGCGTTTTAAAATTCTGTTTTAAAAGTTAATTTAAACAAATGAAAATTTGGCTAGAAAAAAAGTAAATGAAATTTCTGTGAAATGGAAATTCTCTAACTTAAAATTTCAGCTAAATAGAATTTATCTTAAATGAAAATTCTGTTTAGGGGAGATTTTAAACAATCAATCGTATGGATTAAAATTTTTATAAAATAAATAATAATAAAATTATATTTTTATAAAAAAAAATAATAAATAAAATTTATTTTTTATATAAAGTTCTGCTAAATAAAAATTCGATAATTTTTAATACAACTCAAAAATTCCAACAGATATAATTTGGAAAATAATCATATGACCCAATGAATTAATAATTGTATGAAATAAAAATAATAAAAAAAAAAACAAAGCGCTCTTCTTAGATACAATTAATTCTCTTATTCGAGAAATAATTTTTTTTTTTTTGAGCATAAGACATAGTTTATAAGAAACTTAAAATAATATTCTTTTTTTTTTAATATTAATTATTAGGCAAACTAGAGTTAAAATTGTCCTATATACAATATAATAAACACAATTTTTGTTTAATTTATATTGTATTCTAAGTTTATTGCATATTAGTCTTATCAACTAATAGGAATAATATTTGAATATAAGTTTTGCATTTCTAAATACCCTCTTTTCATGTGAGGGAATCACATCAAGATAAACATGCACAAACAACGCTTAAGTAGTTTTAACTCCTTATTTACAATGACCATAATATTGGATTAAAAATAAGCTCTTTTAAAAAAAAAAATATAAATAATTCAGATAAAATTGACAGAATTCGTTAAAAATCACAGTATCAAAAATAAAATGGAAGTTGTATTTTTTTCGATTAGATGATTTTTAAAATTAAGTTAAAATAATTGTTTGAAAAATGATAATACTTAAAAACTTTTTTTTTAAATCAAATTAGTAGACATTAAAATATATACGTCTTTACTATTCTAATATTAAAAAAAATCGATTTCATTTTTTCAATCTCTTTCCAAATTCTAATAATGATTAATAAAGAAAAATTCATTTGTATTTTTCTACAAATAACAAGTTATTAAATTTCCTTTAGAGAGCTTACTTAGGAAATAAAAAAAAAAAAAAAAAAAAAAATCCAAAAAGAACTACAAAAGCGAAAAATGAAAAATAATTTCACTTCAGTTAATGTGCATATTGTCTTATCAATGAATGGAGTTTTTGTGGAAATGTAGTTATATAGTTGTGTGTATGTGTGTGTGTGATAATAACCCGATACATTCACAGTTTTATTATTATCAATTAATGCAAATTGAAATAACACTTTCAACACAGACAATTTCTACCCTTCTTTAGAAGACAGAAATATGTATATATATATATATTTTTAATTTTCCTAATCTTCAGAGAACATTAAGATTTATGTGTCAGAAGCTTCCAGATCTATTCATATAAAATAATTCAAAATGAAACGAGATATTATTATTATTATTATTACATATTTGTAATACTGATTCACGTGTATGTGCATTCTTATAAATTAATGACAAATATTATGCTTTGAAAATCGAAAAAAAAAAAAAAACAAAATGTTTACAAAATCCGATTTTTTTCAGAAATTCAAAATATTTACAAAATCTCTCTCTAAAAAAAAAGAAACAGAAGTAATAGATAATTTATTTAGATTCTTCTGTCACATTAATAAATTAATTCTTAATGTGCCCCCAGCGTTTAAAACACTGACAACAATAACTCGAAATGTAACACTAGGAGAAAAAAAAATTGCTTTTGGAAAAAAAGATATTTTTTTAAAAAATGTTATTATTTATATGTAAATATTTTAAAAGCAATTTTTTCCCTTCAAGTGTAATTCATTTGTCCCGTTAAATGTGTTGAGAAATTATTTTCCACTAATTAAAAAATATTAATTATATACACGAAAGATTGAATTCTGCCGGGGAAATAAGAAAGCATGCAAACTGCATGATGCATTTTGCCTTAAGTCAATGTATGTTTTTTTTTCAGTCAAGGATTGTTTTTTTTTTTATCTAAACAAATAAGTACTGTGTGGATTTTATTTGCCCCTTTCTTTTTTTTTCGTTTTGCAAGATTTGTGCTATCAGCAGTTGGAAGTGTCTTACTTACACGGCAGAATTAATCTAACTATCTACACCGAGAACAAATTTTTTAATTGATGGAATAATATCATTAGTGTTTTCATAAAAAAACATAACCACAAGTATATTTGGTGTAACGTGTAACATATATGGTGATATGCCTTTATAAAAACCCTTAAAACCTTCTGACCTCCATGTCCTGTTAATGCAATCCACTGTTCCTCTATAGTCGTGATGTTGATCCTGTAATCGAGTCCTGACAACTTGATAGGGATAAGTGCAAATAGCTGCTACAAATTTTGACAATGCCGCAAATATCACATTGCTCACGTAGCCCTGTAAATTGTATAATTTTTTTTTTAACTATATTAAAAAAAAAAAAATTCTAATTTTTTTTTGCTATTCAAATTGATAGAAAAGATCGATAAATGTAAAAAAAATACAATTATAATGTATGGAATAAATAGAAAAATTTGCAAAAAGAAAATTTAATTTATTTAAATAAGGTTTTTTAAAAAAAGAAATACTTACTAATTTTGTGTCTAGTGGCATTCCTTTATAAATATTGTACCTAAGTTTTGATTCTTCATAAATAACAAATTGAATGCATCCATGTGTTACACCAAACATTCCAGGAACTAAACCCTGTAAATAATAAATTTAATTAAAAAATACTATTAAAAAGTGGTGCATGATTATTCCATAAGTTTGAATTTTCATTTTAAAGAATTTTATATAATTATTTTTCAAAATCGAATTTTTAAACGAATTTTGGAACATATGATTATCCTATAAAAATAATTAGTTACAATTTTCATTTTAAAGAAATCATAGAAGTATTTTTTTTTTTCAAATTATCATTTGACAAAATTTATTTTAAAACAAATTTTTACTTTACATAATTTTTAGATAGTAAATTTTTATTTTACAGAATTTCTCTTTACACAACTTTTTATTTCAAAGAATTCTAAATTTAATCGAATTTTAATTTAGCAGAATTCTTATTTAATACAATTTTAAGTGCTTCGAATTTTTAAAAATTAGAATTTCTAATTTAGCGAATTTTAATTTGTCCAAAATTTTTATTATGTACTAATTCGTATCACTTAAAATTCAATTGAATGAGAATATTATGTTAAGTTAAAATTCCGTTAAATTAGAATACTTTTAAATAAAAAATTTAGTAAAGAAAAATTTTGTTAAATAAAAATTAGTTCAAATGCTAATTCAATAAAGGAAAATTTGTCTAAAAAAATAATTATATCAAATAAAATTATTTACATTAAACATTCTAACTAATAATTATTTTTGTGGAATAATTATGTGCCACCGAATTTTAATTTAACAAAATATTAAGATACAAAATTCTTATTTGACAAAATTTTTATTTTACAAAAATTCCTTTTACCAAATTGTTTATTTGAAAGAATTCTAGTTTATTTGAAATTTAATTTAGCAGAATTCTCATTCAATAAAATTTATGTGATAAGAATTTTTTAATTGATAGAATTCATAAAAATGATGAATTTTCATTTGTCCGAAATTAAAAATGTCCGAACTGAACAATCACAAATTTTTTAGATAATTTCTAATTGAACAATTTTAAAAATTGCACGGGAATTTTTTTTTTTAGGTTATGTTTGTTCGGACATTTTCAATTTCGGTCAAATAAATATTTAGCGCTTAATAATGAGAATTCAATTAAATAATAATTTATGTAAATAAAAATTCAGACAAATAAAGATTCGATGAATTTGGAAATTTTGTCACTAAAAAAAAAATTCGAATCACATAAAATTCTCTTGAATGAGTATTCTGCAAAAAAAAAAAATCCAACTTAATTAGAATTCTTTCGAATAAAAAGTCAAGTAAAGAGAAATTCAATAAAATATAAATTCTGTCGAAAAAAAATTCGTTTAAAAAGGAAATTGTATCAAATGCTAATTCGAAAAATGAAAATTCGTCTAATAACTAATTATATCTAATGAAAACTCTTTAAAATGAAAATTCTAACTTTTGACTTTTATAGAATAATCATGCGCTCCAATTAAAAATTAAAACATTTTCTATATAATATTTTATTTTATTAAGGTCATGTGACTTTTGCAATTCAATATAATTATAAATATTCTTCGTATAGATTTTCTCGTAAAATATTTGATAGATTGAATTAAAATTTCGTAAAGAACTCAAAAATATTTTAAGGAATCGCTTGTTATATGTCAGAGTATTAATATTTCGTTAAAAAAAATTTATTTTTAATTTGCGTATTTAAAGAAAATTCAATAATGTTGACAATATAATTTTAGTTCATTTTAGTCAAAATATGTAATTTTTTAAGAATATATTTTTTTTTTTGACAAAAATATTGAATATACTCTGACACATGACGATTCCTTATATTTTTTAATTCTCTACAAAATTTTAGCTAAATTCTATTTAATATTTTGCGAGAAAACCTACGGAGAATATTTACACAGGACCTTAATAAATAATTGAAAATTTTTGTATTTATTGCATATATATATATATAGTTATTATTTAATTAAACTAACTTTATAAAAGCCCTTAAATCCCTCAGTTTTGAAAATTTTTCGAACTGCATCTATTATTCCTGAATATCTACGTGACTCGGGTAGAGCATTATCACCAGAATATTGTAAGCACATTCGCGTTTTAATGACCCACAATGGATTTGTTATAAGATTTGTAAATATACCAGCTTGAGCAGTCGCAAATAAACTCATTTTCACGCCAATAATTTTATTTGGATCACCATCTTGCAATCGATTTTTTATGGTTCTGTAGCTGTATATAAAAAAAAGACATATTTGCAAAAATTAAATTTTCCCCATCGACAGTTTTTTTAAATGAATAAAATCTTTTATATATACTATTAATCGAGGCTATTATGGTACTCGTATTTTTTTCCCAAAAAAAATATTTGCAGCACAAATTAACATAAAATTAAATCATAGTGGCATGAAAATTATATTTTTGAAAAAACAAAATTGATAAATTTTTTGCACATTTTTATGATTGATATTTATATATCTTTATTTTCACAAATCTTCAAACAAGAAAATTTTTTCCTCTTTATAAATTTTTTTTCTAATTTCTAAAGGCGAATTTACTAATAAAATTATAGTTACTTTTGTTTTTTTGCTAAAATTTCATCGAACAATAATTACAGCTGTGTCAAATTTGATAATTTCGAAATGAATATATTTTACAAATTAAAAACTAGCGTGTATCATTAATAGCTACGATTGATGGTAATTAATAAAATAATAAATAATTACAAAAATAAATAGAGTCCCCAAGATGCTCCCGATCCCAACATATTGGGCGAAACACCTCTATAAAGACCACGAATTCCCTCTGTTTTAACGATGTCCTGTATGCCACTTACAAGACCACCGTATTTGGGAATAGTTCGTATCATCCCATCATTGACTGAAAAAAAATAATTACAATACATTTTTCACATCTAATTTTCCAAACATTCTTCAATATTTATCAAAAAAATTTTGTAGAAAAAAAAACAACACAGACAAAATAAACAAGAATAATCATTCCATCATTAATTGAAAAAAAAAATTAAATATTTTACATCCACAATTTTCAAACATTGTTTCCTGGAATATTTATCAAAAAAAAAAAAAAATTTATTAAAGATAACAACACAAAACTGATAAATAGAATAATACAAAACAATAATTAACATTCTCTCTGTGCCTTGTGAAGATGTATTCTCACTTTATTACAATATATCAGAGAACAGGTCAAAAAGATCGTCATTATTGGTCAATATAATGATATAATTTTAATGGACTAGTTTTTATTTTATCGCAGTTCTATTTTTCAATGTATGAAAAATGTTACAAAATTTTATAAATTATAAAAATACATAATATAATAAATAAATTTTACCAAAAATTTTTTTGTATCTTGTCCATTAAATATTATTTTAATTTTTAGCTCTTTAATTTAACTTTCTTTGAATTTTTAGCCGATTTAACTTTTTATTTGTTAACTAGCAAAATTAAACGCACGCAAGCGCGCCAAATTGAGTATTTAATTGTTTGTTATATAAAGAAATTAAAGATTAATATTATCAATAATAATTTAATTTATTAGAATATTTATTACATATTAAATAATAATAATGAAAATTATATGTTTACAGGCCTCGGATTATACGACTTTTTCCGACATTTTTCAAAAATACGACTTTCATCGACTTATTTTAATAAAATGCGACATTTTTTTTTTACATTTGAAAAAAAATGTAAATAAAATACATTTTTTTAGTATAAAATTTATATCTTCTTCAGATCTTCTTCAATTAAAAGATTTAACAAATTTTGAACTAAAATGATTCTTCACTAAATTAATTATTTTTAATAATTTAAATGAAATAAATCACAAATTCAATTATATCTAAATTATTTTTTCAATTAAAATTTTTATGAAATTTAACAATTGTTTATAATTTAAAAAAAAATATCACAATAAAATTGAATTATTTTTTCAAAATATCAATTCAAAATAAACTAAAATTCAATTATTACCCGAAATTTTAATTCAAAATCAATTAAAAATTCAATAATTATCAAAAATTTTCAATTTAAAATTTAATTATTTACCAATTTTTTAATTTAAAATTAAATAAAATTCAATTATTTTCTAAAATTTCTGTTCAAAATTAATTATCCAAATTTTCAATCAAAAATGAACTTCAATTAAATTATTATCCAAAATTTCAATTAAAATTCAATTATTTCACAAAATTTTCAATTCAAAATGAACTGAAATTCAATTATTTTCCAAATTTAAAATCAAATAAAATTTCATTATTCTCAAAAATTTGAATTCAAAATTAATTGAATTTTCAATAATTTGAATTTAAAAGCATCTAAAATTTAATTATTTCTAAAATTTTCCATCGAAAATTTTTTTTTTTTAAAATTAATAATTTCAATTATAACTCTTAGGAAATTCAATTATTTTTAACTATTTTAATAATATTCTTTGAAAATTCAACTATCTGAAACCATTTTTCAATTAAAAATGATTTTCAAATTATTGTATATTTTGTCCGCATTTTCTAATAAATTTTTAGTGAAATCATCTAAAATTTTAATTACAAAACACTTAAAGTTTCAATTAATTTCAAAAATCTCAATTTTAAATCTTTGAAAATTCAATTAAATTTAAAAAATGTTTTCCAAAAATTGTTTGATAAATTATTTTTAGTTCTGTAAAATTTAATAATTGTTAGAAAATTAACAATATCTGTTGAAATTTAATTATTTCTAAAAATTTCAACTTTAACCCTTCGAAAAGGATTATTATTAAAAAAAAATTTGTTTATTTAAAAATCTGTAAAATATTTTTGTTAAAATAAAAAACAAATCCACTTTTTTTTGGAATATAAATCGACTAAAACGACTTTTTTTGTGTCTTTAAGTTAATTCAAGGCCTGTGTTTTTATAATTAATATTTAATAGGTATTCGTTGGCCCCTGGTACCTTAAAAATTAATTTTTAAAAATAAATTTTTTTCAAATTTCTATCTTGTACGAAATTTCCTGGCGCATCTTTTTTCTCATCATAAATTTTTTGTATTTGTATACAATTTTTGAATCAATATACAACTTTAAAAAAAAGTTTCTTTGGTAAACGTTGTGTACTTCAGCTTCGTGAATTGAATTTTCGAATTTGGAATTTTAATGAAACTTATTCCGAAATTTGGAAACACAATTATACAACTTTGGCAAAAATGAGAAAAAGAATTGTCAAAATTTGACACGTCATAAGATTACTATTCAAAAAAAAAACACGTGAAATCAGAAAAAGCCAACTTCAAGTTAGGACAGAAGGACAGACCAAGCATTTTATTATTATATAATTAATAATTAATTTTAAAAAAATAATTATTACTAAATTAAAAGAAAAAAAAAATACCAATGTAGAGACAAGGTTTGAGAACATCCTTCAAAAAGAAGTTTGCCACGTGTTTTTGACGCAATAGACAAGCTCCGTGTGATTTTGATACAAAGCCAAATATTATAATATAAAAATACGCAGTAAAATTACTAGAAATTTTCATTCACGAGTTTTAAATCAATGTATAATAATATTCCTGGCACAATTATTCTAATTTACGATATATTACAATTATTATTTGGTAGTTTGAAAAAAAGAGAGAAATTAAATGTATAATCAAAATGTAATACAGAAAAGAAAAATCAAATTTCAATAACGTTGGTGAAATTCACAAAGTTTATCATAAATGATTGAAAAAAAAAAAAAATTCAACTCCAAAACAACATTTTTTTGCCATTTTTGTAAACAAAATATAAAAAAGTAATTCGAGAATTAAATAATATAAATAATAATAAATAGGTAATAATAATAATAATAAATAATACTATTTATATAATATAAATAATAATTTTTTATATAAATAATTCAAGTATGTAAATTAAATTTAAAACCATAAAAATCCTAATTTCATGTAAATAATTTTATAATTTATTAATAAACAATTATTATATTTCAAAATTTTAATAATAATAAATCGATTTCAAATTATTATCTCCTTTTGTATTTCCTGGCATCTTATCATCATATTTTTCGTCTGATTCAATAAAAATTAGCAATTTTTTTACGTCGGTGAAATTTACAACGTTGTTTTTATGATCAACGATTAAAAATAAAAAATATTTTTCACGCACTAAAAAAAAATATTAAATTTTTTTGCTTACAAATTTTTATTTTTAAAAATTTATTAATCTAGAAAAACGTTGTACAAATTTTTTTTAGACAAAAAAAATTATAATAATTTGCATAGAAAAATAATTTTTCTTCTAATTCGTTGATTATAAACGTGAAATTTACTGACGTAATTTTTTTTGTGATTAATAATAATCGATTTAAAAAGGAAACAACACTATTGCTTTAAATATTTTTAATACTATAAATTATTTTACTCATTGAATTTAATGATAATTTTTTTTATTTTTATTTTATTAAATAAAAATCTATAGCAGTAAAATTTTACTGATGTGCCAGACGTTTTAGATGATATTTTAATAGAGATAAATATATATATATATATGATAATGCTACATTTCTCGAATATTTTCACACTTTGAAATAAATCTATTTATTTCAAACCAACCACCGTCATTTATGCATTGTGGGTTGCTGATTCTGAGAAAAGAATTTATAAATATGTATAAGGAAAATTGAAAAATCTTGTTTCATTGTTTTTAACCAAAAATTCTTTTTAAATAACTTGAATTATTTGTAACTTTTATTGTTCTTAATTATAACAAAATTATTATTTATATATTCAAATTATAGTATTATTTATATTAAATTCATGATAAACATTATTTTTATTTATGCGAAATACTAAAAATTGTAATTGTTTACAGCTAAAAACAAAAATAGACAAAAATAATTTCATAATTTTTAAATTACTTTTTCTAGTATATTTACACGTATAAACGAAAGATGTAGAAGATTCTAGCAATATGTATTGATAATTAAGATTATTATCACATTAGGTATATTTCCAAGATATTTATATTGCAAAATCATTTTCAAGAGCAATACCAAAATAGTCACACACACGATCGCTAATTAATTTTCAGTATTTAAATTTTAAAAATTAAAATACTATTCTTCCTCTCGCATAATTCTATAACAATAAAAAAATAAAAAAATATTTAAATATAAATAAAAAATAATTTCCAAATTTGGCTATAAGAGTAGCTTGTGAGTCGTTACAGGAAATTTATTATTTTGTTTACTTGAATTTTTGTTGAGATGAACCATTCACATATGACGTCACTCTATAAAGAACAAGGAAATTTTTTTTTTTTTTTCTAGGGCAAAACAGTTTAATAAATAGATTACAAAATTTGTATATATGTCATTAAAAGAACTATTTTAATATTTTAGTTTTACGTTCCATATTTAAACATATTTTCGTATTAAAATATTACTTTTAAATTTATTAAGAAAAATTAAATCGATGATTTGTACCAATAAATCGAATCCTACAAATCATTATTCAATATTTAAGGGGAAAAAACCCAAGTAATTTATATTAAAAAAAGTACAGGCCAAAACATGGAGGCCTTCAGCGTAAAAAAAAAAAATTTTCCGTCTATTAAAAAGTAAATATTTTTAAAGAAAATATTCTTTAAAACTACATATGAGTAAATTTATAAAAAAATTACACTAATTTTGACATAAAACGGTTAAAGGGCAAAGTTTAAAGGCTAAAAAGTATGATGCAAGCTTTGATTAAAAGTTGAAAGGAAATGACAAAACACATGTAAAGATTCACGTTATATCTACATATATATATATATATATAAAAAAAAGGTATCACACACCAATGAAACTTTCTAACAGAGACAAAAAACCACGTGCTTGGAAATGATCATTATAGTGAAAGGGAGAGTCAGTGACGATCGATCAGCTGACAGTTTTAAAAATCATAATTTTTTTTTTTTAAATATCTTACCTGCAAATCTAATTTTCAATAGATCCAATGGATGTAGGAGCATAGTTGAAATTGTGCCACCAGATAAACCGGCGACAAAATGCTCATAATTAAACATTTTACTTTTATTCATTATTTCTTTATTTGTTACCGAATTGGTGAAATCTGTTTTGTGTGCATCTTTCCCCAAAATACTAGCAGAATTCAGATTTGCTCCTCGGCATGCCTTTTGATCCACGTCAGGCACTGTTGCACTTTTTGATATCGCGAGAGTGGCTTTTTGCAAAATTATTTATTTTTATTTCTTTTAGGATCACAAATTATGCAATTTTTAGATGAAATATCGCGTTCATTTGCATCATGCCGAAATGAGACTTGTTTTTTTTTTTACAATAATTGGATGAATTTATACGGCCGAACAAGACAAAGAACAAGGATAGAAAAATTAAAGAACGAGCAGCAGCAGCTTGCTTCACTTTACAGAGAATGCGCAGTGAAAGATTTCAAAACATTTGAGGTTAGGTTAATGGGAACATGCGCATTTGCTACTTGTAGATTTAGGCATGCGTGAAAAGATTCTCAATATTTTATTGGTTATTTTTAAAATGGTTACCTTCTTACCGCGGAAAAAATGACCAATCGAATTTTGTCATAGCTGATGAAGAAGCTTCTTCAAAACACTTTTACCATCAGAGCAAATGTGACTTTAGTGCGGATACTTTAAAATGTATTTTTTTATTATTACAATAAAGCTTCTTACGTTCGTTAAAATTAGTATGTCTCAATCCAAATTTAATATATTTTCAAAAATAGAAAAAAAATTATATTATTTTACCCCCTAAAAATATGCAACCCGACATACAGTACTGTAATTTCTCCATAAATATCCATAAAATTGAGAAATTATATATTGCAATATTAATAATTATTTTAATTAATATTTCAAATTGTTTTTTGTTTCAAAACAGAACAATTTTTTTTTAATGGTTACTGATTTATCAACTGTGTTTCACTTTCAAATAATATTACGCAAGCGCCAAAGCGTCCCGGGATTTTGTGTCGTCTGTTCTCTTCTGCTTTCTTTGTGTGTCACACACAGAACGCTCCGTCGAAACGTCAAATAGATAGAAATTTTCTAAAGATTCAAAGAAAATAAAAAAATTTGCAGTGAATTTGATAAATATTTTCTATTTAAAGAAAGTGGGGGTTTATTTAATGAAAGTGTGAGTGAAGTGTTTATTGGAATTTAATGAAAATACAATAATGCCGCTTCACAGATATACACACGCAGTTCTCTGTCGAATTCCACTTTCTTTGGGTACAAAAGGCGAGGTCAATGTCGATGAAGCACGTCTTCAACATTCAGCATTAGCCGAAATTCTTCGTGAATTTGGAATTGATGTTGTTGAAATGCCACCAGATGAAAGTTCACCACTTTGCGCTTTTGTCGAAGACATTGCCGTTGTTTGTAACGGTATTGCACTGATCGCTCGACCTAACGAACCATCTCGCATCAAAGAGGTATGTATATATAATAATTATAGTGTTTTTTTTATTTTATTCTACATAATATCTTTCCGTTATTTTACCTATTTTCAATCTTTTTTTTTTTGGTGGCTATAAATCTTTTCTCTCTAATCATCTGTTTTGTGTCATAACCTTATTTTCTGGATTTTTCAATTCTTTCTCGTAAAAGTTTTATCGATATCGTTTTTATTTATATTATTATAATTATATCAAATTTTACATTTTTTTTTGGAAAATAAAAATTCTTTTGGGTCTTTACAGAAAATTTGAATTTAATACTTTTGATTTATGTGAATTTTTGTAGATTGTGACATTTTATTAATTTTCAATTTCATATGAAAGTTTTTCGATATCATTTTTATTTATTAATATTAATTATAGCAAATTTTATATTTTTTTTTGGAAAATAAAAATTCTTTCCGGCCTTTTCAGAAAACTTCGAAATTTTTGATTTGTGTGAAATAAATTTTGTAGATTATATATATGACATTTTGTTCCTTTTAAAAAGTTCTACACTAATTTAATTGAATTAAAAGGATAATTGGCCTCAGGGACATAAAACCAGATACTTTAATTTAACATCATGTATCCTGTTGTATAAATTCAGAAACTATTTTCATTCGTTTGAAACTCTATAATAATTCTTAATAAATGATGCGCAAGCACTATTTTAAATTTTTGTCGTCTCGAAGATTGATGGAAGGAATTTAAAATGCAAATTATGATAAAGAAATTAAATTACAAATAAGAACAGATTTTTTTTTTTTTTTTTAATTAAATAAGAAAATTTGTAACTAGAAACTTTTGAATGAATTGTTTTTTTATAGAAAGAAAAAAAAATGGAATTATTTTTGCAGATAGACAGTATTAAAGCGGTATTAAAAAAAGAATTAGAAATTCCTCTCATTGAAATTGCTGATAAAAATGCAAGACTCGATGGAGGTGATGTACTTTTCACAGGTAATGAGATTCAATGTAATAATATTACAATGGAAATAGTGTAATTGTAAAGGAAATGAAAATAATGTTGTAATAAAAATATTAATGATATAGGACGTGAATTTTTCGTTGGATTGTCCGCACAAACAAATGAAGCAGGAGCACGTGCTATTGCTGCCGCTTTCCCAGAATATCCTTGCGTGCCTATTAAGGTCAGTTTTACGATGGTTATAAACATACTTTAAAATTTCATTAAAATATATCCTTTAAAAAAAATAATAATAATAAATAACAATAATAAAATTAATAATTCAGTAAGTTCATTATATTTCTCATAAATTTGTTGGGGCCTCTTCTTAGAAAAATATTATACAATTGTGTCAGAATTTTTCAAACGAATCATTTAAAATTTTCAAAAAGTAATTTTCAAATTATTTTGTTTTACTTTTATAAATTTTTTATAAATATCTTATTTTATTCATTGTAACATAATCTGCAATTCTATTTTTTTTTTTCAATTTCGTTCAAAGAAACGGTAAAAAATAATTATTTAATAAAAACAATTTGATTTGTTTATAATTTTTGAAGAAAATATTATTAAAAATTATTGGAAAAAATTTGTAGAAAATGTTTCAAGGAGTAAAATAAGTTATTGTTTATAAAAATTGGATAAAAATTGCAATTTTTTTTGTGTCTGAACTGAAAGAAAAAAATCAAAACGTTAAAAAAAAAATTATTTGACACAAAATTTTTTGTCTTAACATAATTTTTTCTGAAAAGTTTATAACTATATCTTTAATTTGAATAAAAATAATTATTAAAAATTAAAAAAAAAATTTTTTTTTTACAATTTTGGGAAAATGTAACATTTTCTTGTATGAGAAATTTATTATTTTCTGATTTGGTAATTTTTTAATTTTAAATGATTTCCTTCTATAATACTTTCTTATGTTTGGAAACACGAAATTAGGTAAAATAAAAAATACGTTCGACTTTTTCGACTTTTATCGACATTTTTTAACTCATTTTAATAAAATATGACTTTTTCGACTTTTTTAAAAACATTTTTTAAACAAAATACGACTTTTTTTTAGTATAAAATTTGCATTATACAAAACTGAATTATTAAATAAATATTAACTAGAATTCTTCGCAAAATTAATTATATTCAATAATTTTAATTAAGTTCTTTAAAAATTCCATTATTTAAAATATTTTTCAAATGAAAGTTCTTTTAAATTCAATTATTGTCTAAATTTTGTAAAAAAAAAAAATTCAATTAAAATTTATGAAAGTTTCGATTTAAAATCTACTGCAATTCAATTATTATTTCTAAAAATTTTAACTTTAAATCATCAAAAATTTAATTATTTCTAAAATTCTTTGGAAAATTAATTATTTCTAATAAATTTAATCAACATTTTCGAAAATTTAATTTTTTTAAAAATATTTTCCAATTTAAAATCCTTTAAAATTCAATTATTATTATCAAAAGCTTATAAAAAAAAACTTCAGCAATTCAAATTATAAAAAATTTAATTTGAAAATCTCCAAAAATTCAATTACTTCTATTAATTTTAACTACAGCTTTTTCAAATTTTAATTGTTTTTAAAATTTTTTCTATAAATTCATTTTTTTTTCAATATTGAGTTTTTCGAAAATTTAATTATTTAAAACATTTTCTAAACTTTTGAATTTGAATAATTTGCAAAAATCAGATTAGAGAATTAATAAAACTCATTTTACTTCTAATAACAATTGTTTGATAATAATAATAAAATGTTTATTATCTAATTGTATTTATTGAAAATAAGAAATTGACTTTTTCGATTTTTCTTGTAATGTAAATCGACTAAAACTTCTTTTTTTCTTCCCCTAAATTCGATCCAAAGCTTAAAAATATCAAAAAATTAAATACCATAATAGTTTATTATAAAAAAAGATTAAAAATAATTTAATCTTGTAAATTTAATGTATTTTTGTCACTAAAATTTATTAAAATAATATTTGGAAAAAGTGATGGACACCCTGTCAAAGGCACCTTTTCATTAAAGAAAAAAAAATTTTTTTTTTAAATTTTCACAGGGGCCTAACCTCTCATAATATTGAAAGTTTTTTTTAAAAATATTTTAAAACTATTTTACAGGTTGCTGAAACTAAACGTTTAAAATCATTAGTTTCAATGGCTGGACCGGATGTTATTTGCGTTGGTTGCGGTAAAGAAGCTCAAGAAGTTTTAAAGGTAATTTTATAAATAAATTCTTTAGCTAATTATTATAATTATTGCTATTAACTTAATAATTCTTTTTTAATTAATATTTAATTTTTTTTTTTTAATAATTATTAATTTTTCACAGAGAATTGAAAGAGAAGCGACTTATAATTATCAAACTCTCACAGTACCAGAGGATTCTGCGGCAAATGTTCTTTATGTGAATGGAACATTAATTCATCGATCAGAGGAAGAAATTCCCGAATCAAGTAAAGTATTTGAGGAAAGAGTTGAATTTCCAACAAGATCACTTCACATGTCTGAATTAGCAAAAGTCAGTTCAGGTTTGTCTTCTTGTTGTTTATTAGTCCGTAGACCTCGTCACATTCGTAGTATTTAAAAAGTTACACAGTATTTAAAAACGAGAAGAAAAAAAATTAAATCTATCTACTGATTTGCTTGAATGAAAATGAAGAGAAAAGAAAAATTATTATAAAGAATTCAAGAAAAAAAAAAAAAAAAAAGTAGAATCATAAAAATTTTGTTTTATGCATTTTTAACTATAAAGTTACCGATGAATTTAATGCAGAAACTGCCAATTTAATAATATTATTATTTTTTTGACATAATTAGCAAATTCTTGTGAGATGAAAGCACAAAATGTGAGAGAACGAAACGACTGAAGTATTAAATATCGAGAAGTTTAATATATTTCATATTAATATATTATTGATGAAGGAATAACAAGAGAAATAATTTATTGTGAAAGACGGTTAACAAGTTACTTCTAATTCTGAAATTCAAGGCCAAATATTTTACTTGATATTTATCAAGTATTCCACGTCAAATTAGACACTATTTTGCATTTATATCCCCGATTTTTTTTTCAAACTTTTTTTTTTGTTTAGTACCAAATTGAAACTAGCTTTCATGATTTAAAAAATTTTTTTTAGCAAACCGTTTAAGAAATATGAATTTTTCAGAATTTTAATGATTTTTTATTTTTGAATGCTTATGACTTTCTTAAAAATACAGAAATTTTAAAAGTATTTTTTTTTTAATTGTGTGTTTTTTATGAACTTTTCTAAAAATTGATGCATAAAATTCTAGAAAAATAATTTACTGTTTTTTGCATTTTAATGATTAAAATTTTATTTTTGAAACTGTTTGTAACGTTTAATTTTTTTTTTTTTAAAAACTACTTTTTACAAAAATTTTAAGCCTGGGAGTTTATTATGGAATTTCAAATTCACTTTTAATTTCGGTTTCAATTTCTCTTATTTTTAATTTAATTTTAATTTTGCTTCTAATTTTAAATTAAATTTTTTTTTTAAATTCTACATATTCTAAAATTCTACATAAACTAAAATTAAAAGGAAAATTAATATTGAAAATTAGTGTTTAAAGTGGAATTGAAATTGAAAGTAAAATTTGAAACTGAAAATTGGTGAAATTGAAAGTAAATTTGAAATAATTTATGTCGAGAACCAGAAAATAGTCTTCAAATTTATTTTTTTCTCTGCGTTCTTTGGGTAAAATATGCAAAATTTTCAACAAAAAAAAAATTAAAGAATACAGTTTTATGAATAAAAATTTTAATCTTTAAATTGCAAGAAAAATTGAATTATTTTTCTAGAATTATTTTCACCGTATTTTCAAAAAGTTCACGTAAAAAAATAATTTCAAAAAAATCGGACATATAAATGCAAAATATTTGATTTATCGTGGAATACCTCTAATATTTATTATTTTATCAAAAACATTTTAAAAGACATTTTTAACTAAACAAAAAAAAACAAAATAAAATAAAATGGAATACTTGAGCCCTGTTACAGATTTTAATGTGTAGATTGTTGTCAATTTGACAGAAAAAAGTAATAACATATAGATGTTTTAGAAATTGAGAAAGTACAGTCGTTTACTATATATATATAATAATAATAATTATTGCCAAGAGAAATATTCTCTATGACTGAAATGACTTTCCAAGAATGAAAAACATTATGGTATTTTACATACCATGTTTGACTGATTCTCTATATGTAGATAGATTTACTCGATTAATGAAAAAAAAATAACATGAAGTTTTAAACTTCAATCTATTATTATTATTATTAAACATATTTCGAGAAAAATATTTAATGATGATGTTTTAAACGTCAATTCAAATTTTAGAAGCTGATGGGCTTAAGTATGCTTCTAGTCTATATAAAAAATAAATAAAAAAAAAATGGTGTTCCAAGAACACTACTATTATTCAATCGTACAAAATAAAATCTATTTTATTTGTTTTGTCAATATTTTTTTATAATAATAAGTGCGATGCTTTTATAATCGCATAACATAGATTTCTTTTCTATAAATATACAATATATACGAAAGTGATTGAAATTTTCATGTAAAACCTCAATATATTGACAAATTATTGAATTTTATGCTTAAAAATTATTTTTTAATTTTTAATCGATTTTTATCAATTTTTAAATTAATATTTTACTATACATATGATTTTTATATTTTTATCAGTTAATTTTAATTAACTTATCATTTTTGTAAATATAGTTGCAAAAAATATTTCTTCAAATATTAGAGGAAGGGTTCACGTCAATTTAACATATCTTCGATTTTTACATATTTTATTTGGATTAAATTTTATTTTATTTTATTTTTTTTTTGTATTCTATGAAAAAGAATTCCATGATTTTTGTCAAATTTTTTCATCAAAGACTTTTATGAATTTTTTCCATAAAAAAATATTAGTTAGAATTTTCATTTTAAAGAATTTTTATTAGATATATAATTATTTTTTTGACGAATTTTTATTTCTTGAATTATCATTTGAGAGAATTTCTTTTTAAATGAATTTTTACGTATTGATTTTTTTTTGTTATATTTTTTAAAGAATTCTATTTATTGTTTTTTAATTGAGTTTTATAGGAGGTTTAATTGAAAATTTCATAAAACTTAAAAAAAGAGAAAAACTGTAATTTATAATTTTTTACGTTTATTTTCTTGACTTTAATTTATTACTTGCGCACAATTTTTTTCTACATTGTATTTAATTTTCATTATATTTCGACAAAAGTCGTAACGAAGTAATTAAAAAAAAAAAAAAAAAATTTATGATAATTTATGGAAATTATTCTCTATATTTCTGAAATATAATATTAGAAAAGAAAAGAATTTTTATTTTTTCTTGTAAAATAAAGAATTTTTTTTTTCTTAATAAAAAGAATAATAAAAAAATAGGGAAAACTGTTTTTTATTTATATAAAAATAAATTAACTCATGAAACATTAGGTATTTGCAAATGAATTTGCAGTTTATTTTGTAGTTAAATGATTTTCGTCGCAATATAATGAAATGACTTTTAGGGTATTTAAATTATATTTAAGATTTGAATCTCACTGTCCGGTTAGATAGTAACGTACACATTCTCAAAAATTATTTCCTATATTTTAAACCTAATATATATATATATATATATATATAGACATCAAGCAATGAATACGAAAAAATTTTAAATAGTTGTTAATAAACTATAATAAATGTACATACGCAATTATGAAAAAATTTAGAAATTTAAATAATCAGGAAACTTCTGTATCGTCGTCATTATTGTAGGAAAAATTTTGTTTTCCAGAAAAATATGTAAAAATTTCTTTTAGCTTCGTTTTTAAAAAAAAACTTTTAGCTAAAAACAATTAATTTTGCACAATAGTAAAAAAAACGCTTGTGATAAAAGAGAAAATTTTTACATTATAATTACCGATTAATATTTTATTATTATTAATTTATTAATATTAATTCATTAATATTAATACAGAGATTAATAAATCATTATATTAATGAAATAATATAATTATTATTATATTATAATAATAATAATACTAACAATATAAAATAATATGAATTAACATTAATAAATTAATATTAAATTTTATTAATAATTTTGCTACATTCGTACAAAAACATTGTATACAAATTTTAACTACAATGATTTTAAAATCAAGTCTCAGTTGTTTTTTTTTGCTCTTTAATGAGTTTTTAATAAAACAAAAAAAAATACCATTTAAAATAGAATTTTATTTTAAGAAAAACCTTTTTTAAAAAAAAATGTAAAATTTTTTTTTTAATTGTACAAAACAATAGGCATTGCGATATTTAAAAATTATTTTCAATACCTTTCGTTGAATCAGAATATCAACAATAATAGGAAAAAAAAAAAAAGTTATATATTTACTAAATATTATAACTGGCTCATTAAATTGAAAAAGGAAATAAAGTGTCAAACTGAATAACACCAGTTGTGAGCTTTACTATTAATTGATTTTAAAGTACTTTTTAACATTCCCTGTGATCCAACATCAAATGTCCTTGGATAAGTAGTTCCTGGTGGTCTTGAATATATTTTTTGCATAATTTGTTCCCATTTTACTGACTGCACTAATTGTTTTAATAAATTTTTTCTAATCATTTCTGGTGTGTTATAATTTTTGGCATTACAATTAGCGTACACTGTTACTCGTGGTTCTTCAATTAATGTATTATTTAAAATTGCCTTGAATGGTTTAATTGCTGGTTGCATCAATGGCGTGTGAAATGCTCCTGAAACTGGTAGTCTTCTTACATTTTTAAAACCCATTTTTGCACTATTTTCTTGAATATATTTAAGGGCTTCATCATTTCCACCAATTACTTTACCTTGAGTGTGTACATAAATTGCAATTCTAGAAGAATCGAAGAAAGAAAATTATTTTTTAAATATTGACAAAATCTCACGTCGGTGAAGTTCACAATGTTTATGATAAACGATTGAGAAGAACAAATATTTTTCAATGTAAATTATTATTATATTTGATCTAAAAAATTTTTTGCAATATTTTTTAATTAATAATATTTTTTGAAAGAAAATTTCTATTCATTTTATTAATTCTGTAATGAGAAAAACTCTATAAGAATATTATCAATAAAATTTATTTCGAATATTTCAGAATCGAACTAATTATAAGACAAAGTTTCAAAATTTTATTTAAGTAGGACAAATTTAAAAAAAAAATTCTTAAAGTTCAATTTTTATAATTTTTTGAAGTATGATTTAAGCAATTTACTCGAATTAAAATTTTTTGCCATAGTTTTTAGTTTTGGTGGTCAAAAAAAATTTCAGACAATACTTAATAAAGTTTTATAGATTTTTAAATAAAAATTTTTTTTAAATAATAATTTTGGAAGAGTTAAAGTTGAAATTTTTAGAAATAATTGAATTTCAAAATATTTTGTTAATTTTCAGATAATAATTAAATTTTACAGAAATAAAAATAATTTATCAAAAAATTTTAGATAACATTTTTCAAAAGTAATTAAATTTTCAAAGATTTACAATTTTGATTTTTGAAATTAATTGAACTTCAAGTGATTTTTAATTTAAAACTTTGATGATTTCACTAAAAAATTTATTAGAAATTTGCAGACAAAAATACAATAATTTGAAAAGATTGTAAGCGAAAAATGGTTTTATATAGTTACATTATTTTCGAAGAATATTATAAAAATCATTAAAAGTAATTTAATTTCAGGAGAGTTATTTAATTGAAATTATTAAATTTCCAAAAATTTTTGAAATAATTAAATTTTAGAAGCATTTAAATTGAAATTTTTGAAAATAATTGAATTTCAAAAGATTTTGTTAAATTTCAGACAATAATTATAAAAAGAAATTTTTTTAATGATTTCTATTGATGAAGAATTTATTAGAAATCACATAAGAAAATTGAATTCCAAAAGTTTTTAATTGAAAAATGCTTTCAGATAATTGAATTTTCAAAGAATATTATAAAAATCATTAAAAATAATTGAAATTTTTGCAAATAATTAAATTTTAAGTGATTTTATGAATTAAAATTTTTTTGTAATTTTATTTGCTAATTTTTTTAAAATTATAAATCAATTATTAAATTTCATAAAAAATTTTAATTGAAAAATAGTTTAAGATAATTGAATTTGTAAAGAAATTCATTAAAATTATTCAAAATAATAATTATTAAAAATAATTAATTTAGTAAAGAATTTTATTTAAAAAATTTGTTAAATAATTGAAATAAAGAAGATCTGAAGAACATCTGCATTGTATACTAAAAAAAAACGTATTTTGTTTAAAATTAAAAAAAAAAAAAAATGTAAAAAAAAAGTCAAAAAAGTCGCATTTTATTAAAATAAGTCAAAAAAATGTTATATTTTTGAAAAAAAAGTCGTATAATCCGAGGCCTGTTAATTGAATATAAAATTTAAATATAATTTACTTTATATCATTGTTTTCAAAAATTTAATTTTTTTCACTTTATAAGTTAACAATTACATTTATTCATTTTTTTTGGTACAAAAAATATTTTTCTATGGAAATTAACGATACTGAAGTATGCAACGTTTATGATAAACGAATTTTTAAATAAATAATTTTTTAGAATGAAAAATTCTTTAATTTTTTTGCCTGAAAAATATTTCTTGTAGTTTTTATTAATCAACAAATTATAAAAAAATATTTTAAAAATCTTTATAATACATCAAAAACTTATAATTAGTTGAAAGAATATTTTCTTTTTAAACTTTTTAAGGTTTAATATTACAAAATTTTGAAAAGCATGAATTATGGGACAATTTTAGTTTTTAATATTTAAAAATTGTCATTTTTTTTTTTTTTTTGATAAAAATATTCAAATATTTCTTTGATGCTTTTATTATTAAATTTATCGTTTAAATATTTATTTTAAATAAAAAACAAATAAATTAGAAATGAATTTTTGAAAAATGTGACGTAAGTAAAAAGAAATTTTTATTTAAATCGAAAAAATATATATGATTTTTATCAGTGCTTGAAGAAAAAAATTAATTCATTCATTTGAAATTTTCTAACTTCAGGCATATTAGTGAAATTTAAATTTCTTACCGACAAACAGCATCACTGAATCCTAAATCTCTTGCCCAAGCTTCAGCATCCTTACAACTTTGAGAAACATTTGATTCAGCTTTTGTGTAAACATACAACATTCCTTGTTTCGAATATTGAGAAGCTTTTGCCATTGCTTTTGCTCTTTGATGAACAAGTCTAAGACCAGATTCATAATTAATTGCTCCCGAGAATATTAATGCAGTCAATTCACCAACACTATATCCAGCAACACATCTACAATTATCCAAAACATTGGGTCGATCTTCAATTAATTTTTCCAAAGCGGCCAAACTTGCAACAACTGTTGCTATTTGATTGAATTCCGTTTTATCAAGTTCACTTTGTGGTCCTTCTAACGTTAATTTTTTCAAGTCATAATTTAAAATTTCACTCGCTATCGAATACATTTCTTTAACACGTGGAAAACGTAAATATTCTTTAATCATACCAACTTTAAGTGTTCCCTGTCCGGGAAATAAAATAATTGAATTATCATTTGGTAGAACTTTTGGTTCTTCGGTTTTTGTTTGTAAATTCACTGGTGCAGTTTCGGGATAAGGATTCTTTATCCAATTACTATCATCTGCATCGCTAAAAGTTGTAGCATTTTCAAGAAGTTCTGTAACTTCAGATGTTTTTAAATCGTCGGGAAAATTATTTTCCAATGACGATGACGATTTATCGATGAAAGAACGATTTAAATTGTACGAAACGGATAAATACCGGTGATGGGCAAAAGTGAGGTTAGAAAATGTTTTATTTAAAATTTTTCGATACAACATGATTGAATGTCTATAAAATGTACATCACTCTCTATTAACAAGTTGTTGATATAATGTGAAAGTTAAAAATTTATTTTTAAACTTTAAGAAAATATGTAATTTTACAAATAAAAAAAATTCACCACATGGCAATATACATTTCTATTGAAAATGTAAACAATTTTCTAGAGAATTTAGTGCGTGAAATGTCGATAAAGAAACATTCAATTCGTTTTATCGACGCTATTTATTGTGCGTGGGAAAAATTAAAAAAAAAAAATTTTTTTTGAATGAAAAGAAATAATTTTTGCGAAAAATAATATCAAAAATACAAAGCTTTTTTAAATATTCTAAATTGAAATTTTAAATAAGTATTTTACTTTAAAAAATTAATGTTATTAAATATTAAATTAATTTTAATTACTTAATAAAAATAATTCTACAAGAATATTATCAAAATAATTTATTTTGAAATATGTAAGATAAATTTTCAAAATTAGAACAAATTTTTTTAAAAAATTCTTAGTTCAATTTATTTTAAGTCTGATTAAAGCAATTAAAAATTTTGGCATAGTTTTTTTTAGTTTTAATATGGTCAAAAAAATTTCGAACAATAATTATAAGTTTTACAGATTTTTCAATTAATTTTTTTTTTTATAATAATTGAATTGCAGAAGATTTTAAATTTGAAATAAATTTTTTGCAAATTTAAACTGCTGTAGTTTTTTTTTCTGACAATAATTCAGTTTTAGAGTTTTTATTTGAAACTTTTTTAAATAATTGGATTTTTATAAAAAATTTAAAATCATTGAAGATAATTGAATTTGGAAAGAATTATAATTAAAAATTATTAAATTTCAAAAAGTTTTAAATGGAAAATGTTAAAAATAATTGAAATTTTTGGTAATTTTATTTGCTGATTTTTTTTTAAATTGTAAAAAATTGTTAAATTTCATAAAATTTTTAATTGAAAAATAATTTAAGATAATTATTGAATTTGTGATGAATTTTATTAAAATTATTAAAAATAATTCATTTAGAGAAAATTTTGTTAAATAATTGAAATAAAGAAGATCATAAGAATATCTGAATTTTATACTAAAAAAAAAACGTATTTTGTTAAAAAATGTGTAAAAAAAAAATGTCGAAAAAGTCACATCTTATTTAAAATAAGTCGAAAAAAAAGTCAGAAAAAGTCGTATAATCCGAGGGCGAGGCCTGAGGTATGAATAATAAAAAAGATTTTAATAGAGAAATAAATCTGATTTATATATATAATTGAGAAATATAGTTGGTACAAAAGCACCAGCTACATAGACATTATAGAATAAAATAATCTGTGTAGCAGAAATATACATTTATATATATATATATATATAGTGCACAAGGAATCTCTAATAAAAAGGAATGATATTTATATTCACAAGTATAACACTTTCGCACAATATATTGATAAAAAATGGACATGTTCAGCAAATATTAAATATCAATTTATCTAAATCATTAAATTCACATAATTTGTCCCATTTGACTTTGAAAAAAAAATCTGTTTTCTCCTTTTTTTCCAAAAAAGATATATACTGTATTTTCTTCTAAATCGTTTATACTGTTCTTCATCGTAGCATATTTTACTATTCGTTTGTGAAAAAAAAAAAAAAAAATTTAGCTCCGATTACGAAAAATGCTGGAAAAATTTACAGATTTTTACTTTCTTGTTCCTCATTTTTGAAGGAATTTAATACGACTTTATTATAATTAGAATCCAGTCAATTCGAAGCCAGGAAAGTATGAGGGCTCGTCAGAATTTTAAATCTTTTATCGCTTGTGGTAAATCTGGTAATTTCATGTCCTTTATTTGCTGATGAATATTCATATTTTTCATTGCTGAAACTGCTCTTGCTGGAGCTGCAGTTATTCCCGCCTGAAAATTTTTATGTGAATGATGAATTTTTTATTTCATTATACAATTATGATTATTATTAAAAATTTTTTTTTTTCTGTAAACATTACCATAGCCAAATATATAAAGTTTAGTATAATATATTATTTATTAATTAATAAACAATCGCACCAGACAGTTATAAAAGCAGAAAAGGGGCGCATGAATTTCCCATATAAAAATCATTAATTAGAATTTTTATTTTAAAGTATTTTATTAGAAATAAGTATTTTTTAGACGAATTCTTTGGCAAAATTTTTAATTTATAGTCATTATCTTTACATGATTTTTTATTTAATTTAATTTAATCGAATTTTAATTTAGAAGATTTCTCATTCAAACGAAATTAAATGACAGAAATTTCAATTCACCGAATTTTTTGAACGTCGAATTTTTATTTGTCCGAAATTACAAATTGCCAATCTTTCTGTCCATTGTTTTTTTTTGCTATTTGTAATTTCGGAAAAATGAAAATTCGGGTCTTAAAAATACCATCAATTAAAAATTCGATGAATTGGAATTTCTGTTATTTAAAAAATTCGAATTCGAATCTTGTATATTAAATGACTATAAACAAAAATTCGGTAGCAAAAAATTTTGTTAAGTAAAAATTCGTATTAAAAAAAATTCCACCAAATGCTAATTCGAAAAGTGAAAATTCGTCTAAAAAATAATTATTTCTAATAAAGTTCTTTAAAAATGAAAATACTAATTATTTTTATGGAATAATCATGCGCCCCGTAGAAAAAGAAATATAAGAGGAAAAAAGTATTTTAAATAAAAAATTTGTGAAGAAATAAGCATTTATACTAAAAAAAGGAAAAGAAAGAAAATTGCATACTATCTACCACTACTTTGTTAAGGAGAAGGTCCTACGAGGATAACTGGATGAATTGAGTAATCTCGACGTGTTTTGCGTATCCCCTAAAATTTATGTTAGTCAATGAACTCTAATGTTCTAAAGTGGCAGAAAGTATGTTTTAAAGATGTGCAAACAAATTTACAAAGAAAAAATTCTTCATTTACTAATCTATCATTCAATTTCAATATAGAGATCAATCCAATGAAAATCATTAAAATCAGAATAGTTGATGACATTTTAAAAAATCGAGTTTTAATATTTCAATGAATTTCTAAATTCATTGACATTATTATTGTGTAAATTTTATTTTTTTTGATGAATTATTATTAATCAAAAAAATTAATTACGACATAATTTCGTAACCTCTTAGGAGAAAATTTTTTTTTTCTTTTTTCATTAAAAATTTTCTAAAATTTTAATTTAAATTCGGTAAATTTTAAAGGTTTTTTTTTGGTTTCACTTTTCAAGATTATTTTGAAAAATGTTGTCAAAAGTGAAGAATGTTAATAATTTGCAATAATTACCTACTAATTTTTTTTTCGAAAAATTGAATTTTTATCCTTGTTTATCAATATTTTTCATTCTGTGTGAATTTGTTTAAAAGAATATAAAAAATGAAAAAAATAATTCCAAGGGAAACAAAAAGGATTTAAAATTATGGAAGTTACAATACTTTTAAAACAAAAATGCAAAAAAAAAATCGAATTAATTTGTATAATATTATTGGACTGCCTGCATAATTTGGTATAGATCCGGTCCATTGAAAAAAAAAACATAAATTGTTGAACAATTTTAATTTCTAATTCAAAAATATTATTTTCTTTAATAAAAATATAAACATTTCTGTTCAGATGTTTGTATTATTAAATTTATCGTTCAAGTATATTTATTAATTAGAAGGTTTCGTATGAATAAAAACGATAACATTCGGACCATTGTTGTTTAATAAAAGTTCACTCCAACGTTTCGAAATCTACATGATTTCCTCTTCAGGGAGTCTATCAAAATTACAATAAATTTTCAAATAAACAAATACAAAAAATAATAATAAAAATAGGAAATTACAATAAAATAATAAAACAATTAAAATAATAAATAATACAATAAAAAAAAACAAATACAATAAATTAAAAATAAATAAAAACTAATACAACTATAACAATAAAAACAAATACCAAATAATGAAAATAATACAATAAATGATAAAATTAAAATAAACTACAATAATAAATTGAGTATTTAAATAATCTTACCAAAATAAAAACAATGTCAAATCATAGAGTCAATTGTAGTGTCAAATTTTAGTAAAAATAAAAACAAACGAAATAAACCCCAAAGTTGGAGAAACATATCATAACACAGAATGTTATCGTTTTTATTCATACGAAACCTTCTAATTAATATAACTCTCGGACGTTAAACATTTTAATATATTTATTAAAAAATAAACAATTTAAAAATGAATATTTGAAAAATTTTACTTAAAGAAAAGTAAATTTTGATTAAAATTTTATGATGAGTTTTTTAGTTAATTAAATAATTAAAATAAATAATAATAATAAATAATAATTAATAATAATAATAATTTTAAGAAAAGTCGTTTTAGTCGATTTATATTACAAAAAAAGTCGATTTTATTTATTTTAACAAAATTTAATTGCTTAAGGCCAGGTCCAAGTGGTGTCAGCTGTTCCATTGAAACTTCAAAGGAACAGCTGACTCGACTTGGACCTGGCCTTAATGAATATTTTACTTAAAATAACTAATGATATTAGATATTAAATTCATTTTATTAATTCTGTAATGAGAAAAATTCTTTAAAAATATTATCAAGAAAATTTATTTCGAATATTTTAGAATCGAACTAATTGTAAGACAAAGTTTTAAAATTTTATTTAAGTAGGACAAATTTTAAAAAAAAATTCTTAAAGTTCAATTTTTATAATTTTCTAAAGTCTGCTTTTAAGCAATTAATTAAGTTTTATAGATATTTAAATAAAATTTTTTTAAAAATAATTTTGGAAGAGTTAAAGTTGAAATTTTTTAGAAATAATTGAATTTCAAAATATTTTGTTAATTTTCAGATAATAATTAAATTTTACAGAACTAAAAAAATAATTTATCAAATACATAATTTTAGATAACATTTTTTAAAAGTAATTGAATTTTCAAAGATTTACAATTTTGATTTCTGAAATTAATTGAACTTTAAATGATTTTTAATTTATAATTTTGTAATGATTTCACTTAAAAATTTATTAGAAATTTGCAGACAAAAATACAATAATTTGAAAACTTTTTAAGTGATAAATGGTTTCAGACAGTTGAATTTTCCAAGAATATTATAAAAATCATTAAAAATTATTGAATTTCAGGAGAGTTATAATTGAAATTATTAAATTTCGAAAAATTTTAGATGGAAAATTTTAGAAATAATTAAATTTTAAAAGCTTTTAAATTGAAATTTTTGAAAATAATTGAATTCCAGAAGATTGTGTTAAATTTCAGACAATAATTATAATAAGAGACATTTTTAATGATTTCTGTTGATGAAAAATTTATTAGAAATCACATAAGAAAATTGAATTCCAAAAGTTTTTAATTGAAAAATGCTTTCGGATAATTGAATTTTCAAAGAATATTATAAAAATCATTAAAAATAAATGAAATTTTTGCAAATAATTAAATTTCAAGTGATTTTGAATTAAAATTTTTTGGTAATTTTATTTGCTAATTTTTTTAAAATTATAAACAATAACATATTAAATTTCATAAAAAATTTTAATTGAAAAATAATTTAAGATAATTGAATTTGTAAAGAATTTCATTAAAATTATTAAAAATAATATTAAAAATAATTATTTTAGTAAAGAATTTTATTTAAAAATTTGTTAAATAATTGCAATAAAGAAGATCTAAAGAAGATCTGCATTGTGTACTAAAAAAAAAAGTAATTTGTTTAAAAATTTTGTAAAAAAATGTAAAAAAAAGTCAGAAAAAGTCGTATAATCCGAGGCCTGTTAAATAGAGTTTTTTTAAAAAAAATATATGTCATGAACCATTAGAAAATTTTCACAGGATTAATCTAATACAAAAATAAAATTTCTTTTTCCAAATTTACAAAAGAACACTTTTTTGATTGTAAAAAAAAATACAAATTGATTGTAAATCATAAGAGAATATTTTTTTTTTTTGCTTGTAAATTTAAATTGCAAAGAAAAACTTGTCAAGCCAGAGATAAAGTAAAGAAAAATACGTAAATAATATAATTTTAATAAATTACCTCTTGTTTTTCTAATTTCGATTGTTCATCTATCCTTGTGAGGATTTCTGTCATGTTTGTTTCGAGGACCATACCGCCCATCACTAATTCATTGAGTATATAGTGGACTTTGTCTACATGAAAAATAAGATCAAGTTCGCAAACATTTTCAAAACATTTATCCAATGTTTCAACGAATACTTGAATCAAATCTAATATGCCAAGCTCTGATTCAGAGCTGTCGACACAAAATACAAAATATAATGTTGCATAATGTCGATAAATTAATTTATAATCGGATCCACCAATTAAACTACCGCCTTCTAAAAAATTGCACACATTGTCATCCCTCTTTGAAACTAACTGGAATGTTTCCTTAATAATTTGTTGTTGCATATCCTCGTTCTAAATTGAAAAAAAAAAAATTATTTAAAATAAAAATTGTCAAACATTGTTTTCATATCTCCAAAATAATATTTTTCTCTTATTAAAAATTTATAGAAATATATATATTTAAAATAAATTTATATATAAATAAATAAAACATACCCATAAGAAAGTTATAGTTTAGAAAAAGTTAGTTAAAAAATTTTAATAAATTACACATACAGTAAAATAAGAAAAATATAATATTTTATTCAGTAAACTTTCTCTATTCTTTCACTAATATAAAAATATTATTTTTTTTTTAGAAAATTTATTTTTTCACTTGACAATATAATAGAAAATTATCAATGTACTTACAAAATATTGATAAAATTTTGAAAGACGAGGCTTTCCATGATTATTAAAAACTAAAATAGCTTTTATCATTTTTAAAAAAAAAAATAATAATCTATTTTCAGGTTAGTCGAGGGAATTCCAAATTCAGCATACTGATGACGTGTATTTTGTCATTATTTCATTCGTATTTTCTAACTTGAATTTTCACCAATTATGTAAAATAAACAATTAACACTTTTAGATATTAACAATTGGCAATTTGTAATATTACACATATATAGAAACAATGATATATCAAATAAAAAAAAAAAACGATTGACAGATCTTGAGCAGAAAAATAGTTGGTTCCTTGTATTAAATTACCGATAAATTACCGACTGTATTTATTTATTGGCGGGAACTTTTTGATTTTGAAAAATAGGCGCCCCCAGCAATTTTTTTTTCTCACACATTTTTATTCTAAATTTAACAAAAAAAAAAAAAAATTTATATTTATAAATTATAATATTTTTATTGAAAGTAACAATTTTTGTTTTATTTTTAAATTATTATTTATTATTCACTAAATTCATAATTTAAAAATTTCATTAAATATAAATAAAATAAAAAATTACTGTACAGATATAGCAATTTTTGTCAGTTATTAAAAAAGAATAAAAAATACGAAAATTTTAGAAAAGAAAACACAATAAATATATGGAAAGAAAATTTAAAAAAAAAAGAATTTTAGAACAATGAAAGCAAATCGAAAATTTTAGAAAATAAATAGTCGAAAAAATTGAAGGAAAAATAGATAATTTTAGAAATTTTAATTAAGTGAATTTGAAGAACAATTAGAAAAAAAAATTAAGAGAAATGAAATTTAATATAAAATAAAATTCCATGTTAATGGAGCAAAATAAATAATAATAATAATTTACAATTTTGAAAAGGATAAAATTATATGTTTAAAATTAAATAGTATTATTTTTTTAATTTTAAGGGACGCATGAATAAGTTCTATAAAAATCAATTCATTTAATAGAATTTCATTAGATATAATTTTTACTGAGCCGAATTTTATTTGTTCGAATTTTCATTTATCAGAATTTTTATTTGCTCGATTTTTCTTTTAACTTGAAATAAAAAAAAAATAATTTAAAAACAAAACGAACATTTTTTTGTTTTAGTTAAAATACATTTCTAAATGGAAAGTTTTTTTTTTTTTTTTTAATTTAGAATAAAAATAAGTGAGAAATATATCGAAATTTCCAACACAAATAAAAACAAATTTTAAATAAACTGATTTTTTTTTTATTTCTTTAAGGTACACGCTTTAAAATACTTTAAAAAAGTATAATTTATACTGTTTTCTTTTTCTTTTATACAAAAGAAATTGAAAATCCTTTTCAAAAGGATTTAAAGGATAAAATAAAAAAAGATGAAACATTCTAAGTTTTGATATTCTCTGTTTTGTATCTAAATATTCAATAATTCAATATGTTCTTTATACATATTTAATTATTATATAATGCACAATCTGAAAGATTACGTTAGCCAGGATTTATATTCTCAGAAGCAAGTTTTAAAGAATTTATGCGATTGAAAAAAAGCTCATTTTTTTTTTCTAAAAACTCCACACATTTTTTTTAAGAAAAAAATTTTATAGTTTTTTTTTCTTCTTTTCTTTTTTTTTTTTGATACAATTTTATAGAGTTGAAAAGGTTGATAAATTCTCGTACTATTTTAAAAATTACATTTAGTCTTGTATGATTTTCAATTGTGTCTGCTTGATATTTCAAACGTCGCTCTATTTTTTTATGATAATTTCATACACAACTCACATACTCTAAAAAATACAATATTTTTTCCTATATAATATATTTACTCGCATTTTGTCATTCGAAGGAAATGTTTTTTTCTGCAACACACGGATACACACACACACACACACACTAAGAGCATATTTTCTTATTTATATAAATAGTCGATAGAAATAAACATAAATTAACAATATTTATGTGTTTAAAAAAAATTGAGATTCAAAAAAATTTTGATATTTAGAAAATATATTTTTAATAACTCATGAAATATTTGAAACATTATAAAAAATTGATCAATTCAATTATTGGATCATAATTTCTCATTTAAAATTAACAAATATTTTCAATATTAAATAGTTTTTTTTTTTATTTTTTGCTTCTATAGTAAAAAATCGATTTAATACTAAAAATTAATTACTTTTTGAAAAATGTAGATGATGCGTTTGAGAAATTCTGACCCTTTTTTTAATTTTATAATTTAAAAAATTGATTTATTTTGGAATTAATTGAATTAAAATAAATCAATTTTTACTTTTCAATAGATTTTATTTCGTTGATAAACGATTTTTTTTTTAAAATTATTACGCAGGACGCAATTATTTTCCACTGGGGCTAAATTTCCTTAATATAAGGCGAAACTTCATTTCTCGATTGTGAAGAATTTATGCGCATTTTATATGACAAAATTAATTTCAACTTTATGTACATAATAATACAATATATTTTCTAAGATAAAAGAGAGAAAAATATGAGATTCTTATTTTGTTTACTAAATTAATTATCAAAATTAATTTAGTTATAATAATCAGATCACTTAACATTTCACATTGCAAATATATATATATATTTTTTTCAATATAAATAATAATAAAAATTTAATAAAAATAATAAAAAAAAAAAGTAATAATAATAATCAGATCACGTAACATTTCACTTTAAATTGCACAACCATTTTTCGACTTTATAGTCTCAATTAAAAAATTTTTTTTCTCAATTTGACATTGACTAACAACCTTGATTTTTCACATCTTTAAAATACATGTAATGAAAAATTTTTTCTTTTTTTTCATTCATTCAAGTACAAATCGACATTTAACCTCATCATTTTTAATATGGAATGTTACAAATGATAAATGTTTAAAGTTTTATAAAAATATTTTAAAATTCTACAATACTTTATATACGCATTATTTAGATTTGTAAAAAATTCGTGCTTTTAAAGAATTATTATTTTTAATTTATATATAACGCCTCTGGTTTGTCAATTTCAAAGGCCAATATAATTACACACTATATTTATATATATATATTTATGACAAATTATTTGTATTTCATTTATTAAACTTTATGCAAAAACACACGCACACAATCGAGTTTTTTTTTCTTTTTTTTTGAGATTCGTTATTTTGAAAAAAAAAAGAAATTTCAACATTGAAAATAATTATATGTGAATAAAACAGCACTTGTTTCTCTTCGGAGTATGTATATCTAAATCAACTAAAAATTGTAAAAATATCACAGCACTACGGCAATAATAAAATTTAATCGATTATTATATCAGTGAAATTATTCATTTCTTTTTTTTTTTTTTTTTTTTGACTTGATCGATAAAAAGAAAAGCAACACTTGGGAGATCTGATTGACAATCTTTACAATTATTATAATCTAAATGGAAAAATACAATATTCTCTATTAACGCATGGTCTTGCGGATATAAAAAAAAACGAAGACCTATTCACAATCGTGAACCAAAACAAAGTATTGACTTTGGTTAGGTCACGTAGGTAACAATCTTTGTTATTATTATTTATAATTGTGAAAATTACTAAGTCACATTGTGAATCTTCGAATTATTCTGCGAATATTATTTTATTAAAAATTAATAGTAAAAAAAAAATAATCACAAAGATTCACGTGAGACAAATCATCAGTCGAGGATTATTTTCAGAGATAGAACATTTTTGTAATTATATTTCTTTGAAGAAAATTATTTTTAAAATCAGAGTTGCTACAGAACCTAGAAAACCTGAAATAGTAAGGGATTTTTAAAAAAGATCTGAAAAACCCTGAAAAGTAATGGAAATTGGAAAAAAATCCCTAAAATTTAATTCCACTTAATATTTAAAAAAAAAAAATTTTTTTCTTTGAAAAATGGCTTGATACTTTGATAAATATTATTATCCTATATAAAAGTAACAAAATCTCAAAATATAAATTTATTTTTTAAAAAATTATAAAAAATAGAGTAGGGATTAAAGTTTTTATTTTTCAGGTAACACGGTTATTTTCTAATCCGCATAACTTCTATAAAACTTTATGGATTTTAATTAATCATAAGGATTTTTTGTTTAGTTTTTTATGCTGAGATTTTTTCCAACAAAACTGTATTTAAATATAAAAATAGGACAACATTGTATTGGCGAGAAAATATAAAAAAACAGGGCAAAAAATAATTTTTTTTTTACATTTTCTCTTAAACCTAATGTCCCATTTTTATATTTATACAGTTTTGTTTGAAAAAATCTCATCTTTCAAAGAAAAAAAAAACAAAAAATTTTTTTATGGGGTTAAAAATGAAAAAATAAGGGTTAATTGTGAAAAAAAAATTTTTTAGACATTGAAAAGTACAATAAAAAACTGAACAAAAAACCCTCATGATAAATTAAAATCCATAAAGTTTTGTAGAAAGTTACACACGGATTAATATTATAAATTAACTATTTTTTGTATAAAAATTATCAAAATTCTAATTAAAAATGTTAAAAAATGAAAGTGGAAATTTCTCAAAAATGGTTCTGGAAAACTTGTAAAAGTCATGCGGAAATTTAAAAACAGACTTCTGTAGCAACCCTGTTAAAAAAATGAAATTTTATTTTTAAAATAAAAATTAAAAATTCGAAATTTTTAAATATTAGCTAAAGGTTTATATTTTTTTTTCAATTAAAAATGTCATACCGTCAATCGGGGATGTTTTGCTTTTTTTAAATTCAATTATTAATAATTCTAAAATGAATTAATTTTACAATTTAATTATTTAAAAATACAATTACTTTTAATTACTATAAAATTACTATAAAAAAATTGCAAAATAAAAATGTATTTATAAATAATTGTAAAAATAATTGTAAAAATAATAAATCAATTTTTTAATAATTGAATTTTATCTTTAACTTCTTAATTAGTGGAAATTAATTTTTAAAAAAATTTGTTACATTTGGAAAAAAAATGATATATTTTTGCTTCAGAAATCTTTGTTAAAAAATTTATCCAAAAATGCGTAAAATAAATTTTCTTCTATTTTTTTTTTTTTCATGAACACGATAATTTGAAAATATTTTAACTTATTTATGAAATTAAAATCTCAAATTGAAGACAAGAAAATTTTAGAAAATATTCACAGAAATTTGTTTCTGTCTTGTTTTTCAAAAAAAAAATTCAAATATTCATTAAATGAAAAAAAAAATTCATACTTCAACTTGGCAACGGTTTTTCTGTAAATTATATTTAAAAAAAAAACCATTGAAAAAATAATTAATATTGCTTATGAATTTAAAATTCTTCTATTCGTGTTAAAAATAAAATTTTGTCAAATATTATTTGTTTAAAATATAATTAATGAGAATGTTCTATCCCGTAATTTTCTCAATCAAGTCTTTTTAAGACTTTAATATGATAATTTTACTAATGTACGTACTTATTTAATAATTATTATTTTTTGATTATATCACCTCCTCATTTCGTTGCGCGTTATATTTACTGGAACAAAGGCTAATTTTTTTTTTTTTTTTATTCTGTCTACAGAAATATAAAATGAAAAGTATTTATCAATTTTTCAAATTCAACTTTAAGTCATACTTTTCATTTTAGATTTTATAATTTCTTTTTTATATATGTACCAATTTATGACAAATTCAACAATTATTATTATTATTATTATTATTATTATTATTATTATTATTATAGTATCATTCTTGAAAGAATGTTTCTTAGGAAATTTTATTTAATTTTTTCTTGATGATAAAAGAGTTTATATTTTTTTTGTTTCTAATAACAGTCACTTTTTTCTCTTGTGAACTATTGTGAATTGCATTGCAAGTGATATTTAAGTCATTAAATTTATTCCAAACAGTATGCATATTGATAGGACTTACTTTATGAGCTGTGATGACACGTTTAAATTCACATGCATCTGACTTTCTAGGAACATAACTAAATCCAGGATGATTTACTGGTTGTAATTTTGCCCATTTTGCACAAACTCCCGTAATGTAAACATCTTCAAGATGAAGAATTGGTGTTCTCAATGCTTGCTTATAAAGTCTTGCGGCAACATCGAGACTCATCACATATGCGGTGCCTGACAAATAATTTGGATACGTTTTTTCCGAGTACATATATTTTGGCGTGTACCTATTTGAAAAAAAAAAAAAAATTATTATCATCAAATTTATCAATTACACTGTTTGGCAAAAATTTATTTTTTTCTACCCCTGTAATAGTTTTGATATATTTTTTAAATTAGTGTTTAAAAATCAAAAGTGTTTTTTTACAATATTTGATTTTGAATAAAAAAAAAAAAAAATTGGGACATTCTTTTAATTATATTTTGAGGAAATTATAATACAATTCCAGGGTCAAAATTAATGTCGGACAGTGTTATTAAAAATTGTTTCTTAAAAATTTAATAAAAAACAAAAAAAAACATTATAAATTACAGGAAAATTGTAAATGTTTTAATACCATTTATTTTTTGGATCTGAAATTGGCTTAGCTCCACAAATCAAACAACCAATAAGAGTTCCATTACTCCTCGGTCTGGCGTTTAATGTTTCCAAAAGTTTTGGAATATTGATAAACATATCGTCATCGGTTTTCATAAGATATTTCGAGGTTTCGCAATAACTAGTGACCCATTTTAAAAGAGCAACAGATTTCAAAGTTAAATTATTGTAGGTATCGTAAAATTTTTCTTGAATTATATCATTGTACTTTTCACTTTCCTCTGCCACTGAATTCTGTAATGAAATTAATGTATTTTTTAAATTTCCTTCATGCTTAACCGGGGTAATTATATTCCATTCCAGGGGCTATTGTACCCATCGATAGTTTTTAATGCATAAAATTTTTATTTTAAAATACTTAAATTACTAATATTTTTTTTTATTATTATTGGTGTAAATATTGTTTGATAGCAAAAGGTACTAAACATAATTAATTAATTTTTTTTGTCAAAGAGCATTTAAATTACATGATTTTTTATTTAAGAGAATTTTAATTTAATCGAATTTTATATGTAATTCCAGGGTTGCTACAGAAGTCTGTTTTTAAATTTCCATGACTTTTCCAAGTTTTCCAGAACCATTTTTGTGAAATTTCCAGTTTCATTTTTTAACATTTTTAATTAGAATTTTGATAATTTTTATACAAAAAATAGTTAATTTATAATATTAATCCGTGTGTAACTTTCTACAAAACTTTATGGATTTTAATTTATCATGAGGGTTTTTTGTTCAGTTTTTTATTGTACTTTTCAATGTCTAAAAAATTTTTTTTTCACAATTAACCCTTATTTTTCATTTTTAACCCCATAAAAAAATTTTTTATTTATTTTTTTTTTTTGAAAGATGAGATTTTTTCAAACAAAACTGTATAAATATAAAAATGGGACATTAGGTTTAAGAGAAAATGTAAAAAAAAAACTATTTTTTGCCCTGTTTTTTTTTTTGGAAAAAATCTCAGCTTTCAAATAAAAATAAGAAAAAAATTTTTTAAGGGGAGAAATGGGCTTAAAAATGAAAAATAAGGGTTAATTTTGAAAACAACTTTTTACGCATATTGAAAAGTACATGAAAACCTAAACAAAAAATCATCCTCAATGATAAATTAAAATCCATAAAGTTTTGTACAAGTTATACGGATTGGAAAATAACCATGTTACCTGAAAAATCAAAACTTTAATCCCTTCTACTTTTTATAATAATTTTTTAAAAAATAAATTTATATTTTGAGATTTTGTTACTTTTATATAAGACAATAATTTACCAAAGTATCAAGACATTTTTCAAAGAAAAAAAATTTGAAAAAAATATGTGGAATAAAATTCCAGAGATTTTTTCAAATTTCCATGACTTTTCAGGGTTTTCTAGACCTTTTTTTGAAAATTCCTGACTATTCCAGGTTTTTCAGGTCCTATAGCAACCCTGAATTCGGATTTTTAAATTGACAGTAATTTAAATAGATTTTTAATTTATCCAAATTTTTATTTGTACGAAATTTAAAGACCCTGAATTTTCATTTGTTCGAAATTACAAATCACCAAACAAACAATCGATTGAAGGATTTCGGCGCAATTTTTTAAAATTGACCAATCACGATTTTTTTTTGATAATTTCTAATGAGGCGCCGTAAAAACTTATAATCATTTGTTTCCGAAACTACACTTGTCCGCAAAACAGTAAAAGAAATGATAAATTTTTAGAATTTCATTTTATCATAATCAATAGTTGACAAATTTTTGGCTTAACATCACCCTCAATGAAAAAAAAAAATTTTAAATGCGAAGCTTATTATTACAGTATTTTTTGTTTGTAAAATTATACTTATTCAGCGTAATATTTATTTCTCTCAACTTATAATGCGTGTAAAATTTACTTTTATAAAAAAGGCAATAATTATATTTTTTTGTTTATCAAAAACGATATTTACGCTGTTATTTCTTGTAAGTTTAAATACTAAGTGACAAAATATTTACATTACCGAATTGACAATCGATATAAAATTTATTCAACTTGATTTCTCTTTACCTAAAAATTTATAAAAATAAATTAAAAACTGATAAAAGTTGTATTTAATTCTAAATGTAAAATGATATAATATTCTTTAAATAAAAAAAAAAACAATTGTCAAAATTTTGATTAAGCCTAATTATAATTTAAAAGAATTTTATATTTTAAAAATTGGCGTTTCTTATAAATGATTGGAATATAAAAATACATTTATTTATATTTGTAACCTTATGTTTTAAATTCGAAGTTTTTTTTTTTTTTAATTAAAAAAATAATAATAGCAATACGTACATTTAGAGTCTCGTTGTCACTTTGTCCTAGAATAAATACAACTTTAACTGTAGAATTATACGTCATATCTGAATGATATCGATTAGCCCAAGTTTCTCTAATAGCTAATCTTGCTTTTTCATTAGAAACAGCCGAACAAACAGCAATAATTAAAAATGGAGACGGTGAGCAAATTTCTAATGGACTTAAAATTGTAGTTTTATTTTCAGGATAAATATATGTTCCCACATCGCGTGATGTATTCTCTCCCCATCCGTGAAGTTGTGCTGAAAATTATATAAAAAATGATTGCCAAATTTTCTTACAATATAATTATATATATACATATAATGCCTTTTTAATCAATTAATGATGAATTATATACAATTTTTTGGATTATTTTATACAGATTACAATTATAATACAAAATATAATATAATATATATAACAATATAATACAATAATAATAATAATAATAATAATATATAATATAATAATTACGATCTAGAAAATAAATTTTTTTAGATGTAAGGCGTGAAAATTATTTGTCAATTCTTCAAATATTTGAATAATTTAGAAAGCACTTACAAAAAGAAAAATTAAAAATTTCATAATTAAAAGCATATAATTTCAATTCTTAAACATGCTGAGAATTAATAAAATGCTAAAAAAGAATTAATAGTACCCACAATGCTTTCTTGTAAAATCTATAATTTTATTTGAAGCACAAAACTGAAAGCTAAAAGCATTGTTTAGAAATATGTACATTGTAATAAGAAATTAAAGAAAATACGCATTTTTCTACAAAAATCTTATAGTTAGAGACAAATATTTACTGCAATCACCAATAATTTAGATAAATTCCATTCGTTGAGCAAAATACTAAAGATTTATAATAATTAGTATCACCATTGTATCCCATTAAAATTAGTGAATAAAATTTAACAATTTTTTTTCCAATTTAAACAAAAATTTCAATATATTGAATATATAAATAATCAAAATTATTAAATAAATTGAAATAAGTATTTAAAAGAAAATTATTTTATTATAAAATTGTATGTTTATGTTATAATATTCATTTGCAAATTTCGAATAAATGAAGATTAAAAATTTTATCAAATAATAATTTCTATAAATATAAAAAATTCGGACAAATGAAAAATCGGTGAATTGGAATATTTGCAATGTCAAAATTTGAATCACTCAAAATTCTGTTGAATGAAAATTATATGCTAAAGTAAAATTCAGTTAAATTAGAAATCTTTTAAATAAAAAGTTCAGTAAAGAGAAATCCTGTAAAATAAAAATTTTGCCAAATTAAAATTCGATATTTAAAAATTCTATAATATAAAGTAAAAATTTGTTCGGCTGAAATTTTTTTATTATTATTATTATGAAGACAATTTTACCAAACAAAAAAAAAAATTGGAACAAAAAGGAAGGTGGTGTTTTTGAATAATTTGAATTCAAAGATTTTTATGGGATAATCATGCGTCCCATTGAAAAAATTTTGTTAATTTTAATTGATCCTTTTGAAAAATTCTAACCAAATTATTTTTCTAATAATATTACAATAAAAATTAAATTTTATATTATTAAAAAGTGTAGAGAAAGCCAGTGTTATTTAGATGCATACCTATAGATGATACCAAGTGCGTACCACCCAGAAGCCATGGGGTTGGAGGCTCACCTAATAGAGGATTTTGGACCGAATGATATGCTGGAACGTACAAAAGACCTAAAACGGTCAATATTATAAATCCGATTGTTAATCGTTTCAAAAAAGGACCTTTTCCTTTATTGACAGACGAATTAATACTACTGGCTGATGGAAGTTCCATTGGAAGCAACTGCATCCTATCCATCTGTAAATAGATAAATTATTAATTATTATTATTATTTTTTTTTTTTTTTACGCATTTAAACTTAAATATTGTTCAATAATTGCCTTGCATTTGGAGTAATTATAGAACAATAATTGTTACCTTAATTGCACTGAAAAAAAAATTTATTTGATTCAAATATAGACTTATTTTACGTATTCTAACACAAAAACTTCATAAAAATATACAAAAAAAAAAAAAACATTGAAATATTCATTACTTTAAGCAATTTATTAGAATTAAAAATTTTATCGAAGTTTTTAGTTTTAATGGTCCAAAAAAATGTCAGTCTAAAAATTAAGTTTTACAGATTTTTAAATAAAAAATTTTTTTATAAATAATTTTCGAAGAAATTAAAGTTGAAATTTTTGAGAAATAATTGAATTTTCAAAGATTTCGTTAATTTTCAGACAATAATTAAATTTTACAAAATTAAAAATAATTTATCAAATAATTTTAGATAATATTTTATAACAATAGCAAAATATTACATAAATAATGATCGAAAATTTTATAAGAGAAATAATCAATTAACCGATTAAATTACAAAATAAATTAGTTTAAAATACAAGAAGATTAATAAATGTTAACAATTAATTGTTAATTGTGAAATTCAAGTGATTTTTAATTTATAATTTTTGATGATTTCACTAAAAAATTTATTAGAAATTGTAGACAAAAATACAATAATTTGAAAACATTTTAAGTGAAAAATGGATTTAAATAGTTGAATTTTCGAAAAATATTATAAAAATCATTAAAAATAATGAAATTTCAGGAGATATCATTTAAATTATTAAATTTCCAAAAAATTTTAGATGGAAAATATTAGAAATAATTAAATTTTAGAAGCTTTTAAATTGAAATTTTTGAAAATAATTGAATTTCACAGGGACTGTCTCGAAATATTTGTGTCGTGTCCGTGTAGTGTCGCGACTCGACACGTTTGAAAACAATTAAGCGCGTTCCACACTTAAACTTTTCGGGCGTCCGACACGACACACGTGCCCCCTCTTCTCCATCTACCAAATGCATTCCCCTCCTGACGTAGGAGAAGTTAGTATTGAAGAGGGGGCACGTGTGTCGTGTCGGACGCCCGAAAAGTTTAAGTGTGGAACGCGCTTAAAAGTATCGTGGCGAGACCCGACACTTTTAAAATTTTTCAAACGTATCGTGGCACGACCCGACACAGTTAAGAAATTCATAATTGTATCGTGGCGAAGCACGATACGTTCAGAAATTTGTAATCGTATCGTGGCAGGACTGGACACGTTTACGAATTTCCAAAAGTATCGTGGCGCGACTAGACACATTAACAATTTGAGAATCGTATCGTATCATGACTTGCCACGACACGATAATTCTGCATAAATATGTCGTGTCGCATGAAAAAAAATTGTTCAATTAATTTAAACTTATCTATTATGTATTATCTATTATAATATAGTATATATGGAATAATAATAATACTAATAATAATATGCATACAAAATAATATACAATAATATACAATAATATATAATTTTTATATTATATTATATTATATTATATTATATTATATTATATTATATTATATTATATTATATTATATTATATTATATTATATTATATTATATTATATTATATTATATTATATTATATTATATTATATTATATTATATTATATTATATTATATTATATTATATTATATTATATTATATTATATTATATTATATTATATTATATTATATTATATTATATTATATTATATTATATTATATTATATTATATTATATTATATTATATTATATTATATTATATTATATTATATTATATTATATTATATTATATTATATTATATTATATTATATTATATTATATTATTTCCACGAATTTCTGTTTTCATCCTATACTGTTTATTTTCATGTATCTCTTTTTGTATTATCAACAACTTATTGTCTAGTATGTAAACAAACCACACTTAAAATTAAAAATAATTTTGTTCAATAAAATTAATAGATTAATTTAATTTATTAACGTTTTAATATTATTATGATTTAAAGAATTGAAAAAAATGTAAGACTTGATTACGAATTCAATATCAGTTTTTTAAAATTCAAAATGGCGGATCCAATATACCGAATCAAAATAACTAAAAATGGGCAAATTCGTCTAAACCATGTTACCCAGGGGTTTTCGGGGTCGCTGATTACGAATCTGACATCAGTTTTTCAAAGTTCAAAATGGCGGATCCAATATGGCGAAAGACAAAATAAAAAATTAATCGGATTGTTTAAAAACCTATTACTCGGGGGTTTTCAGGGTCGTTGATTACGAATTGTGACAAAAGTTTTTTAAAATTCAAAATGGCGAATCCAATATGGCGGACGACAAAATAAAAAATTAATCGGATTGGATTGAAACCGGTTACTGAGGGGTTTTCAGGGTCGCTGATTACAAATGTAACATCAGTTTTTTAATATTCAAAATGGCGGATCTAATATGCTGAACAATTTTTTAAAAAGGATCGGATCTTTTGAAACTTGTTACTCGAGCGTTTTTTGGGACATTTTGAATTTTGAAAAACTTTTGTCACAATTCGTAATCAATGACCCTGAAAACCCCCGAGTAATAGGTTTTTAAACAATCCGATTAATTTTTTATTTTGTCTTCCGCCATATTGGATCCGCCATTTTGAACTTTGAAAAACTGATGTCAGATTCGTAATCAGCGACCCCGAAAAACCCTGGGTAACATGGTTTAGACGAATTTGCCCATTTTTAGTTATTTTGATTCGGTATATTGGATCCGCCATTTTGAATTTTAAAAAACTGATATTGAATTCGTAATCAAGTCTTACATTTTTTTCAATTCTTTAAATCATAATAATATTAAAATGTTAATAAATTAAATTAATCTATTAATTTTATTGAACAAAATTATTTTTTCAAACGTGTCGAGTCGCGACACTACACGGACACTTTCTTAAAATTCAACAACATTTCGTGTCCGAGACATTCCCTGGAATTTCAAAAGATTTTGTTAAACAGACAATAAATATAATAAGAGAAATATTTAGTGATTTCTGTTGTGATTTCTAACTTATTAGAAATAACATAAAAAAAATTGAATTCTAAAAGTTTTTAATTGAAAAATGCTTTTAGATAATTGGATTTTCGAAGAATATTATAAAAATTATTAAAAATAATTGAAATTTTTGCAAATAATTAAATTTCAAGTGATTTCGAATTAACATTTTTTTTGGTAATTTTATTTGCTAATTTTTTTTTAATTATCAATAATAATTAAAATTCATAAAAAATTTTAATTGAAAAATAGTTTAGGATAATTTAATTTGTAAATAATTTCATTAAATTTATTAAAAATAATTAATTTAGTGAAGAATTTTAGTTAAAAATTTGTTAAATAATTGAAATATTTTTCGTATTTTTCATATTTTTGAAAAAAAAATCGTAGGAATCCGAGGATTGGACATTTTTTAAATAACCTTTTTACTTTTTTAAAGTTTGACAATTTTTTTCTCGTTGCTAGTGATAATAAAAATAAAAACATTTCATTTACTTTGTAGGCCAAGTATTAAATTATTATTTAAAATAAGAACCAAATATTGAAACAATTAACTATAAAAAATTTTTTTTTAAATAAAAAAAAATTGAGTGTTCGATAATTACACCGGTTGACGGTAGTTTAATTATGTTAAACTTAAACTTATAAACTTATTTTATTTCTATCTATGAAAGTGATTTAAGGAAATACATACAGAACTAAATGTAGACAGTGTGATTTAGAGAAAATCAGTATTATTGAACAATAACAATTATTTTTGAAATTAATTGATATAATGGTAAAGCAGATTCTATTTATCGAAAATTAATCTTCTCTTTTGATAATAATGTAATTTGATTTATGTTATTCTTTACTGTATAAACTTATAATGAACTTTAGCCATTATAGCGCCTACCTAGATTTAGTTAATATTTTATATTTTGTATTGTTACTTACGTAACTATTAGAATTTAGGAGTACTTTTGTACGAAAGGGCATGTCCCGTTATGTTCTAAATAAATAAATAAATAAATGTTTTTATTTTAGTTTAAAATCATTTTTATTATTTAGTTCATTACTTTATTTTTTATTATTTTCTTTATTTCTTTATTTTATTAGTTTATTTATATTTTCCTTATTATTGCTTCTTTTTAAAATTTATTGTTTTTTCTTCTTTAAATACTTTCAAATTTTTTTTTACAAATTTTTCATAAAATGAACACAAAAATTTATACTTCAACTTTGGACATTGATTTTTTTTTATTAACATTAACATATTTATTATTAACATTTTTCACTATATTTATTTCATTTATTCTTAATAAATTAACGTAACTTTTTATTTTTAATTTTAATTTATTTTATGTTTTGATTATCATTTAATATTTTTTTTTTATTATTTATGATTAATGTTTATTTTTAGTTTTTACTAAAATTTTTATATTTCTCTAACATATGGCTTTAAGATTTTATTTATTTATTTATTTTTTTATATTATTTGCATGGAATTTATATTTTATGTATTTTTGTTTGATACTCTCTGAAGAGGAAATCATTTTAGATTTCGAAACGTTGAAGTAAACTAATTAAAACTGTTTGTCCGAATGTTTTAGTTTATTTTTAACTTTCAACGTTTCTTAAAAATTCAGATAAACTTGTTTTGAGTAAAGGAACGGTAGAGTTAATAAGAAAAGAAAGAAAAAATAAAAAGTTACACTTAAAAAAAATGAAAAAAGAATTTTTTAATCTTTTTTTTTTATCAAAAATAAATTTTTTCTATTTTATTACAAAATTACATTTTTTCTCTATGTTTATGATTTAAAACAACCTTAAATTACTATATTTCACAAAATTGATATTTCAATAACTAAAGACAATAGAAAAAAAAGAAAAAAAAACAATAAAAATTTTATCAATTTTTTTTTAAGTTTATTTTATTTTTATAGATAAATTTATTTACTCCATTTTGTACTAATTACAAAATTTTACAATTCAATTTCTTTAAGTTTTTTTAAAATACTTTTTAATTTTAAACAATTACGAGAAAATAGATCTCTTATCACACATACACACACGCATATATATATATATTGTATATGCCTATAACAGAATAAATAATGAATAAAAATACAAGTTGAAAAATTGATTTTCTTTTAAAAGCATGATTTTTATTCAAAATCTTAATTTTTTTACATGGTAAGAAAAAATTCCTTTTTATTTATCATTTAAGCTTATTTTGTAAAAAAACAAAAAAAAATGGTTATAAAATTGTACAGTAAACTTTTTACTTATATATACATCAGTTTTTTTTTGTCAATAAATGCGAAAATATATTATTTAAAAATTTAAATTACGACAAAATATAACAACACCATTAGCAAATTTAAATACTTACCTTTCGTGCGTAGAACATTTGTCAAAATATAAACGTCGACTCTCCATTTATTGCATTTTTAAGCAACAACAGCAACAGAGGATGTTAAACTCCGGAAGTGAATAAATGTACGACAAGAAAAAACGAATACATAAATATATGAAATTTTGCGTTTTTTATTTTATCAACCACTTTTATTTCACTCTTTTTATAATTAAGTAATGAAATTAAATTTAATGGTAAAACCATGTGGAACTTTCTGTGCTGTAATCCATTAAAATGAACTATCGTTCGATTCGTTCTTCTCACACCAATTTTGCGATTTTTCCATTTTGTATACTGATTATTTGCAGTTTTGTTTTTCGGCATCGACAATCCAATCACAGTGAACATTCCATTGAGTCTCAGTGCAAATAATGCTCAGCTGTTTGTATCGCGATTGGTTGGAACCAAGAGAATAATTATTAATGGGCGAATTCACAATCACAATAATAAAAAATGTGTATCAACTAAAAATCAGTTGATTTTCATTGATGAAATAGAAAGAAAAAGAAAATTCTCATATTTTATTGTTTTAATTAGTTTTTTTTTAATTTAGATAATTTTTTTTTTTCATTTTTTCCCGCTAATTTAGTAGAGCGCACGCCATCAAACGACAAGTGAATGAAACATAAGGGTTGGTAACATTGTTTTTTTCATCATAATAATCTTCGATCATAATGTCCGCGTCGTGAAAATTACAAGTGTTTTGCAACGCAGTAAAAAAATAAACAAAATAATTATACTGTGTTCTTATTAACGAGTTGATAATTTGGTAAACTTTTTATTTTTTTTTATTCTATTGTCGTGATGAATTGACACCTGAAGCTGGTTCAAAATGTAAGTAAAAATCCAAGGTTAAAAAATTGACAGTAGTTATATAGAACGTCAAAAATTGTTATAATACCAATTACGTATTTTTTGTGAAAGGTCATGTTTGCCCTTGATGTGGAATTTTGTTTACGTTTAAATAAATTCTTATCTTTCGTAATCATTTTGGATTTACTGAATTATTGCATACGGTGTTATGACAAATGCAATTGCATGTCAATCGCGTGTAAAGGATTTGAAGTTCATGTTTATAATATATGGTTGTTTTTTTTTTTTTTTAATCATTAAATAACTATATCTTTAGATTAAAATTTACATATAACTTATGATCTATTTTAATAATTAGAAGTGAACTACAATTATTACATATATTTAAAAGAAAGTGAAAAAACAATTGTTTTTTTTATTTTCGATTATATAGCTCACCACACAAGAAGGTTTCTGTAAACATGAGCTCTCATCATCATTTAAAAACATCAACCGGAGAAGTTGAGCATATTAATCATCTTTCTGAGGATATTGGAGCTCTTTATATGTCTGACGACTATTCCGACGTGACTTTATTAGTTGCCGGACAACGATTTACAGCTCACAAAGTTATTTTGGCAGCTAGAAGTCAATATTTTCGAGCATTATTGTTCGGTGGTTTACGTGAATCGACACAGCAAGAAATTGAACTCAAAGGCACAACTTTGCAGGCATTTAAAGGTCTTTTGAAATATATTTACACCGGTCATATGTCATTGGCCAACCAACGAGAAGAGGTAAAATATAAAATTTTATTTTTTTTTTCATGCATTTTTTTTTAGAAATTTTTCAAATTTATTTACAATTTATTATATTTCATTAATTTAATATGAATTTATATTATTAATTTTAATTTAAATTAAAAAAAAAAAACATTTTTAATATATTTTTGAATATATTTTTTTAAATATTAGCCTACTTAAATTCAGGCCTCATTATACTTTTTCGACTTTTTCCGATTTTTTTTTTTTTTTTTTAAATCAATGTCAAAAGTTGAAGTATAAATTTTTGTGTTCATTTTATGAAAAATTTGAAAGTATATAAAGAAGAAAAAACAATAAATTATAAAAAAGAAGCAAAAATAAGGAAAATATAAATAAACTAATAAAATAAAGAAATAAAGAAAATAATAAAAAATAAAGTAATAAACTAAATAATAAAAATGATTTTAAACTAAAATAAAAACATAATTAAACTACCGTCAACCGAGATAATTATCGAAAGCTCAATTTTTTTTTATTTAAAAAAAAATTTTTTATAGTTAATTGTTTCAATATTTGGTTCTTATTTTAAATAATAATTTAATACTTGGCCTACAAAGTAAATGAAATGTTTTAATTTTTATTATCACTATAGCAACGAGAAAAAAATTGTCAAACTTTAAAAAAGTAAAAAGGTTATTTAAAAAATGTGCAGTCCTCGGATTATACGACTTTTTTTCAAAAATAAAGAAAAATACGAAAAATATTTCAATTATTTAACAAATTTTTAACTAAAATTCTTCACTAAATTAATTATTTTTAATAAATTTAATGAAATTATTTACAAATTTAATTATCTTAAACTATTTTTCAATTAAAATTTTTTATAAATTTTAATAATTGTTGATAATTAAAAAAAAATTAGCAAATAAAATTACCAAAAAAAATGTTAATTCGAAATCACTTAAAATTTAATTATTTGCAAAAATTTCAATTATTTTTAATAATTTTTATAATATTCTTCGAAAATCCAATTATCTAAAAGCATTTTTCAATTAAAAACTTTTAGAATTCAATTTTTTTTTATGTGATTTCTAATAAGTTCTTCATCAACAGAAATCACTAAAAATTTCTCTATTTATATTTATTGTCTGTTTAACAAAATCTTTTGAAATTCAATTAATTTTAAAAATTTCAATTTAAAAGCTTCTAAAATTTAATTATTTCTATTATTTTCCATCTGAAATTTTTTGAAATTTAATAATTTAAATTATATCTCTCTTGAAATTTCATTATTTTTAATGATTTTTATAATATTCTTGGAAAATTCAATTATCTGAAAGCATTTTTTCTATTAAAAACTTTTCAAATTATTGTATTTTTGTCTACAATTTCTAATAAATTTTTTAGTGAAATCATCAAAAATTTTAAATTAAAAATCAATTGAAGTTGAATTAATTTCAAAATTCAAAATTATAAATCTTTGAAAATTCAATTACTTTTAAAAAATGTTATCTAAAATTATTTGATAAATTATTTTTAATTCTTTATTGAAGATTTATTTATTTATTTATTTCAAACATAAACGATAATAATTTAATTATTGTCTGAAAATTAACAAAAAATTTTGAAATTTAATTATTTCTAAAAATTTCAACTTTAACTTTTCCAAAATTATTATTTAAAAATCTGTAAAACTTGATTAAATATTGCCTGAAATTTTGTTGACCATCAAAACTAAAAACTTTGATAAAATTTTAAATTCGAATAAATTGCTTAAATCAAATTTGAAAAAATTATAATAAAATTTTGAAAATTTGTCTTAGAATTAGTTCGATTTTAAAATATTCGAAATAAATTTTCTTTATAATATTCATTATAGAATTATTCTCATTACAGAATTAATAAAATGAATTTAATATCTAATAACATTAGTTATTTAAAGTAAAATATTCATTAACCAATTAAATTTTGTTAAATTAAAAAAAAATCGATTTTTTTGACTTTTTTTGATATATGAATCGACTAAAACGACTTTTTTTGTGCCTTAATGTCGATCCGAGGCCTGTAAATTATTTTGTGATTATTTAAATTGAATTTAATAATGACAATTTAAGTTTAATTAAATGACTTTAAAAAAAAACTTTAGAAAATACCTAAAATTTATTTATTTTTACAAACAAAACATTCTCGATCTTTTACCATGAATTCTCGTTTTTTTTTTACAATTCCTAAATTTATCGTTTTTTTTTTTAATTGCTTTTTTTATTTGTTTGAAAAATTCTGAACGTTTAAATGAACAGAAAATTTGTTTACTACTTTTTTAACTTCAAATTTTATTATAAAATATTGCTTTCTGTATTCAAAAATACATTAATTTATTGAATGTTTAATGTATTGATTTTTCATTGCAGTAATAATTTTTTTAAAAATTTATAGACCAAAAAAATAATTTGCTTCATTTGAACATTCAGAATTTCAGGCATTTAAGTTTAAAATTATTAATTTAATAATAAATAAATTTAATTAATCTAAGTTAAAAATTATAATTGATTTAAGTTTCAATTTATCCAAAATTCAATTTACTACATTTTTAAATTAATATTTAATTATTGATTAAAAAAATAAAAATGTGTAAGTTCTCGTAATTTGTGTTTTACAGGTGATTCTCGATATTTTGGGTTTGGCACATCAATATGGATTTTTAGAATTAGAAGTTGCAATTTCCGATTACCTCAAAGAAATTCTCAATATTAGAAATGTTTGTTTGATATTTGATGCAGCGCGTCTTTATCAATTGGAATTCTTGACAAAGGTAAATTGAAAAAAAAATTCTGTTATTTAAATTCTTGAAAATTATTTTTGTTAATTTGTCCCTTTAAACAATTAATGCTTTTTTAATATTCTTTTTGTTTATTTTAATTATAAGTTTCTTCACAATTAAAATTATTAACAATCATTAAGGAAAGGGAACAGTATTATTTAAACAATTAAATTAGATTGAAAATTTCTCTAGTAGTTTTTGAAATTTGACCTGAAATCTTAATTAGAAATTTTTTTAAAAACCCTGTATAATTATTAAAAAAAAAGTTTATCAAACTTTTATAGACAATTTGCTATATAATATATATATTTGTAATTTTTAATGACTTTTATTTATTTACTTTGTTTATAAAGGTATGTCACGAATACTTGGATAAACACGCCCTCGAAGTAATTCAGCACGAAAGCTTTTTGCAATTAAGTTTACAAGCACTTATAGAACTCATTTCCCGTGACTCTTTTTATGCTCCGGAAGTCGATGTGTTCTTGGCTGTTTACGCTTGGGTTAAAGCAAATCCTGGCATAGAAGTGAAGGAAATACTGAGTGAGTAATTAACAATAAAGATAAATTAATTATATTCAGTAATTAAAATCAAGTTATGTGTAGTTGATTTCTAAACTACATTAGACCCGTTAAAAAGTGAAGAATAATAAATAACTTTTAGTTATAAATATTTATATTTATTTCACAAAAAATAAAATTATTTATAAATGATTACAGAGTGTCCAATGGACTTTGAAATTCTTGAAAAGTCCTTGAATTTTTTTTTTTTAATTTCTGGACACTGGATTGATTTTTGTGAAATAAAAATATAAATTTAGCCTTGAATATTTATTTTAAATTGATTAAATTCTTTTTTAGATCAAGTTAGACTTTCGTTAATAGCAATTACGGACTTGTTAAATGTAGTAAGACCTACAGGTTTGGTTTCACCGGAAATGATATTAGATGCAATTGCGGAAAGTACACAAACAAAAGATACAGAATTAAATTATCGAGGATTATTAATGATCGATGAAAATGTAGCACAAGCGAAACATGGAGCACAAGTCTTGCAAGGAGAAATGAGATCCTTTCTTCTTGATGGTGATACACGAAATTATGACATGGAAAGGGGGTTGGTTTTCTAAAAATTATTTTTCAAATTCATTATTTCTACTTTTAAAAAAGAATCGTCAGTCAATACCAAATAGTTCAGCATCTCTCTAAATTTGAATTAGCGAGAATTCATTCACTATTTTCAATTAATGAAAATTACTAATTTTTTACTAAAACTTTAATTAAAAAAAATATCACAAAATTAAATAGTAAATATTTTATTAAAAAATTAGTGAAAATTTCTAATAATTTTAAATAGTAAACAAACTCTCATTAATTCAAATTTAGAGAGTTATTATTTTTGTATTTTTAAATAAAGAAAAAATAATAAATTTTCAGTAATAAAAAACTTTAAAAATTTTAATTTTAATGATTCTAAAATATGGAATTTTACTAACATTTATTACGATTGTTTAGCCGATTCTTTTTGAATAATTTTTTTTTTTTTTGTGAATTACAAATTATATTCTTGTGAAAATTAATTTTGATAAATTGTTTTTAGATATACAAGGCATTCCATAACAGATTTACAAGATCATGGAATACTTATTAAATTGGGCACTCAATGTATAATCAATCACATAAAAATGTTGTTATGGGACAGAGATGTGCGGTCTTATTCATATTACATAGAGGTAAGATAGTTCTTTAATTATATAATAATAAAATGCTTGGTATGTCCTTCTGTCCTAACTTGAAGTTGGTCTTTTATGATTTCACGTGTTTCTTGAATAGTAATCTTATAACGTGTCAAATTTGTGTCAAATTAAACTTGAAAATTTTAGAAATAATTAAATTTCAAAAGATATTGTTAATTTTCAAACAATAATAAAATTTTACAGAACTAAAAATAATTTATCAAAAAATTTTTTGGAAAACATTTTTTAAATTTAATTGAATTTTCAAAAGATTTAAAATTGAGATTTTAGAAATTAATTGAACTTCAAGTGATTTTAATTAAAATTTTATATGATTTCACTAAAAAATTTATTAGAAATTACAGACAAAATACAATAATTTGATAATCATTTTTTAATTGAGAAATGGTTTCAGATAGTTGAATTTGAAATTTCGGAAAATAATTAAATTTCAATTAAAATTTTGGATAATAATTCATTTTTAGTTGATTTTTTATTGAAAATTTTGATAATTAATTTTGAATTGAAATTTTAGAAAATAATTAAATTTTATTTGATTTTAAATTTAGAAAATAATTGAATTTTAGTTGATTTTGAATTGAAAATTTTGAAAATAATTGAATTTTCTTTGATTTTGAATTGAAATTTTGGGAAATAATTGAATTTTAATTGAAATTTTGAATAATAATTTAATTTAAGTTCATTTTTTATTGAAAATTTGGATAATTAATTTTGAATAGAAATTTTAGAAAATAATTGTAGAATTTTATTTTATTTTAAATTGAAAACTAGGAAAATAATTGAATTTTAAAAGATTTTGAATTAAAAATTTGGAAAGTAATTGAATTTTCTTTGATTTTGAATTAAAATTTTGGGAAATAATTGAATTTTAGTTAATTTTGGAATTGAAATTTTGGAAAATAATTAAATAATTGAATTTTTGTTAATTTTCAATAGAAAAATTTGGAAAATATTTGAATTTTAGTTGATTTTAAATTAAGATTTCGGATAATAATTGAATTTTATGTGATTTTAAATTAAAAATTTGGAAAATAATTGAATGTTAAAAGATTTTGAATTAAAAATTTGGAAAATAATTGAATTGTCTTGGATTTTGAATTGAAATTTTGGGAAAATAATTAAATTTCAATTACAATTTTAAATAATAATTCAATTTTAGTTGATTTTTGATAATTAATTTTCAAATGAAATTTTAGAAAATAATTTTATTTTATTTGAATTTAAATTGAAAATTTGGAAAATAAGTGAATTTTAGTTGATTTTGAATGGAAAATTTTGGGTAATAATTGAATTTCATTTGATTTTAAATTGAAAATTTAGAAAATAATTGAATTTTAAAAGACTTTGAATTTAAAATTTAATAATTTAATAATTAATAATCTGAGGCCTATAAACATATAATTTTTATTTTTATCATTTAATATGGAATAATATTCTAATAAATTTAAATAATTATTGATAATATTAATTTTTAATTTCTCTATAACAAATAATGAAACAGTCAATTTGGCGCGCTTGCGCGCATTTAATATTGCTAGTTGTTCAATAAATTTTCAATAAATAAAAACAATTTTTAAAACAAAATTTTAATCTGAAAATCGCAAAAAAATGTAGCTAATCATAACTTTGATAATATAACTTAATAATGATTAATTATAAAAATAGCGCTCAAATTTTTTTACCAGATATTCAATCGAATGAATGAAAGTTCATGTAAAATAAAAATTCAGCGTTTTATCAATTCTGTCAAATTAATGTAAATTCGAATAAATAAAAATTCGACTAGAAAAGAATTATTTCTGTAAAATTTTAAAAAATTTCCAATTTTTATAGAAATTTCAAGTTTTCTTTTTTTTTTGAAATTATGTGTTTTTGAATTTACTCAAAAAAAAAAGAGTTGAATTATTTTTTTTTCTAAACGAAACAAATATGTAGTTGAGAAAATTTTTGATTTCAGATTTCAATGGATCAAAAAAGTTGGGTTAGAGTAATCGATCATACACAATATTATTGCAGAAGTTGGCAATATTTATATTTTGAGCCGCGAGTCGCACTTTATATTCGTATCGTTGGAACTAACAACACGGTTAATAAAGTTTTTCATGTTGTTAGTTTTGAGGCGTTTTATACAAATCATTTAGAAAAACTTTGTAAAGGTTTTATCGTGCCAACATTAAATGTCGCTACGACAGAAAGAAGCGCTTGTGTTACCGAAGGTGTTAGCAGGTAAATATTTAAATATTCACAAATTTTATATATTTAATGAGAAACGATAAAAAAATAAAATAAAAATTTATGGATCAGTCCATTGACTTTTGTCTAAAAGCTGTTGGGGGTTAAATTTTTAAAAAATCTAGTTTTAAAATATTTTAAATTTAAACATTTTCTTAGTTAATTAATCATAATATTAAATTAAATAATATAATTAAATTTATAATATATTAAAGTAAATTTAACTTCAATTCAATTTGAATGTAATTTTTTGATTTAATTTTAATATTAGAGCCCGCAATGCTTTGCTGGATGGTGACATGTTAAATTACGATTGGGACAGTGGTTACACGTGTCATCAATTAAATTCTGGTTTAATTCAAATTCAACTTGGTCAACCTTATATGCTTGATTCCATGAGGTAAGAAGATGAATTAATTATTGAATTTTATAGTTGGAAATAATAATTTTTATTTTACATAAATAATGTTAAAAATTATTTTCTCGATTTTTATAGGAGGATTGCGAAGAATGGAATAAAGAAAAAAAAAACTTTTTTTTTTCATTGTGTTTTTTTTTCTATTTTATTCTTTTCAATAAACAAATCATTTCGAGGTTGACGAAAATAATTAACAAAAAATTATTATAAGAAAAAAGAGATTTTTTATTATAAATTATAATTCGTACTAAAAATCAAGAAAACAACTTTCAATATTTATTTCATTTGAATTTTTCACATTTAAGGGGTTACATGAGTCAAAAAGGCCAAAAAAAAATGTATGTTCTTCTTATCATTTTTTTTTTCATATAATAAATAAATTATTTTATTTGATCACTTAGTTACCTTAACGTACACTATAAAATAAGTAAGTTATAAAATGTTTGTTAATAAATATTAGAAATTAAGCCAATGGCAACAGGTTCTTTGATACCCCTTTCAAAAACAGTGATTTTGCGGTAGTCACGATATCTAATGACTGCTTCATCAAAAATAAAAAAAAAAACAAAATATTTTCTATTAGTAGATGAGTATAGTTCGTGATTAAACGAAGAGTTTTTAAAAAAATTTAAATTTGAATTTTTGGGAAAATATTCTTGAAATGTTATACTATCAAATTAAAAAAGGAAAAGAAACATCGATTTTTTTTTTGACCCATGTAACCCTTTAATAAGTTTTTGAGTATATTTTATAGCATTTTTTTTTTTAGATTACTTTTATGGGATTGTGACGATCGATCCTATTCATATTATGTCGAAGTTTCTGGTGATGCAAAAAATTGGGAAGTTATTTGGGATAAAACACGAGAAGCTTGTCAATCATGGCAGACGATAAGATTCCGTCCAGCGCGACCTGTTGTCTTTATAAATATTGTGGGAACACGAAACACAGCGAATGAGGTAATTTTTTTTTTCTTTTCATTATTTATTTCAATTATTCTTTTGAGATAGAATTTATTTTGTTCTTTTAAATTCAGAGTGTCTACCGAAACTTGAAAATCGAGAAAACGACATGAATTTAGTTACTTTTTTCGACTTATTTTACTAAGAAGTGACTTTTTTTTTGACTTTTCTGTACTTTTTTTTAACAAAATTAAAAAAAAAATACGTGTTTTTTATTATACAATACAGATCTTTTTTTATTTCAATTATTTACCATATTTTTAACTAAAATTATTCTCTAAAATTAATTATTTTTAATAATTTGAAAGAAATTCTCTATATAAATTCAATTATCTTAAACTATTTTCGATTAAATTATTTTTAAAAAAGGTTATCTAAAATTATTTGATAAATTATTTTCAATTCTGTAAAATTTTACAAAATCTTTTGAAATTCTTCCAAAATTCAATTATGATTTTTAATAATTTTTATATTTCTTTAAAAATTCAATTGTTTAAAAAAGCTTCAACTTAATTATTTTCCGACATTTTTTTTTTTTTTTTTTTTTTACTATTAAAACTAAAAATTATGCAAAAATTTTAAATTCAAATTATTTGCGTAAATCAGACTTTAAAAATTTGTCCTACTTAATTAAAATTTTGAAAATTTATCTTAGTTCGGTTTTGAAATAATATAAATTTTCCTTATAATATTCTTGTAGAATTATTCTTATTAAGGAATGAAAAAATAAATTAAATAATATTCAATAACATTAGATATTTAAAGTAAAATATTTATTAACTAATTAAATTTTATTAAATTAAAATATCAATCTTTTCGATTTTTTTTGCGTCTTAAAGTCGATCCGAGGCCTGAGTAGATTACACAAGTAACAATTTCTGTTAACTTTTATTAATAGTTGAATTTCTAAAATATTAAAAAAAAAGATTTTTAATTTTCTTTTACGCTTATTATTATTTTGACGATAAAAAAAATTTTTTTTAATATTTTAAGTCTTCTTGTAAAACGATATTTCTCTTCAGAGTAATAATTCTTGATTTTTATTATAGGTATTTCATTGTGTTCATTTTGAATGTCCTGCACAAACAGAAGATGAAAAAAATGTCAAATCACCAGGACGACGAGGTAAACAATTACCATCGGGAGTTGAAGTGAATTCTTCAATGCCCACGGAAACTGCAACAGAGGCTGTAAATATTGACCACGAGGAAAAAGATTTAATGGATGAGGCGGCACTTGCTGTCATTGTACCTTAATTTAAATAATCGACAATTTCTAAATTCTAAGCAGCAACGTTAAGACTGTTAAGTAATAACGTTTGTATACGATATTTGCCTTTTTTTTGCTCCATACACACGTTAAATATCGTTAATTTATAATTTTGCACATCGAGGTTAAAAAGTCTCTCAATTTATGAAAATACGATTTAAAAAAAAAAAAAAAATGCCTACAAGAAAAAGCAAAACGGGTATCAAAGATTAGTGCCATTGTATAATCGTTTTTATTTTTAACGAAAAATTATTTCGTTTGTTGAAATGTTGTTACTTAAATATTTTTTATTTTTTTGCCACTTAATTTTTTTTTTTTGTAAATCTTTTATGTAATATACATAGATCTATTTAAAACTGCTTATTTAAAAAAAAAAAATTGTTAATATAAACGTTAAATTATGCGTAATTTGTATATTATTACTACTATTATTAATAATATTATTTTTATTTATTTATTTTTTTTGTCGAAAATGATTAAATTAAAAATTCTTATTTGAGGAATCGTGGAATTGAAATATTAATGAAAAAAAAGAACCGCTTAGCTTTGCTACTTTTTCAAAAAAGGGATTGAATTCTTTTTCTTAATTGAATGTCAATCTAAATATATATATATATATTTATTGACTTGGGTTAAAATTGAAGGAACTGAAGAATGACATAAAATATTATTGATGATAACTTATATAGAATTTTAAATTTCACAATTTTATATATAAATAAAATATACAATTATTAATAATCGTTAATAATTAATATAGTAATTATTAACAATTGTTCATAATCGTTAATATTAATTATTAATTATTAATTATTAATAGTTATTAATAGATTTTCATATTAAAAAAAAAAAAAAATTCTATTTATTAATTTCGTAAAATATATATATTTATCATCAAATCTAAATGTATATGAAAAATGTTATTAGGTTCTTGTGAATAATATACACAATAGATTTTCTGTGATAAATTTTTGAAAATTACATAATCCTCATATATATATGTATATATATGTGTGTGTGTTAAACAAAAAGATGTAAAAAAAGCAGAAAACAAATTTTTTTAGTAATGTGTTTTTAATTAAATATTCACAAACATCGACTTGTGGGACCGAAGAAAGTTTTTCTGATATTAAAAAAAACAAAAAAAAAAAAAGACTTGATGAGCTTAAAAGCAATTTTATTGTATTTTGTAGCTCTTGTCCATTTTTTCTTGTTCCTCGATATTAATAACCGAAGTTCAACGCTTTAAATTTGATATTATAATATATGGTAAAGGAAAAATTTTATGTAGAAAAGTTTATTATTTATTTCGATAAAATTTTGATGAAAAGCGAGTATATTTCCTATTTCGTCTCCCTTAGGTTTAGATAGAATGTTTATTTTTCTAGTCTCATATATATATATAATATATGTAGAATATACAATATTGTAGTTGTGTGGTAAATAATATTGTTAAACAAAATTAATAAACAGTCTTGATGTCTCGTACAAAACAAATTTATTGTTTCATTTATTAACAGTATCAAAAGAAAAATTAGTCCAATTCGATATTTTCGAATTTTTAAATAAACAAAAAAGGAATTTAAATTTTTTAATTTATTCAGTGTAAATTTAATTTTTAACATTCTAAATAATTAAAATTTAAATAAAAATTAGGGAGAAATTTTTCAAAATAAATAAATTTTTGAAAATTTTTTTAAAACATTTTTATCAATTTGAATTATTCATAGAAATTATGTTTGCAAAAAAATGGATTTGGATTTTTGCAAAAATGCTCCTCTCAATTTGAAGCGATTTGAATAACATAACCTAAATTTTTTGACTTTCTTATGATCAAAAACAAAAATTTTACTTCTTTTTTAGTAATAAAATTTGAGAATAAAAATTTTTTGCATAGTAGAAAAAAATAATACGAGAGTTTTATTTTAAAGACTAAAATAAACATTTTTGAATTTTCGCTCTTTTACTATGTCACGCATGCGTATTGAGAAAGCATTTAAAGTGCCTTTCTGCGCAACTGCGGGTGTTGGCGGAGCGGAGGACTCTGCATGCAGAGGAAATTTGTAAAGATATGTTGACTCTGATTCGTAATGTTAAAAATCTGGAATCAATTCATAAATAAAATATAGTTTATCATTAACTAAATAGAAAGAAATTATTCGGCATAATGCCGCCTAAAAAAGCCGCGGCTCCGAGTAAAAAAGTGGAGCAAAAGAAAAAGGAGAAGGTTATTGAGGTGAGTTTATTATATATATATAAAAGACAAAATATAAATGTTAACCAACAAATTTTATCATCTTAGCCACATGTTCTATTTTTGATTTACATCAATATTTCTGAAAAGAAAATTAATTTTAACATTTGTAAATTTTTTTTTATAATAGGATAAAACTTTTGGTATTAAAAATAAGAAAGGAGCAAAACAACAAAAATTTATACAACAAGTAGAAAAACAAGTAAAATCCGGGGGTATTCATCCTCGAAAGGTAGATGATCCAAATGCTAAAAAATTAGAAAAGGAAAAAAAATTGCAGGAACAGAAGGAGTTAGCATTGTTATTTAAACCAATTCAAACTCAAAAAGTTGAAAAAGGTAATTATTTCAACACCATTTTTATATTTTGTTATTAAAAAAAAAAAAAAAAATACCAGAATTTTGTTACTATACAGAATTTTTCAAACGGATCACCTAAAATTAACAAATTTAATTTTTAATGTTAAATTGTCTTTTTTTTACTCTTACTGAAATCAAAATAAGTTTCTGAAAATATTAGACAAAAGAAAAAAAATTTATGTTAAAATTATAAACAATTGAAATTTTTAGTTTTAATTTTAAGAGACGGAAATTTTATGCTTGAGCATAAATGCATAAATAAATTGGCGCTAAATTTTGATTAAAACATTTTTTTTTTAAATAATTAAACTTTAGACAATTAGCAGTCAATTTTTTTTACAGCAATAAAATTTCAAACGCTTTTTCACTTGAAAATTGAAATACTTAAATGTATGAAAAACTTTATACAAATTTCTAAAAAAAAAAAAAAAATTAATTCCGATTTTTAAAAATGATTTGATATTTCAAAGAGATGCAATTCAAATTTCTAATATCAATTAATTTAAGTAAATATGTAGGTACAATAGAACATTTTTTAAAAAATATAAATTAATTCTCTGTGAATTAAAACTAATGTTTAAAAAACAATATTTTTAGTATATATACATATAATTTGTTAAAATCAGTAAATTTTCATGGAAATTGATTTCAAATTTTTGAAAATGATAAAATTTACAAAGAATTTTAGTTAAAATGATTTATAAATAATATAATTATTTAGATTTAATATAAATAATTTAATTTTGAAATAGTTACAATTGAAAGTTTTGACATTAGTTTAAATGATTTTAAATTCAAAATTTCAAAAGTAATTCAATTTTTTGAAGAATTTATTTCGAATTACTTTATTTTATTTTATTTAAATATCTACAGACCTTAGATTATTCGACTTTTTTTTCGAAAATTTCGACTTATTTAAATAATATGCGACTTTTTTTTCCTTTTTTTTAACAAAAATTTTAAACAAAATACCTTTTTTTTTTCTTTTTTCTTTTAGTATACAATGCAAATCTTCTTTTTTTTCAATTATTTAACAAATTTTTAAACAAAAATTTTTCTCTAAATTCATTATTTTTTAATAATTTCAATGAAATTCATCACAAAATTCAATTATCTTAAAATATTTATCAATTAAAATTTTTATGAAATTCAACAATTGTTTACAATTTAAAAAAAAAATTAAATAAAATTACCAAAAATTTCAATTTAAAACCTTTTAAAATTTAATTATTTTTAAAAACTTACCATCTAAAACTTTTTGCAATTTAATAATTTCAATTATAACTCTTTCGTAATTCAATTAATTTTAATGATTTTTATAATATTCTTAAAAAATCCAATTAAAAAATTTTTAAGTTTAATTTTTGTCTTTAATTTTTAATAAATTCTTCAACAGAAATCACCAAAAAATTCCAAATCAAAATCTCTTAAATTAAATTATTTTCAAAAATTTTAATTTAAACCTTCTAAAATTAAATTATTTTTAAAAATTTCAATTGTAACTCTTCCAAAATTTAATGATTTTTATAATATTCTTCAAAAAATTCTATTATTTGAAAGCATTTTTCAATTAAAACCTTTTAAAGTTCAATTTTTTTCGGTAATTTCTAATAAATTTTTCATCAACAGAAATCACCAAAAAATTTCAATTCAAGTGATTTCAAAAATCTGAATTCTAAATCTTTGAAAATTCAATTACTTTGTCAAAAATTTTTTTTTTTTTTTTAGAAATTTGTTTTATTTAATTAAAATTTAAAAAATTTACGTCTTTGATTCTGAAATATTCGAATTAAATTTTTTTTGATAATATTCCTATAGAATTATTCTTATTAAGAAATTAATAAAATGTATTTAATATCTAATAAAATTAATTATTGAAAGTAAAATACTTATCAACTAAACTTAAATTTAATTAAAATAAAAAAATCGACTTTTTCGACTTTTTTCGGAATGTAAATCGACTAAAACGACTTTTTTTGCGCCTTAAAGTCAATCCGAGGGCTGTATCTTAAAAATTATGATCTTTTGATATAACAAAATTCAGATATAAAATATTATTAGTTATTACTTTAAAGGTGAACCTTGACGAAAATTATTGCTAATTTTGAAAACTTTGAAAAGGCCTTGTTTTTTTTTGCAAAAGTTGCTGAATTCCCTGTTTTCTTTTTCTGAATAAATTTAATGATAGTTGAAATATTAGTCACAAATTTTCGTTTCACTAACTTAATAATTAATATTATTTATTGAAAACAATGATCGATTAGCATTCAAATTCATATATAAATAACTTTTTTTCTAATTGATTGTCATTTTTTTCCACAACGGTTTTATACTCAGAAATATATGCGGAATATAAAACAATTTTTAAATTTTACATAGGGCATGAACAAATTTTTTTTATTATAACTAAACTAAACACGAGAATTTATAATAATTCCGAGAATTTTATAATTCTAAGACGAGAAAATCATATTTTTTGTTTTTAAATTTGTCAACTGAATCTCGAGAAATATTATTTTTTTATTTAAGACAGCTAAAGATTTCAATTATTTATAACTTTAACAAAAAATTTGTTTTTAGTTTTAGTTTCTTTTTTAGTTTTTAGTAAATTAATTACATTTTGAAAATGTTACGTGATCTGTTTGTGAAATTCTGACTCTTATATAAATTTCCGGCTTTTATAATCTATTATACAAAACGATTGACTTGAGAATTGATATTTAAATTTCTTTTTTTAAGAAATGAATAAAAATATAAGAATATTTTTATATTAATATAAAAATTCTTTTAATTTAGAAGGGAATTCAAAATTATTTACTTTTTTTTTTAGGAATCGATCCAAAATCTGTGGTATGTGCATTTTTCAAACAAGGACAATGTACAAAAGGAGACAAATGCAAGTTTTCACACGATTTAACGATAGAAAGAAAGGCAGAAAAGCGTTCGCTTTATTGCGATATGCGAGATGAAGATAAAGAAACTGATACCATGGACAATTGGGATGTAGATAAATTAAAAGAAGTTGTTGAAAAAAAACACGGAGGTGGAAATCGTCCTACAACCGATATTGTAAGAGATTTGGAATTTTTTTTTTTTTATTTACAAATATTTTAGTTTATCTATTCATACAATAATAATTAATAATAATAATATAATTATATGAATTTATCATTTCGTGTTATTTAAATTAATTAATAATAAAATAAATAGTTGACATGATAATGATTTGTTTTAGATTTGTAAACATTTCTTGGAAGCTGTTGAAAAATCGAAATACGGTTGGTTTTGGGAATGTCCTGCAGGTCAGAAATGTATTTACAGACATGCGTTGCCACCTGGATTTGTTCTTAAAAAGAATAAAAAGAAGGAAGACAAAAAGGATGAGATATCGTTGGAAGATCTTATTGAAAGAGAGAGAGCCAATTTAGGACCAAATCAGGTTTGTTTCAATATCACGATCATTATTGTATGTATATAAATTATTATTAGTTTTTTAAAACACATGGAGAAAACCTGGAATTTTCTTGGATTTTTATTTTGATTTATGTAAATTGGTTTTTTATTCAAATTCCTCTAACTTTATTTTATACTCTAATTTTTTTGTTTACATAATCAAATTTATTTTTAAACGAATGTTTATTAACAAAAATTTGCAATTTGACCAAATTTAAATTTAACAAAATTTATACGTTTAATTAACATAAATTTTTCATTTTAATCTAATTTTTTAATACAGAATTTTCATTTGATTTTAATTTTATTTAACTAAATTCGCTAATTTTGTAATTGAAAAGTTACACAGGAAAATTAAAATTATTCAAGAGAAAAGGAAAAATTTTGTTTAATTCCAGAGTTTTTCATGATTTTTAGTATTTATTTATTATTTATTTTTACTATCTTCTATTTCTTTTTTCCACGATTTTGTAAAATCTGTGAATACAAATGTTTCGATTTTATTATTTTTCTTGAAGGTGATAAGGCATTTTTTTTTTAATTTTACAGACAAGAATAACATTAGAAAGCTTCTTGGCATGGAAAAAACGTAAACTAAAGGAAAAGAAAGATCAAGCAATTAAGGATGAGGAGAAGAAACGTAGCGATTACAAAGCTGGTCGTCAAGTTGGTATTTCCGGAAGGGAAATGTTTTTCTTCAATCCAGATCTTGCTACTGGAGATGGTAAATTAAAAAAAAATTGATATTATAGTTGAAATTGTGAAAAATTTATTTATTTATTTTTTAATGTCATTTTTTATTAACAACAGGAATGGAAGACGGAGATGAGGCATTTGACAATTATGCTCTCGATGAAGATGAAGATTCTGATGGTTTGGAATACAAGGAGCTGGACTTTGATAAACTTACATTCGAAGCTAGTGAAATTGATACCGCGGGTATTACAATTGCTAAGGAAGATCGATTGAAGAGTGACAATGTTCCTGAAAGAAATGAAGAATCAGGTGAGTTTATTATAAAAGATATTCTCCGTGTAGCGCACAATTTCATGTCCCTCGTGTTTTTTTTAAAGAAATCAGTTACCAGGTTATGGCCGGATATGCATGGTGCAATACCTTCATAGTGCCAACGTTAAACCAAATACTACTAAGAAATCAGTTGCTCATATAGTAATAAATCTAATGTAAAAAATTATTAGTTCCTTGAAAACCTGGAAAAATCATTGAATTTTATTTTTACCTGAAAAATCAGGAAAAGTTCTTGAATTTTTCATTGGGTATAAAATTTACATCATTCAAAACTGAATTATTAAATGAATATTAACTAGAATTCTTCGCAAAATTAATTATATTTAATAATTTTAATCAAGTTGTTTAAAAATTCTATTATTTAAAATATTTTTCAAATGAAAGTTTTTATTATTGTCTAAATTTTATTTTAAAAAATTCAATTAAAATTTATAAAAGTTTCGATTTAAAATCTCCTGAAATTCAATTATTTCTAAAAAATTTAACTTTAAATCTTCAAAAATTTAATTATTTCTAAAATTCTTTGGAAAATTAATTATTTCTAATAAATTTAATCAACATTTTCAAAAATTTAATTTTTTAAAAACATTTTTCAATTCAAAATTCTCTAAAATAAAATTATTATTATTATCATCAAAAGCTTATAAAAAAATCTTCAGCAATTCAAATTTTAAAAATTTTTATTTAAACATCTGCAAAAATTCACTTACTTTTATAAATTTTAACTGCAGCTTTTTCAAATTTCAATTGTTTTTAAAATTTTTTTAATTTATTTATTTCACTAATACTTTAATTGGAAAATTTAATTATTTAAATCATTTTCTAAACTTCTGAATTCGAATTATTTTAATAACTCAGATTAGAGAATTAATAAAATTTATTTAATTTCTAATAATAATTGTTTGATAATAATAATAAATAAAATAAAAAAAATGTTTTTAGCAGTAATTCAAGGTACTTTTTAGAAATCAACACTTTTGAAAAGCAATTGTTTGGCAATTTTATTTTTTAATTCAAAAATTTTATTTTCTTTGTTAAAAATATAAATATTTCTTTCATGCTTTTATTATTAAATTTATTGGTTAAAAAATAGATAAAATTATTTAATTATTTATGTATGGAAAATGTAAAAGGTGGAAAGGTCATACATATGAATCGAATAAATCTATCGATTAAATTTATCGTTTAAATATTTATTAAAAAATAAGAAATTTAGAAATGAAGTTTTGAAAAATGTGATGCAAGTAAAAAGAAGTTTAATTTAAATAATAAAATCAGATTTAAGGAAAAAAAATTCCAATTGTTTGTCTATTTTTTTGAATTAATTCTAAAAAATATTTCTTTTTATTTATTTATTCAAGAATATTATTATATATTCAAACAATTTTTCTATTTACAGTGACAGTTGTGGGTGAAGGTGCTGCAGCTTTAGCAATCAATGAAAATCTCTTCACTGAGGAAGATTTGGAAGGTCTGGAGGAAGAATTGGGGGACCTGGACTTGGAGGAGTGATCCAGATGTCCCCTTTTGACTCTCCTCAAATCCCGTCCTTTCTGTTTTTTTTCTTTTTTTTTCGAAAGTCTGCTGCATTTTCAATAACTCGATTTTTTTTTTATTAATTAAATTGTAACTCTTCAATTATCACTGCGATTATGTAAATTACGCTCAATATATATATATTATATCTTTAATAAATTATTATTATCAGAAAAAATGGGATAATGAAAAAAAGGGGGAATATGTTATTAATGAATTTACAATAAATCATATTGATTTAAAATATTAACACAGAATTGCAAGTGATTGCGTTTGGTGTTTTTTTTTTTTTTTGAAAGCATATTTTTATTCCAAAAATTTATGGACAAACTTGATGCGCAAATATTGAATCATTATATATTTTTTTTCAATAATTTCAGTCAAGTAAAATTTAATATTGTAATCTATTTTTGCAATGCTCTGTTCATAATTATTATAATATATCCTAATCTTAAGATTTATTTTGTTTACAATGGAATTGAGATTTTAATATTTTTTTAATTAACTTTTCGCCCTTTTTCTTTTTTAAAATGAATGATAAATAAACAAAATTATTATTATAATAATATGTAGTTTTAATTTATTTAAATCATAGTATTTTTTTCAAACTATCGGAGCAAAAGTTAGATTTTTAATTTTAGAAGAAAAATAAATAAAATTAATAAAAAATAAAATTAATAAAAAATTAAATTAAATAAAAATAATTTAATTTTTAATATTTTTTCAATCATTAAGAGGAGGGACTAGTGAAATTTTAACCTTTCAAAATTTACGTTGTTGATTCACTCCAATTTTTTTTTCTGACATTACATATTTAGAATCTAAAGTTATTCTAAATTATTGAAATTTAAAAAAAAAAATTTCAATTTAGAATTTGTATTTTTTTTTTTTTTTTAATTAAAAATTTTCAAAACTCATGATTGTTTAGAACTATAAAAAATATTTTAAAAAAAATAAAAAAATTGCCGATGAAAAATAATATAAATTTGTGGAAAAACATTAATACTTTATGATAAAAAATTTTTAAAAATATTTTAATAATTTTACTTTTTTTTTAATTTTTTAAAAAATTTATGTTTTGGAAAAATTGAAATTTTAAAAATCCATATGACTGATTGTTCAGTTCAGAATAATGAAAAAAGTGTAAAAAATAATTACAATGAAAAATAATTAAAAATATAAGAGAAGTTCATATTTAAAATTTTTTAAAATTTCGAGTTCTATTCAAAAAATTATTTAATTTTTTTTAATTTTTAATAAAATATTTTTTAAATTTAAAATTTTTTAAATATTCAATATATTGTTAAAAAATAAATTTTGACACCTCTAAACAGCATAAATTTCGATAGATTGGAATTTCATTTGTCTCTCCTCTTAATTACATTTTTTAAAAAAACAATTAAATTTAATTTTTAATTTTAATTTAATTTATTTAATTTTAACCTAAAAATTAACAATCGATTCTCACGGTAAGAAATTATTTATTTTTATCCAAATTATGTGAGAATAAAATTGCTTACACATTTACTGAAAAATAATTTTTTTTTATTTAAAAAAATACGAAAATAAATTTGTTTTGTTTATTGGATCATTTTTCAATAAATTTCAATATGAGCGCGCATTTTTTTTTTTATATACATGAACCAATTAAAAGTAAACTTGACAAGAAATGAGAACTTTCATTGGACTATAGCTTCCATTGCTTTTTTCCTCCAATCGTAAATGTATTTTGGAATATCACGTGATCTCCAAATCTGACAATTCAGTTTTTGATGTGTTTTAATTTCCGCCTATTCACGCCGGATAGGCTAATATAGTAAACAATTATTATTTTTCATTGAATTTTAATAAATTTTTGACAATTTAATTACAATTATGAGTTCCATTGGAACAGGGGTAATTATAAATTTATAAAATTTCAAGAAATTTGCCTTCTCTATTTTCTAAAATCGACAATAAAGCATATTCTAACCTCACTTTTTCTTTTTGTATTTTCAGTATGATCTCTCTGCATCACAATTTTCACCTGATGGCAGAGTTTTTCAAGTAGAATATGCCCAAAAAGCTGTGGAAAATAGTGGGTAAGTTTTTTTTTGTTTTTATACTAATTTTTTATTTTTTTTTTTTTGCAAAAAAAATTCAAAGACAAACATCATTTCACTGTGATGTTTGCGTTAACAAACATGAGTGATGTCAGCTTTTTTTGGTACACTCGCAATGTAAAAAAAGATTAATAATATTTTGATATTTTAAATAGTCAAATATAATTATTTTATTTAAATTTAAAAAAAATTTTAAACCAATGGGTTTAAAGTTGAATTTATAGTTTTCATTCTTTAGCCCTGAAAACATGAAATGTAACGATTTTTTTATACAAAATATTAATTTTGGAGTTGATAATTAGGATTATGATTTTACGTTTTTATTAAACAGATATATTTTTTATACATTTATTTAATAATATTTTTGTAATCAACGTTTTGTTATTTTGTTTCCTAAAAAGAAAACTTTATTTATATCCTAAGAGTTATGTGCCTGAAATTCTGAACCTTCAAATGAACGAAATCATTTCGGAAAATAGAAATTATATTTTATTGTTTTTAATACTTATAATATAATATAATTATATTTTTCATTGTTTTACCAAAATTGTTATGTTTATGATAATTAGAAAATTGATAAATAGAAAATTCGCATAAAAATAAATTCAGTTAAATATCTTGTTTGAGGTTAAAAAAATTATATCAAAAATAAAATTCAAAAATTTGATATACGTACAAATTATTATATATACACTTTCAAATTCGATAAAAAAGCAATTATGATAAACTAAAATTTTGGAGCAATCAATTCGCCTCATTTTTTTTGTCTATGGAGTTTTTTAAAATTACTACGGCAATAAATAAATATTTAATAAATATTTAATAAATTATTAATATTTTTGAATACAGAAAGCAATATTTTATAATAAAATTTTGAAATTAGAAAAATAGTAAATAAATTTTTTTAAAGGCACATTGAAATTTATTTATACGATAAAAAGTTCAATTAAAAAGCTGTATTAAATTTACGAAGCTGAAGTACGCAACGTTTATGATAAACAAATTTTTAAAGAAATAATTTTTTTAAATGAAAAATTCTATAATTTTTTGCCTAAAAAAAATATGTCTTGTAGTTTTCACAAGAAATTATAAAAAAATATTTTTTAAGCAAAAAATTATTTCTTTAAAAATCGTTAATCATAAACGTTGCGTACTTCAGGTTTGTTATTAAATTTTTAATTTCAATCAAAAATGACTTTAAAAAATTAATTTCTTAAATCTGTTTATTTCTAAAAATTTAATGAATATAAAACTTTTTTTTCATTAAAGATGATTATTGAGGGCGCGGGTTTTCAATTAAAAATTGCATCTTTCCTCTCTTTGTTTTAGAACGGTAATCGGCTTACGGGGTAAAGATGGAGTGGTTTTTGCCGTAGAAAAGCTCGTTACATCGAAGCTCTATGAAACGGGAGCTAATAAACGGATTTTCAATATAGACAAACATGTTGGAATGGCTGTCTCTGGATTAATTTCTGACGCGCGACAAATTGTGGAAACAGCAAGGTCTGAAGCAGCTAGCTATCGTGCACAATATGGAATTGGAATACCACTCAAGTATTTAAATGAACGTGTTTCAATGTACATGCACGCTTATACACTCTATTCAGCAGTACGTCCCTATGGATGCTCCGTTATCTTAAGTGCATTCGAAACAGATGGTCCTACCATGTATATGATTGATCCTTCTGGAGTTTCATATGGATATTATGGCTGTGCAATTGGTAATTATTTTTTATATAATTATTTTCAAAGTATGGAATGTCAAAACTATTTTTCCTCAAAATTTGAGACAAATTGAAAATTTTAGTTGTGAATTTTTTTCACAAAAAAAGTACTAGTATTTTTCAAATATTTTTTTTTTGTCCAAAATTGATGTTTTTTAAAGTAGAAATGAAATTTTTAATTTCGATTTAAATAAATTATAGTTGCCATGGGTCAGGGAATTTTATGAAAAGTACTGGAAAAATACCAAATTTCTAAAAATGCTATTATAATTTAAATTTTTGAAATTTTCAATTCAAACTTTTTGCTTCTAAAAATTATTATTGTCTTACATTTTTATAATTTTAGGCCTCGGATTGACTTTTGGGTAAGTCCACGTCAGAAATATCAGAATCTGCAAGTAAAAAGAATTTTTAAAATATCTAAAATTGTAGGAGTTATATCACTTTTAATTTTGATTCTGCATTTTTTTCTTTCCTTTATATCTCGGTCAATTTTCAACCGATTTTGATGAATCAAAAACGATTTTTTTCAGAAAATTACGTATTTTCAGAAAATTTTAAAATAAAAATAAAATTTTGTTATTTAAATAGAAAAAAGTAAAAAACAAAATTTCTTTTAGATTTTTTTTTTCAATTTCGACCTCTTTTTTTAATTTTTAATTTTTTAATAATATTCCTTTTTATTTTATCTTTAATTTAAAAAAAATTCATCCTGGAGACTTTTTTAGATCTCGTGATATTGTCCTTTAAATATCCACATCTCAAGAAAAATAGGATCCAGATTTGTGTTTCTACTTTCATTTGTTTTATAATATTATTGTTACAAACTAGAAACTTTCGCGTAATAATGTTTTTATTTTTAAATTACTTGACTAAAACAAATGAAAATTCAAGCAAATCAATATTTTATTAATAGATTTGAAGCAAAGTTTTTATTTTTTGTAATATTTATAATTTAAAATAAATTGTAATGAAACCCTAACAATGCAACCTAAAATTGTAGCTGAAGTTTTTAGCGCTTTCTTTTAGAGGATTCTAAAACAAATAGTTATTCATAACCATAAAAAATTTCAACAAACAAATGAAAGTAATGATAGAAGCAAGTCCTGCGGTTTTCAAATTGTTGAAGACTTATAATACTTAAAGGACAATATCACGAGATCTAAAAAAGTCTCCAGGATGAATTTTTGTTTAAATTAAAGATAAAATAAAAAGGAATATTATTAAAAAATTAAAAATTAAAAAAAAGAGGATGAAATTGAAAAAAAATCTAAAAGAAATTTTGTTTTTTACTTTCTTCTATTTAAATAACAAAATTTTATTTTTATTTTAAAATTTTCTGAAAATACGTAATTTTCTGAAAAAAATCGTTTTTGATTCATCAAAATCGGTTGAAAATTGACCGAGATATAAAGGAAAGAAAAAAATGCAGAATCAAAATTAAAAGTGATATAACTCCTACAATTTTAGATATTTTAAAAATTCCTTTTACTTACACATTGCTCTTATATAAAGCTATAATTTTACCAAGTATCATTAAAATCGAAGAACCATTTGCAGATTCTGATATTTCTGACGTGGACTTACCCTTTTGAAAGAACAAAAATTCATTTTAGTCGATTTACATTACAAAAAAAGTCTAAAAAGTACATTTTTAGGGTTCCGTACAACTTCAACATTTTTGTATATGAAGAACTGCCATTTAGTACACATACGTATTTTTACGTGTAGATTACAGGAAAAATACAGCGAGACCGATTGGATTTGATGGCTACGAGCTAGAAAAGAAAGAAATCTGTTTTTTTTTTCGAAAAAATTGCAAAAAATGACCCTGCCCCCCCCCTCTTAACTTCTACATTTTTGTATATGAAGAACTGCAATTTAGTACACATACGTATTTTCACGTGTAGATTACAGGAAAAATATAGAGAGATTGATTAAATTTGATGGCTACGAGCTAGAAAGGAAAGAGATCGGTTTTTCGGAAAAAATTGCACAAAATGACCCCGTCCAGTTATTTATAATTTGTTTCTATATAAAAAAGAGGTTATTATTGTCGGTGTACGGAACCCTCGAATTAGTGAGAGTGCAACTCGCACTTTTCCGATTTTTTTATTTTCAATAAATTTTAAAAGTTGACAAATATTTTATTATTATTAAAAAATTTTTATTAGAAATTAAATAAAATTTAAGAATGTTTCACAGAAATATTTTCAAGAATTTTTCTTTTTAAACCACCGAATTAAGGCCAGGTCCAAGTCGAGTCAGCTGTTCCTTTGAAGTTTCAATGGAACAGCTGACACGATTTGGACCTGGCCTTAAACTAAGATAAATTTTCAAGATTTAAATTCATTTTCAGAACAAATTTTGAAAAATAATTTACAGTTACATTAGAGTGTTTTAAATTAAAAATTTTTTTATTTCCCTGAATTGTTGAAAAATTGTATTAAAGTAATTTAAAAAATTTATTTTAGCGAAGAATTTTAAATAAAATTTTTAGAAATAATTGAATTATATAGAGAATTTTCAATTGAAAAATGTTTTAAAAAATTGAATTTTCGATTTTTGAAATTTTCAAATTAAAATTTTAATTCACTTGATTCATTGAAAATTATTAAAACTTATATAAACAAAAATTTAATTTTAAAGAATTAATAATTAAAAATTAGTTATTATAAATAATTAAGTCCAAAAAGAAATTGAAGTTAAAATTTTTAGAAATAATTGAATTTTGGAAGTGCTATTGTTAAAATTTCTGGAACTATAATTGAATTTCAGAATATTTTTAATTAAAATTTTTGTAAATTGAAATTTCTGTAGATATTTTATAAACTTTAATTAAACAATAATTAATCGTTGGAGAATTTTGAATTGAAAAAATGTTTTAAATAATTAAATTTTCGAAAATCTTGATTAAAATTATTAAAATTAAATTATTCAACAATATCAATTTTAGATAGAAAATTCAGAAATAATTATATTTTAGAAGAGTTCGAATTAAAATTTTTTTGAAATAAAAATTGAATTTTAGGAGATTATTAATTGAAACTTTCATTTTGAATTGGTGAAAACGTCTTGAAATATTTTTATTAGGGTTAGGGAAAAAATTTTAATTTTGACTGAAAATCAAGGAAAAGTCAGGAAAAAACAAAATATAATTTTTTTGTCAACTCTGATAAATTTTATTTTTTACTAAATTGACGATTATGAGAGTTGTTTACGCGATAAGGACTTGAAATGCGCCAACAAATTTTGGTTTTAGCCTTGAAATTCCTCTAAATAAAACGAAAATTTAATTTACTATTAACCAAATTGACAGATTTAATGCTATATTAATAATTAAAAAACAACAAATGAAGTTGCACTATAAAAGTTGACTGTCAATTTTTTTTTTTTTTGCAATAAAGAATTTTTTGAAAAAACGTCCATTGGAAAAATAATAATTTTTGAAATTTGACGTTGGCACTTTTGACTCCCTGCCTTTTAAAAAAAATTCTTGATCAATTCTATAAATATATGGTGATTAAAACTAATTGAAAATCTAAAATCAGATTCAAACCAATTTTAAATCAATTTAAATTTATTTTAATTATAATCAACTATCAATTCAATCAATCGAAAATTAAATTCATTAACAAATTTAAATCTGTTCAAATGTTAATTTATCTAAATTTCAATTTAATAACATTTTATTCAATACAAATTTTAATCGACACAAATTTTAAATGTAAATTTCAAGTGATCTACATTCCATTTAATTTTTCTTTTTATTGGTCAAAACAAATTTATTAATTAATATTTTCATCAAATGTGAATTTAATCGTTTGAAACTTAAAATTAGAGAAATTTTAATTTATCTAAAGATTAATTGATTTAAGTTTCAAATTATCCGAATTTTAATGGTATCCAAATTTTAATTGATTTAATTTTTAAATTATACAAATTTCAATTTGTTCAAATTTTAATTGATATAAATTTAAAATAATCCTAATTTCAATTTACCAAAATTTTGTTTGGTTTAAGTTTTTCAATAATAATAATAATTGTCAATTTTTCTTTTAATTATTTCTTATCTAAAAGTTTTTATTTTTAAAATTGTTTAATTTTATCTTTATTTTCTAAAATTCTCATTTTTTTTTTAAATAGCTAAAAATTTTCTTTAACTTTTTCCGACATTTTATTTGTCTATATTTTTTTCAACAATTCTCAAATTTTTTTAATCGAATTTCTTCTTAAACCTTTTTACAATTTTTTTTTCTTTAATTCTCCTTTTATTTTAAAAATTCTTAAAATTTATTTATTTACTAACCGTGAAAACAAAAATAATACATTAGTGCCGAATTATTTTATCAGTAATTATATAATTCGTTAACCAATATCATATTATGTTATTATGTACCTAATGCATAATTAGAAAAATGTTTAAAATTATTAAAAGTGAGGAAATTTTTTTTTCTTAAAGTTGATAGACAACCAGTATTTGAAAATTGATTAAATATGTCAATTTATCCATACTTATTTTTAAACATTATACTTTATTCATAATTTCATTTCACATATTTTCAAAAAGTTTTTATTTTAAAACTGTCATTATAATTTTACACTATTTTTGAATACAATTTCATAAATTTTTAATATCTTCAATTTATTTATAAATACATATTGATTTGAAAATTGAAATATTCTTATATTTATACTTCATTATATAAATATGTTACGAAATGTTATAAAAATATATTCAAATTTTTATATTATTATCAAATACTTTTTTTAATTATTTCGAAATTTATTATTTTTACACAATATTTTTTTTCAAAATTCTTATACATATTGTTATCATTTTAACGATTCATGGTATTATTGTTAATCAACAATAATTTGTTTTTTTTTTCTTGTTTGTTTTGTATTATAGGCAAAGCGAAACAATCGGCAAAAACGGAGATAGAAAAATTGAAATTGTCTGACATGACCTGCAAAGAACTTGTGAAGGAAGCGGCGCGGATAATTTATCTTGTGCACGATGAACTCAAAGACAAACAATTTGAACTCGAAATGAGCTGGGTTGGTGTTCACACCAATGGAAAACATGAACGAGTTCCTTTGGATATAAAAACAGAAGCTGAAACCAAGGCACGTCAAGCAATGGCTGATGATTCCGATAGTGACACTGAGGACATGTAAAATGACAAGGGTTGAAGAAGAAAAAAAAAATTGGTAAAAATCGATAATCACATTTTAAATTATTTTGCTCTCATTTCATGCAAAAAAAAATTTTTTTTTTTTTTGCCTTTTTTGTATGAAATGCTTAATTGTTCAAAATAAAACGTCTATTATTGATAAGAAAATCGAATAAATGCGTCTTGTTTATATAATACGGAAATAATTTTTCATTTTTCCTCTCTTTTTAATTTATTTTAAAAAAAAATTCCATAAATTTGTAAAAATTGAATTTCTATTACTTTTTTTTCAAATTTAGTTAATAATTTTTGACAATTATTAATAAATAACTTTTTTTCTCAATTATTTTATAGTTAGAAATGTATAACATTTTATAAATAAACAATTTTCGAAAATTATCCCTTATGAAAATTCCTTATAAGAAAATAATGTTAAAACTGAAATGTTTTCAGTATAATGTTTTTTGTTTAATATTTTCGCGATTATAGGTAATTTTTTATAAGAAATTCATTATAAAATTTTTTTTCTCAAAAAATTATAAAATTATAATTATTAAAGACTCTGTAATGAAATCATTACAATTTTATAATTATGAAAATGCAATTATAGAAAATAAAATTTTTCACGTGCAAAAATTAAAATTATAAAAATTTAATTACAGAAATTAATTAATTTTGTATAGTTATCAGTAAAATACAAAATTAATTAATTTCTGTAATTAAATTTTTATAATTTTAATTTTATAATATTTTAATTTTTACACGTGAAAAATTTTATTTTCTATAATTACATTTTCATAATTATAAAATTGTAATGATTTCATTACAGAGTCTCTAATAATTATATTTTTATAATTATTTGAGAAAAAAAAATTTATAATGAATTTTTATATAATAAATTACCTATAATCGCGAAAATATTATACAAAAAACATTATACTGAAAACATTTCAGCTTTAACATTATTTTCTTATAAGGAATTTTCATAAGGGATAATTTTCGAAAATTTGAATTTTTGATTCGTGTTGTAGAAATTAAGAATTAATTTGTTTTTCCCCGAGAAACCAATTCATTGATTTTTTTTTTTTTTTTTTTTTTTTTTTTTGAAAATATTGTCTTGCTTGCAAATTTTGTTCGTTTGTTTAAAAATATTTTAGCATTATCAAAAGATGTTCTATTTTTCAATAATTTATTCAAAACTTCGACTCTGGAAAATCGTATACATTAATACATATTTCTATAAAGAAAAATGTCACTTGATTTACATTTAAAATTATTCATAAAACTTTTAAGAAAAGATTATGAAATGATGAAAGTTTAAATCTGAGTATTGTTAATTTTTTTAACGCTCTTTTTATATTCAACAATAAGTAAAATTGACAATAAATTAGTTTAAATTATTCTATTAATATAAATTATTGATTAATTAGTCAGGTGATGTAGCGGGAAATTAACTTATTTAGAATATTGTTGTAGGTATATATGTGATGAAATATTCAAATTGGTAATTTACATATTAAATTTTTAATTACAATATAACTAAATTAATTAGAATATTTCAAAAAAATATTTAATACAAAAGTTGAAAAATATTTTTTTTTTATTTTAAACAAAAGGTTTCAAAAAAATTAAATAAACTCGAAAATTTATAAATATTCATCTTTATTATTTTTATTTTGTTTTTGTTTTTCCCTTTAATTAAATTCAGTAAATGAAACATTCAATTAAGAGGATTTTTTAAAAAAAATTTTATCAAACAAACAAAAAAAAAGTACTGATTTTTTTTTTCTAAACAGAAAAATGTTTTTTTTCAGATTTTTTCAAAATTTTGAAACGGAATTATAAAAAATGAGAAAAATTTTATATAACACTTTTTTATAAACTTTTTTTCTTGTCTATTTTCGATTAATTACAAAAGTTAAGCTGATACTATATGATCTCTTTATTCCATTAGTAGAAATAAACGGATTATTATTATAAAAGGATTTGTTATTTAAAATTGACTTTTCTATCATTTAAAAAGGCTTTACTTTTTTTTTTTTTTAAAAAAAAGGTTCTGTTTTATAACAGATTTGAAATTATTTTTCAAATATAATAAAATATCTCCAAAACGTACTCCGATGATATTAATGAATGAAAAATATGTGAAAAAGCATAATTGAATTTTAATTAGAAATGATTGAAGAGTAGTTATATTTTTTATGAGCCAAAAGTTCTGAACGTTCAAATGAACAAAATATTTTTTTCAATATCTATAAATTATTAAAAATTATAATGTTAATGTAAAATAAAACAGTAAATTAAACAAATATTAAATTAATAACTTCTTTTTAGATATTTAAAACAATATTTTTTAATAAAATTCATACTTAAAGAAGTTACAAAAAAAAAATTTGTTCATTTGAACGTTCAAAACTTTTGGCTCATTATTTTTTTCTTTCATAAGTTTAAAAATTTTTTATTTTCATACTTTTATTTAATTAAATAGTAAAGAATTCAATTATTTAATTTTAGTTTAAATAATATTTCAAACATAAATATATTTATTAATAAACAATAAATAAATACATAAATATATTTAAAGTTTCTAACATTAAAAAAAAATAATCGTGATATAAGTTGTTTTTTAAGTTCATTTCATTTTTTTCGTTATTTGTTTGTTTCTTTTCTTTTTTTTCTCGTTATATATATTTAACTTTTCTCTTTTTCTTATTTAGAAAAATAATAATTTGTCTATTATTTAAATTATTTTCAGACTTTTATTAAAATTTTCTTTTCAAATTGAAATGCACGAGAGTTTAAATGCAAACAGAAAAATAATAAAAAAATAAGAAAATAAGCAAGTATTACTTTAAATTTCTACTTTGCATGTTAAAACAGAAATCACTTGACAAATTTAAAAGCACAGTAATAATCCTTTAGAAGCTATTTTAATTTTTTAAAAAAAAAGTTTATTTCTTTAAATATTTTGTAAATGTTAAATAAATTTAGATTTATATTATTGAGAGTTTAAATTTTAATAAACTTTTAATTTAATAAAAACCGAAAGCCAATTTCAATGCTTTTAGTAAGATGTCCTTTAAAAACTAAGTATATGTTTATGTTTTCCTCGGGCAGACCACTTTTCGCCGCCAACTCATCCCCGTGTACCTGCTCAGCGGCAAATTTTCGTCCCCGTATGTTCCCCCACTACCGGCCGTACTGTACCCCTCCGTTCAGTCAGACGGCAACTTTTTCGACTTTTTTTTAGATTAAGAAAAAAAAATTTTAATAAAATAGGGTAAATGCACTAATTGCGGCGAGATTCGAGTCAAAACACCTTTGAAATAGAAAATTCGACATTTCTATTGTATAAACTCAATTTAAGACTTATTAAACTTAAAGCTTATGTTATTAAGATATTAAAAAAAAAATTTAACTCTATAAAAATCGATTATTTAAACAAATATGAGACCAAAATTACGTGTATTTTGAAGATACTTTGCCCGCCGAAATTGAAGCCAATGGAAATCTTAAAAATGTTTCAATTGCGGCGCGGAAAAAAATTTGATCTCAAATAATTAAATTAATAATTGTTTAAATGTGCATCTTTATAAGTATTTGTATCAAAAAAAGATTGAAATAATTTTTTTTAATTATTTGGCAACAGTTATATTAAATATAATAGTAATAATAGTTATTTTTTATGAACGCGCCGTAATTGGTGCACTCGCCGTAATTAGTACACTTACCCTACATTTTTTCAGTATAAAATGTAGATCTTCTTCAGATCTTCTTCAATTCAATTATTTAACAAATTTTGAACTAAAATAATTCTTCATTAAATTAATTATTTTTAATAATTTTAATGAAATTCATCACAAATTCAATTATTTCAAAATTATTTTTCAAATAAAATTTTTATAAAATTTAACAATTGTTTATAATTTTAAAAAAATATCGCAATAAAATTGAATTATTTTCAAAAATTATAATTCAAAATAAACTAAAATTTAATTATTACCCAAAATTTCAATTAAAAATCAATTAAAATTTAATTATTATCCAAAATTTCAATTCAAAATCAAAGAAAATTCAATTATTTTCAAAAATTTTCAATTTAAAATCAAATAAAATTCAATTGTTACCCAAAATTTTCAATCATTGGAAAACACATGCAGTCAGACTGAACGGAGGGGTACAGTACGGCCGGTAGTGGGGGAACATACGGGGACGAAAATTTGCCGCTGAGCAGGTACACGGGGATGAGTTGGCGGCGAATCGTGAATCGCCCTTTTCCTCAATATTTTACTTTCTAGAAAGCTAACCTCAAAAAATTTTTAATCACAATTTTTATGAATATGAAGAAATTGTTAAATAATTATATTTTAAAAGCAACTTTTTTGTACATTAAATCTGAATAATAAAATTTGTGATAATATTAATAAATATCATGTTACTTAAATAGGTAGTTTAAATATTTTTTATTTTATTAAAGGGTTTTTTTTTATACCATATATTTTTAAATTAATATTATAAACTCTTATCAAAGTTTTTTTTTAATTTTAAACTTATGTACTATAAATTTTAACCCAAATCTTTTATTGGAAAATTATTTTATAATAAAATCTTTAATAAATTCCGATAAAATGTCATTTAAAGTTAAAAGTATCGGTCACTGTACCCCGTTACCCTATGGTTTTAATATTTTTTCAGACTATTTTTAGGAGTTAGCCAATATAAACATGATATTTAAAGTCTTTAACAATTTATGTTGTTCCCGCCTATTAAAGATGGCAACACGGGTCTGCCTGATTAAAGACGCCACCTTGTGTGAACTCTAAATTAAAATTACTTTGTTCTCGTGTGTGAATTAATATAAGAAAGGACTCAATCATTTTACTTTATAATTATATTTAAATTACTGTTCACAATATAAGTTCTGATAATAAATAAACGACAGGTTATGGGCCCAGACCCTAACTACGCAAGTTCTGTATATTTGTGTTCGTGTAATCGGTGAATATATCGAGATTTGTAACGGCGCATCGCACGCGGTAAATCTAACCTAAAAAGTTTTCGTTCGTGGCGTGGTTGAAATTTTTCGAAATTAAACTCAAAAACAAAAGTGTTGTGTTTTGTGAGATATTTCAAGAATTGTTACGAAAATTAAATCGAAACCATGTCGAATCATTCAGTGAATATTGAAAAACTGG